GTAGAATGTAAATAAATGTAAATAAAAACATAATGCAATAATGTGCAAATCTCATAGACCCATATTTTATTCACAATAGAACATAGAACACATATCAGATGTTGAAAGTGAGACATTTTACCATTTCAAAAAAATTCTCATTTAGAACTCATTTAGAACTTGATGGCAGCAACGCATCTCAGAAAAGTTGGGACAGGAACAATAAAAGGCTGGAAAAGTAAGCGATACTAATAAAAAAAACTGCTGGAGGAGCAATTTGCAACTAACTCACATGACTGAGTATAAAAAGAGCATTTTAGACAGGCAGAGTCTCTCAGAAGCATAGATGAGCAGAGGTTCACCAAACTGCGAAAAATTGCATTAAAAAATTGTGAAACAATTTCAGAAAAATGTTCCTCAACATAAAAGTACGAAGACTTTGGATATCCAACCATTTACAGTACATAATATCATCAAAAGGTTCTGAGAATCTGGAGAAATCCCTGTATGCAAGGGACAAGGCCAACAGTCAATACTAGATACTCGTGATATTCAGGCCCTCAGGCGGCACTGCATTAAAAACAGGCATGATTCTGTACTGGAAATCACTGTATGGCATGTACTCAGGAACACTTCTAGAAATCATTGACTGTGAACACAGTTTGCCGTGCAATCCACAAATGCAAGTTAAAGCTGTACCATGCAAAGAAGAAGCCATATGTCAACTTGATCCAGAAACACTGCCGTCTTCTCTGGGCCAAATCTCATTTAAAATGGACTGAGGCAAAATGGAAAACTGTTCTGTGGTCAGATAAATCAAAATTTGAAATTCTTTTTGGAAACCACGGACGCTGTGTCCTGTGGACTCAAGAGGAGAGGGACCATCCGTTTGTGATCAGCACGCAGTTCAAAAGCTTGCATCTCTGATGGTATGAGGCTGCATTAGTGCCTATGCCATGGGCAGCTTACACATCAGGAAAGGTACAATCAATGCTGAACAGTTTACAGAGGTACATATGAACAGAACAGAACAACATATGCTCCCATCCAGACAGCATCTCTTTCAGGGAAGGCCTTGCATATGTCAGCAAGACAATGCTAAACCACATACTGCATCCATCACAACAGTATGGCTTTGCAGAAGAACAGTCCGGGTGCTGAACTGACCTGCCTGCAGTCCAGATCTTTCACCCAATAGAAAACATTTGATGCATCATGAAACAAAAAATCCTTCAAATAAGACCCAGGACTGTTGAGCAGCTAGAATCTTACATCAGACAAGAATGTGACAACATTCCTCTCCCAAAACTCCAGCAATTGGTCTCCTCACTTCCCAGACGTTTACAGACTGTTGTTTACAGAAGAGGGGATGCTACACAGTGGTAGACACGGCCCTGTACAAACTTTTTTGCTGCCATCAAGTTCTAAATGAGTTATTGTTTTTCATAAAATGGTAAAACGTCTCACTTTCAACATCTGATATGTGTTCTGTTCTATTGTGAATAAAATATGGGTTTATGAGATTTGCCAATCATTGCATTCTGTTTTTATTTACACTTATTTACATTTTACACAGCGTCCCAACTTTTTTTGGAATTGAGGTTGTAGTTTATTTTGTATTTTCCACAATATTGTGAAATTGTAATGTTATTTATGTGGAGGCTTATATAAGCCTATTAGGTTTTTTGCCGCTCCCTGCACTGTATGTCATCTTTGTCTATTTGTATATATTTTAACTTGTGCAAAAAATAAACAAACGAACTAACAAATGCATAGTGTTAAGTGTACGATGAGTTTTGAAAAAAAGAGAGATTGTTAATAAATGAAATAACTGTAGTTAGCAGTAACAGAAAAATGAGGTTGAGGTTAAACATATAAACTCACCAGTCGTCTGTGATGAAATGACACTTTTCAGTGTTTCAGTTTCAGTCTGTAGGTCAGAATTCTGTTGTAGTGTTTAAGTTGTTGTTCTTTCTCTTCTAACTCTTTCTGCTGAGGGGTGAGTTCAGTTCCCAGTATGTTCGTTTCTCAGAGTCTCCAGCTGCTTTTTACTGCTTTCCTCCTCTTTCACTGTGATGTCCAGTAGAGTCTCTTTCTCTCTCAGCAGTTTGATCTGATTCTCCAGCTGTGTGTTTTTCTTTTCAAGCTGTTTGTCTTTTTCATTCAGCTCACTTTTCTGTTCCTGCAGATGTTTTATGTGCAGTAGTTTCCTGTGCTTCTCTTGTTCTCTTGAAATTGTCCAAAATCTCTTGGTCTGCTGAAGCATTAAGAGTTCCTTTCACTGGAACTAAGGGGCCGAGCCCAACTCCTGAAAAACAACCCCACAACATAATCCCCCCTCCACCAAACTTTACACTTGGCACAATGCAGTCAGACAAGTACCATTTTCCTGGCAACCGCCAAACCCAGACTCATCCATCGGATTGCCAGACAGAGAAGCGTGATTCGTCACTCCAGAGAACACGTCTCCACTGCTCTAGAGTCCAGTGGTGGCGCTTTACACCACTGCATTTGATGCTTTGCATTGCACTTGGTGATGTAAGGCTGGATGCAGCTGCTCGGCCATGGAAACCCATTCTATTAAGCTCTCTACGCTATTCTTGAGCTAATCTGAAGGACACATGAAGTTTGGAGGTCTGTAGAGATTGACTCTGCAGAAAGTTGGCGACCTCTGCTAGCTATGCACCTCAGCATCCGCTGACCCTGCTCTGTCATTTTACGTGGCCTATCATGAAGCAGTCTGCATGCCTAGGTGCTTGATTTTAAACACCTGTGGCCATGGAAGTGACTGGAACACCTGAATTCAATGATTTGGATGGGTAAATGAATATATATATACATATATATATATATATATATATATATATGGCTGTTACGCATCAACACAGCTGAACAACTTGTATTGGAAAATGGTTCAGTGTTTTGAAGCATTTGTCACCTGGCTTAATGCTGCCATCTAGTGTCCAGTTCTGTTTCCTACAATGGCTCTTTTCTACTGATGGTCACAAATGTCAATTGAAGCGTATTTGCACAAATAAAGCTTTATTACAACACATGTGTGAATTTGATCATTTGAAGATTTAAAAAAAAACTGACACATGATTTCCCATCATATATAAACTATGAACAGAAAAATAATATTAAAAATAACTTTATTTGCCCACTGCATTGGCTTCTCATCACGCATACATCATTAAATTAAGTAATGAAGAGTCATGATGTAATATTTGTGAAATGGAAACAATTATAATGCTGTCAGACCAGAAGCTGTACATATGTAAATTGGCAAAGTTGCAGGATTCAGTTTGAGGTTGACAGTGCATTTAGGGACATTTCGAAAGTAGACAATTTTGAAAGATAAAAATAAATAAATAAATAAATAAATAAATAAATTCAAGGTTTTGTCCAAAACTTTATTTGAATTTATAAACACCTATGATGTTAATGCCTTAAGGACCACATACTCGAAGCTCTGATGTCAGGTTTATGTTCAATCAAGTGAAGGAAACTATTTTGTTATTCTAAAATATCACAGTCCATTTGAAACAAGTGAAGAAAAGTTGAGGACAATTCCATAGTTTTTCCAAATGTCCTTATAACTAAATGGTTAAAATGCAAACAAAGTCATTCAGAGTGGTTTGAGAAAGGCTCTGCTGTAGTCAGAACTGTTCGCAGTGGTGGTGATAGGAACCAGATGGTTGAAGTGTCTAATGCCTCTAAAAACTCACAGAAAGTTATTACATGAAATAATTATGAACACACTTGATGTTCTCTATTACTGCGTATTTGTCACAATAAATGCTTTCAGATCTTTAAACAAACATAATTAGAGAGTACTTTATCAAACATAAAACACATTTTTTAATATTATTCAATTTATTTAAGTAGCAAAACTATCCAAAATGAGATTCACCCATGTGAAAAAGTAATTGCCTCCTTAAAATTAATAACTTTTTCCTTGCTCTTTAGCAACAATTATTAATTCATTAATTTAATACCAGTATTTCTTATTGTTGTGAAGGAATTTTAGCCCACACTTCTTCTCAGAATTGCTTTAATTCTGATATATTGGTAGGTTTTCAAGCATGAACTAAATCCTGTCCTGGCATCCCTATTGTATTTATGTCAGAACTCTGACAAGGTCACTCTAAAACCATTCAGAACGTCTCCAGATCCTTCAGATTCTGAGATCCACACTGTGGACTCTCCTCTTTAGCTCATCACACAGGTTTTCTGTGTGGTTTAGGTCAGGGGACAGGGTGGCCATGGCAAAACCTTAATTCTGTGGTAAGTGAAACATTTTTGTTTTGATTTTGAGGTCTGCATTGAATCATCGTCCTGTTGGAAGATCCAACCACAGTCCAGTTTGAGCTTCCTGGCTGAGGTAGTCAGATTTTGATTTAATTTCTACTTGTACTTAACCCTTAGAACCCTAGATTTTTTTGAATTTGGGTCATTTCTGATCAAACATTTACCTAGCGCCTGCTAAATTTTGTATTTTCTTTACTTATACAGCTCTTGAAAACAAGTTGCACCTCAGATACCTTTTCAGAAATTGTTAGTCTGGAGTGTGTGTGAGCTGAAAGTGCAATAATTTTGATGGTGATTCATTCTATTGGTTATTATGAGTAAAAATAAACAGTTAGCATAAGGCGGACATGTTTTTATTGAATTTCAGGCTCAGTGCTAAAACTCTGATACACAGCAAGACAGGCTTTGTTTTTAATTATAAATTGAGTTGCATTTTTAATGTCAGATATTTTTAATACTCAAAATCAATGTAAACTGAAAGACAGCTAAATATTATGAATTTTATAATTTCATATAAGGTTTCAGTTACATTTTTGTTAACATTTTAAATGAAAGACCAGAAGGAGAAGAAATAAAGTAAGTTTTTACAACCTGTTATGTTCATGTTTACCCAGGGTGCAAATATTTGTGGAAGACATTGTATTAAGTAGAAATAACTACATAATATCTCAAAATAACAAGATATTAACTAGATATTGCTATATTAGAGTTGCTGGAAAAATGAGTTATACATCAAAATAATGGCATAGCATTAACAGTACATACTTTTCCACATTGTGCCTTTTGGGGACTCTGTAATGTAAAACCTGGTGGGGTAAATTTTAAAAATCATAACCCAAAAACTATTTGGAGCAGTTTTGAAATTTTACATGGTTGCATGAATTCAAGTGAAGTTTCTGCTTGAATGTCTTTATGGAAACGTATGACGGAACTTTTCCAGGCCCTAGGTGATTGGTATGGAATGATCTTTCAGGAAAAAGGGTGCCCAATCAGGATCTTAGAAATCTACCACACTCCAGAGTTTAGCTCCAACTGATCTAACTCACCTGATCAGGTAATGAAGTCTTTCAGTAACATCTGAACATTAGTCAAGTGTGTTTGATCCGATCTCTCTGGGGAGGAACATCTCCAGGATCAGAAATGAAGTTTTCTGGAAATTACATCTGTAAACTCCTTTTATGTTTTACATCATAATTTTCTAAACCAAAAGCAACAAAGGCCATTGTAGCAAAGGCCACTGTCACAACAAAGGCCACTGTAGCAAAGGCCACTGTAGCAACAAAGGTCACTGTAGCAGCAGTTGCTACAGCATGACTCCATGTCTTCTTCTGCATTGCTCCTGCTGGACTGTAGCAGTGGCTGCCTCAAAGATTGTGCTGAGGGTTGTGAACTCAGAGCACCATAATCTAAAACGTTGAAACACAACATCATTAAGAATAATCTCATTGCTTATGATGTCTATTGATCACAGGAGTGCTTGTGAAATGCACTGTTGCATTAAAGTGGTAGAATGTGAAAATGAGGATGATGACGATACTGAGGAATGATTAAGTGGTTTGTGAGGCTTACCCCTGCGTGTTAAGGCTGATGCTGGTTTCTGAAATGAGAATGATTTTGCCATAAAATCTCATTCACCGTAGCCGAGGTACATACATAGAAACATGAGGGGTGAAACCACAGTAGTATAATAAAGATGGAGTGCAATACCTGAAGTTTTAAGTACTCTGTGATTTTTTCGAATGCAGTATTATTCCTCCTGCACTGCAGCAGTCCTTTATCCTCATGGAACAGACAGTCCACTGTGAGTGTATTTTCTCTGGACACAGCTCTGCTGCTGTCAGGTACTGTGCTGTCTGGGTCAAACGTATGATGGAGCACCACTAGAACAGCAGGTTTGGTGGCTGTGGAAAATGACATAAATGTATTTGATTAAACAGAGAAGTGTGAATCAGTGTAAAGATTCAGAATTTTGCTGTGGGAGTTAATTACCTGATTTGTCATTGAGTTTTTTCAGTGCTGCTTCAATATCAGTTCCAGCTCGTGAAACAACAGGACAGAAAACCAGAATCACATCACACTCCTCCACTGAAGACACCTTCTGCAGGTTTGGTCTGTGTTTGTGGAGATTTCTGGTAAAGTCCTCATCAGTGTTTTTCGTCTTTCTGGTCACAAAGGTGAAATACTTCTGTTTTCCTGTGGGGGGATTTTAATTGTGTTAATGGTGACTTTGAACTAAATGTTCATTTACCTGTGCAGACTTTTTATAATGTGTCACTCAAGCATAGCAAAACAGTTCAGCAAAAGCAAAGACGTTCTGACCAACAAAAAAAAAGAGAAGTAAAATAGCAGTATAGTGGTGACACTGAATATTTTGATTTTGCCTGAACATTGAATACTAAGGTATGAAATACAGTCATATGCAAAAGTTTGGTCACCCCTGATTAATAGACATTTTGTTGATTTTCTAAGTGAAATTCAAATCAGCAAAACATATCATTTGGCCAGGAGTGCAAAAGCACTGAACAATATTTAGAAAAAAAAACTTGAATAGTTATATACAGGATACGCCAGTAATCACAAGATGACCTGAGATAATGTATGTCTTAAATGATATTGGATTCACATAAGAATGCTTAACCTAGAATGACAGACATTTGCTCAATTTATAACACTGTTATGAACCTTTCCCGAGTAACAGAACTTCTGAAGCAGGAGCCTAATTATTATAATTATGATAATAATAATTATTACCATACCATACCACCTTCTGTGGAAGATTCTGATGCCCTCACCTGAGATGATCATTTTAATATTTTCATATTTCATATGTTTATTTCATGAGTTTATGCTTAAGAGATACCAAAGTATATGGTACTATGTGATACTATGAGATACAGAATCATCTCATAGGCTTTATTATTTATTCATTTATTTTACGTTAATTTAAGGGGGGCAGCATATTCTTATAGAACTGTTCCCAGGTTTATATTCAAACCAAGCAGTTCATGTGCATATTAAATCAAAAGGAAATCTTCTATATGACAAAGGGAGGAAATAGAACTGCTTTGAATAGTGCTGAATATGAATACATTCAGGTTGACCAGAGAGAGGAAACACTTAATTAATTTAACTAATTTAGAATCATGAAATAAAGTGTATTACATATTTACTCATCATGCTATATTTGGATTAAATAATTATGTTCAAGTTCAAGAAAAACAGTATCTCAGTGCCACTAACTTTTACAGATTTTTTTTATGAACATAAAGCCAAATATTTCAATTTACCCAATTCATTATGATGTTTTGGGGTAATTGTAATATGCTGTTTCCGTGTGAACACGAATCTCTATATGCTACACCTCAATATGCATGAGTCATTAGGCATGTGTTACTCACCAAAACGTTCCATAACCGCAACTAGTCTCACCTTTTCCTCCTTTTGTATGCTGCTGCTGTCTGTTAATGTAAACAGAAGCATGAAGCACCAACTGCTGTGTGGCTAACAGCAATAATAATGAAATAGGCCCTGTTGCGCCAAAATTATAGATTAAAATAATAATAAATGAAAGTAATAACCTAAAAGAAAAAAGATCCAGAGAAATCTCTGTGCATAAAGGGCAAAGCTGAAAACCAGTATCGAGTGACCATGACCTTCGATCCCTCAGTCAGTGCTGCATTAAAAACAAACATGCCTCTGTGATGAATATTACCACATGGGCTCAGGAATACTTCAGAAAGTCCTTGTAAGTAAACAGTTTGTCACTGCATCCATAAAGGCAAGTTAAGACTCTACTACGCAAAGCAGAAGCCATATATGTCAACCACATCCAGAAACGTCACCGACTGATCTGAGATGGACTGATGCAAAGAGGAAATGTGTGCTGTGGTTTGATGAGTCCACCTTTCAAATTGTATTAAGAAATAACAGACATTGTGTTCTACAGGCCAAAGAGGGAAAGGACTATCCCGATACTTTTACCGTTGCAAAGTTCAAAAGCCTGCATATGTCATGGTATGGGGGTGTATTAGTGCCAATGGCACAGGTAACTTGCACATCTGTGAAGTCTTTTTTTTAATACCTGGGCCAGTATTCCTTGGTCAAACCACCACATCCCCATTTTATGGGGACATACATTTTTCTTTTTCATTTCATTATTAATGCCACAACTGATTATTCATACTGTTTATTCATAGTCATACAGATATAAGGCAATGTAGTACCACAACCACCCAGCCCCCCTCCATCCACAGTCTCTCCCTCTCCCACTACACCCCCCTTGCCCACCCGTTCCATCCCTTTAAGAAAGAAAAGACAGAGATAGCTGAAAGACGAGGCTGAAGAAAAAAAAAAAACGTTTCAATTATGGACAAACTGGACAAGACAGGACAGACAAACAACGACAATTATGTGAAGTCTTTGATGCTGAGGGATACATATGGATTTTGGGGCAATATGTGCTGCCATCTAGATGATGTCTTTTTCAGGGATGTTCCTGCTTGTTTCAGCAAGACAATGCTAAGCCACATTGTGCACATGTTAGAACAGTGTGTTTTTATAGTAAGAGAGTGTAGGTGCTAGACTGGCCTGCCTGCAGTCCAGACCTGTCTCCTATTGAAAACGTGGGGCGTATTATGAAGCGCAAATTACCAGACTATTGAGCAGCTGAAGTGTTACATCAAGCAAGAATGGAAAACAATTCAACTGTTGGTTTGCACAGTTCTCAAATGATTATAATGAAAACAAAACTTTTTGTCTTTGTACTTTTTCAACTGAATGCAAGCCAAAAAGGACTGGCAAATCACTGCTGTCTGTTTTTATGTACATTTTTCCTATTGTCCCATTTTACTGAAATTGGGTTTGCAATTGCTTATCTTGCAAATACCCGGCATTCAGTTGCATATATACTATATTCATCTTAATATTCCTTAACCTTAAACCTGGCCCAAACCCTAACCTTAACCCAAACCCTAACCTTAACCCAAAACCTAAACCTAACCCTGTCCTAAATGTAACCTTTGTCCTAATCCTAACCCTCATGTTGATGTTGTTGAGTATCACCAGATAGTTTGTTAATAATTTGAATATCTACAGATAATCTATCTATTATCACCAACACGCTGGAGAGTGTTTCTCAAAAGCATTACAGCACAAAGATCATTAAAAAATAGAGTCACAGTAGACAGTAGTGATCATTTAGTTATTAATGACAGAGACAGAGAGATAATAAGAGAATTCAAGAATCTGTCTACACAGACAACTCTTTCAGGCTATTCAGGTTTAGATTTGCTGAAATTTTTCCTTGCCACAACTAACCCACATGTAAGAGTGTCCTCAACATAAAACACCAGTATCAGCAGTACCACAAATACCGAACACCTGGTAGAACAGGTCTTTAGCATATATCTGTCTATTTATGGATGGGTGGAGCAGGTTCCTCATAGAAAAATCTGCATTTTTCAGAGCCAGAACTTACAACTTACTTTCACTTTTGTTTATTCTCTCCAAGTTTTAAATGATTCTAGTGCCACAATGCTTTTGGTCCAGACATTAAAATCAGCACACTGTGAAGCTTAAATAAATGAATCAATTCAAGTTTTCGGCAGATGCTATCACCATGGCAGTGCTTACACAGCTGTATGCCGCTATTGGTCATGCAAACAGACACAGAAGTATGCTTTTTTGTTCCACTGTTTCCTTGCATTTGTCTGTGCTAGTTCCTTTAGGCTACTTGACTGTGGTAAAGTAGACTAAACCAAGTTTAATACTGTGAAAAAGCAACAAAAAAATCACAGTCTGCAATCTCTCACCCAAGACAAATATACCTAGTGCTGTAAAATAGGATTCTCATTAATGAGCCTTTACACAGCATGATATGCTGCCAGTAATAGGTCAGTCCATTGTTTTCAGAACACCAGCAGCTTCTTTGTTTGGGTTGCAAATTTTCTTTTTTTTTCTTCTTCCTTTTCTCAGAAAGGGATTCTTGGCAGTTACACACCTTTCGGACTCATAGTGTTGAGTTGTCTTCTCACAGTGGAAGAATGGGACAGAAACACCTGTGGATTTTTTCAGATCCAAAGCAAGAGTAAAGCTTGATTTTCTCCTCTCTCTCAAAGATGAAAGTTTCAAGTACCGGTTATCTAACGACAGTTTTGGTGGTCCACCAGGTCTTATACTGTTGTTAGGAGTCCCATTTTCTCTTTATCTTTAAATTTTTTTAACTCCAGTTTTAGAAACTCCTGTTTTTTCCACTTATGGCTTTTTCACAGGAAATTAAATAAATGAATGGTGGTCATATTTTTTAATGAAACTCAACCACACCAAACATAAGGATCAGGAGAATGAAAGGCCAGTGTCAACAAAACTGATGTATTGCTCATCTTATGGTGCTATACAGTCTTTCCTGGCATCGCATTCTGAGTAAGAAGCGTTTTGTTTTGTGTGATTATTGAAGAATATATGTCAGTGCAAATGCAGCATAAAACTGGTTATTATTAGTAGTCTTGCATACTAGCTAAAAAAAACAAACTGCAACAGTTAAAGAAACAGGACGATCAGGAAGAGGATAAAATTGACACATTGAAAGAACTAAGAGAGACAGAGACCTGACATCAGTTTTGTAGACAGACACTTTTACTAGAGTTACTAGATACTTTTTAGAAGCTCGAAAGCAGTGACTCAGTAGTGACTTACCAGAACAGACACCTGCTCTGCTGGTCCTTAGAGAGGCATATGAACAAGTCTTTCACTTTGACCATGATGTGTGCGAAGGGCCATATTACTCTTTCACTTTCTAAATGAGGAAGAATTGACAGTGACATCCTGTCTACTCCTATAGCTCCTCCACTTCATACTGACTTCAAATCAGCATGTGGTCAGTATAGACACTCACTGGGCAAAGAGGGAGGAAGCAACTCAGTCTTAAACTGTTGCACAGTGTATCGAAACAACTCCACACTAACTTTCAAGACTTTTAATTCTTTAGGTAGACAGAGCCCAGGAAGACATGTGAGTGCTACAGTAGCAAAGGAACATGGAAAGAATGTATTTAAACAGACCAACAAAATGTTGATGCTGTATTCTGCCTTCAGGCAAATCACATTACGACCTCTTTTTAATCCCATATGAGGCTCAGTGATCCACTGTCCAGACATCTTCAGACAGTTTCAACTATTCCCCTCCCCAACACACATGATCCAGCTCATGAATGGCTCTATAATCAGCTGATGAGCTGGATCAGGTGTGTCAAATCAAAGAATATGACTGAGAAATGTCTGTTAATGTAATGTTCAAAAGTGAATAAATGTAACATTCTGTTTAAAGTGTAAAATGTACAAACAAAACTACTTTTTAGTGGGCTTTAGGTCGGGGGGTCCAGTCTTGACTGACACCCCAGCTTTAGGTTTTGGTATAAGTGTACATTTAGATAAGGACTGACTGTGTTTCAGTCTAAGTCCACGACTGTGTTTGAGTCCACAAGGGGGCATCATCTATGTAAAAACGTGCACCTACTTTCATTCCTCTCCTTAATCTTTTTTAAAGTGTCAGTGTCTATTAAATAATAAAGCAGTGGTGTGCTATTCCTCCGTTGTTAGAGAGACTGTTGTGACAAGCTGGGAAGTGGTGGAACAACTCTTGAGCTCCTGCTTGATTTTTGTGTGGCACAGCCTTTTCCTTCAGTCGCATTTTTATGTACAGTCAGAGGTGGGTAGAATAGCCCAAAACCCATACTCAGGTAAACGTTGTTACGTCTATGAAATAATAAAGTATGCTTTCAAAAACTTGAGTACAAACTTATTAGATTAAAATACCATTTATTTACTGAGCAACTTCTAGAACTGCAGTGGAACTTCCTAGCACATCCAGCGTCTATCAGCATTGGAACAGTCGTTTTTTTCTCTATTCTTAACTCTATTCTTCATTAAAAGTAAGAAGTGAGACCAATCACAAAGCAGGAGATATTAATGTAAAAAATGTGGAACACTAAGTAAAGTGGGATAGATTAGCTTAGTGCTGTGTTGGTCTAACTCCACCAAGTAGTGACAAATGAGAATGCTTTTTTTGGTAAACATGAGGATGTTAAAGAAAATAAACCAAACATTTTTTTTATGTGTATTTTTACAAAACTAATTGGTTAGTTAATGAAAAACATATGGCTCAATTTACATCCAATTTATATTTTATATTCAATTTTTAGATTCAATTATTTAAAGTGGGCATTCAGTGCTGCCCCACTTATGCTGAGCATGTTAGGAAAAAGTGAGATACAGTTTAAGGTTAAGTAGAACGCTTTTTACTATCATTGTGGTATATTATAATTATTTATCATCAATTTAAAGGGTTAATATGACTGCAGACATGATCCAATGACACACAACTGTTCAATGAACTTAAGCCAGGATATTGTATATGTAGTCCATCTGTTTCTCTGCATACTTTGTTAGCCCCCTTTTACCCTGTTCTTCAGTGATCAGGTCCCTCAAAGGACCCCCACAGAGCAGGTACAATTTGGGTGGTGGATCATTCTCAGCACTGCAGTGACACTGACGTGGTGGTGGTGTGTTAGTGTGTGTTGTGCTGGTACGAATGGATCAGACACAGCAGTGCTGCTGGAGTTTTTAAATACTGTGTCCAGACACTGTATCATCAGCCACAGTAGCTCATCTGTTGCTGTATGTTTTGTGTTGGTCATCCTCTAGTCCTTCATCAGTGATCACAGGACGCTGTTGGCTGGATATTTTGGGTTGGTGGACTATTTTCAGTCCAGCGGTGATGCTGATGTGTTTAAAAACTCCAGCAGCACTGCTGTGTCTGATCCACTTGTACCAGCACATCTCTGATTCAGCTTTTCAAGAATATCTGTTGACACAAATATTTAATTCAATATTAAGCATGTATCCTTTGTGTAATCAAATGAAAACAACCTGTCCAGCATAAAGTTTCACAAGATGATTTAATAATTTAAATTTCCTTACAAGAAAAACAAAGCAAATATTATACATAGCTTTTATATCACATATACGAAAAAGCTTATTTTAAAAATCAGGATAAATTAATGTAGAGGAACCTGACAGCTTTCTCTGAACAATGTTTGGCTCACTGCTAAATCATATTATCTCCATGTCTTACTTATCTTTGAACCAAATGAATTTATGTAAATGCATGTGTGTGAAAAAGGTAAAAACCCAAATCTAAAGCACCTAAAACCCAACCATTTGCATGCATATATTTTCATTTAGTAGTAGTCTGTAATACCTTGAAAAAAGAAAACAGAATTTGTTTAGAAAATGTAGGTCTATATATGAGTAATCCCTTATATAGTTATTTTAATTAGGTTCATTGTTTCATTTATATATATATATATAAATGAAGTGCGTGACAGAAAAATATGATTTATACACAATTTATATTATGTATGAAAGAAAATATTTCATCTACATTATAACAATGCGTTTTCAACATAAACTCTAATTAAATTATTTGAGAATGTACTTCCTATACACTTCACCCAGGTTCATTTTGGGGTCACTAAGCCCAGCTAATAGTTGGTGGCAAATATTAATTAACAATCATTCAATTTGCAAGTAGTTAACTCAAAACAAGCAAGCAGTATCCAGCTGCAGCCCCACAAACCAAGCCCCAGGCTGGGTAGACCCTAGGCAGAATAAATCCCTAGTTGGGAAGATTTTAACCAACTTTGTAGTGAGTTACCTAAGTTAGCTAAACTATTGGTGAGGAATAGACAGTCTACAGTGGGTAACTCATATTGAACTTCTATTGAAGGAACAAAAGGCTAGTTACACTCCCAGCTATGTTAGCTAGTTAGCTCTCTAACACACACTGCTATTAAAATAATCTGACTTTATGTCATTTTAAGTATATTTAGGTAGCTACAATATACCTTCTCTGAAATAATTTATTTGTGTTAAGATACATTTTGATTTCCATTATCAACATAGCTAGTAAGCTAACTTAGGTATCTCAGTAGCAGGCTTCTGTTCAAGCAACAGCTTCCCCTGCCAACGTTCCTGTACCTACATTCCCAGGACTCTATGTTCAGTTCTTTATTTAATACATCACACAATGAGGTCTACACTCAATAGGGCTGGCTGGATTCAGTCAGCTGAGTCTCATTATTAGTTGTTTTGCTCCTTAAATAATTTAAATAATAACATGCAAATGACAAATATGCAATAAGAGACAAAATCAGGCAAATACTTTTTCACAGCATTGTATGTCTCTGTACAGCTGAATTTCTCTCTTTCTCTCTTCAAGAGAGTTTTCCTGTTTTCCAACATCGAAAACACTAACTAAACAGCAGGTACCAATAACACAAGACCTCAAGACTGGTAGAACAGGCACTTTGGTGTGCAGACTCTAATAGCCGCTGTGTTTGTGGTGGAAGTAGAGGAGGTTTTCCAGAGGAGTTATTTAACCAACATCACTCTGAACATTCTCTCAAAGTTTAAACATGATTTTAAATCTGAAAAAAAACTGAGCCCAGATACTCAATTCAGAATTCTTACTATAAGACTTCAAAGCTTTGTTAATTCATGCCCAAATAAAATGATTTTAGGAAATTAGGTGTAGGAATTATTCCTCTGGAACAAGTTAAATACCTGAATATATACCTAACCTGAAACAAAAAAGTGTATATTGGTGATTGAGTTTAATAATAAAAGTAATAATTATGGTAAGCATAGGAATCATAGGAATTGTCAAGCACAAATCTAAATTTCTTCTTAAAAGTTCAGAAGCTACTGGAAGAATTTGACCATGTGATTATTAAAGAAGATATATCCATTCAAAACAGGTTAACATTAGTATTCTAGTAAAATACTTTTCATTATTTTCCTACAAGAGGCTTTTTTGCCTTTTGTTTTGCTTTGTTTTTCTGGGAATAACTCACACAAAGTCAAGATTGAGGTAGTACTGAGAGAGAGAACTTACTGCAGCGGCAAACACAAACTATGCAGCGACATTCAGACAAAGATCCCTCTATATAATTGAGAGAGGAATACTACAAATTTAACACTCAACAGGAAAGACATACAAACATAAAACAAGCAACTCGATAGTGACTTACCAGAATAGACACCTGCTCTGCTGGACCTCTGAGGTCCTTAACACATTCTCAACCTTTCACTTCCACCACTGTGTGTAGGATCATGTTGTTCTTTCACTTTCTGTCTTTTCAAACAGAGAAAAATCAACAAACCGTGGTCACCCTATCCGCTCTTTTCAGGTTTACATGTTTGCATGTTGAATCCAAATGCTAAATAAATTCACTTGAGACTTTTATTGCAGCAAGTCTGTATTTTCTAATATTAGAGGCGAGAAAGGCCACATATAAAGTTTCTTCACTTCACACTGACCCAGGTCAGCCTTTGGTCAGTACAGACACTCACTGGATAAAGAGGAAGGAAGTGCCCCAGCCAATAGGCTATACCTTAATCTTGCTCCAGGCATTCTACAGCATTGGCCCAGTTTCAGTGATTCCCGGCTCCAACCCACCTAATCCAGCCCATGAAGGGCTGCATAATCAATTGACGAGCTGGATCAGATGTGTCTGTGCTGTTGGTTACTGGTTACATTGTCACTGCGGTGTTCAGAACTTAATAAATTTAAGATGCACCTTACAGTGTTTTCAGTCCAGTCAAGCTTGATACCACTTGTTTAACCAGTTGGTCTCAGGTCTTAGTCATACGAGGTGTGCTCCTGCCTTAGCTTCAAAGAAAAGCTGCAACCATATAGATACAACACATACTGACTGCACACAGACTGCCATCAATATTCATACATGAACTCAAAATGAGCTCTTGTGTTTTATTCTTTGTGTAAATGAATGAGAATATTTCATAAAATTTCAAAAGAAATTATTTAAATATCCTTTCATGAAAAACAGCAAGTGTTATATTTGCATTAAAGTCGCAATCATGTCTCAGACATATGTGTGGCTATTTTAAAAAAAGTCACAAAAAATAACTTATTGGCAAGTTAGCTTCCTCTGAACAGTGTTTGACACTGCTGAATCACTTTTATTATTTTTATTTTATTATTATTATTTATAACAGCTTGAAAAAAGAAGCCCTGGTTAGGTTAAGATGGAAGAAAAAATGATAGTGCCTTCCTGCTTGTATAACATACCAGAAACAGCCAAGAAAATATTTCACTTGTACAACTTCAAACACCTCAAAAAATTAATACAAAAATAAAATCCAGGACTGTATGAAAAAAAATCTATTGGCCAACACTTGGTCCACCAGCTTTGACCAGTAGAGGGCAACTGTTTCTTTCCCCTTACACTTCAGAGTCCAAGTGAGAAGACAATCACTGGGGAGCTTCATGGCTAACAAATAACATTCTATACCAGATTCAACCACAAGACAGTAGCTGATTTTTCCCTTATCCAAAATACTATGGAGCTAACTGGCAAACAAAAACCAGCATAGACACAGCTAAATCAGCTTATGTTGTGTTTTGGATGCTGACAGGCTGATGAACCAGCATAATGATGCTGTGTGACTAGTTAAACCATCAGCAGACCAGCTTAAACCAGTCCATGTCCTACATTATGAGCGATGTTTGTCATTTTTAAATTAATAATGTAGCAATAATACAGTAAGTAATATTACTTGTAATAAGAAAAATTTAAAAAAAACAAAGTTGATAAAAGCAGAAAAATTTGATAAAACAAAAACAGTTGTTATTTTATTTTATTATTTTTGACAGATAATCTCTTTAAGACAGCATCATATTACATAACATAACATAGTTATTTTGAACCAAATATAATGTTGTCAGTGAAGCCACTTACAACTCACTAAAGCAGCTTGTTATAATAAACAACAGGCATTTATATGAGGCTCTAGGCTAACTTTAAAAAACGAGATTTGAAATAACAAGATAACTCAGTGGTACCAGTTACTACATTAAAATAAGGTGGTAATTTGGTGCAGCTTTTAAATTTTGCATGAATTCATTTGAAGTTCTTTCATAAATGTTATTAGGTAAAACAAGACACAACCTGCCAGGGCCTAAATAGTTGGTATGGAATGATCTTTTAGGACAGGGGTGCCCAATTCTGGTCCTTGAGATTTACCACCCTGCAGAGTTTAGCTCCAACTCTGATCTAACACACCTGATCTAGGTAATGAAGTCATATGAGAGCCAGGTGTGCTGGATCTGAATTAGTACATCTCAAGGACCAGTAATCATATTGTGTTAACTCTTTTAGTGTTTAGACACAAATCTATATTGCTTCAAATAAGCCTCACAATTTTAACAACATATGCCACAAATGCACTCAAGAATGCAACTACAGATGATTTTGTTAAATATTATTTTACTTTATTTGCTTTTATTAATTTTTATTAATCCCTTTGCCATGTAACGACCTCCAATGGTTAGCCTATTTTACATCTGGTTATCTATAGCTCCCCAATCTAACAATGCCATTTGTTGAAGGGATATCTCGGAGACATCCTGGCTCCTAGATGGGGTGAGACTGTAAATTCCTGGGTGGGCCTCAACACCTCTATTTTAATTACAAAGGTAGAGGCAGTTGCCCATCCAGTAGGGGGGTTTCTGGGTCATTTAGACAAAGAGTCAACTAGAGGGTGTGGTGTACATTCGTGACTATAAGTTCATCGTTTTGTAAGATTAGTTAGACTTGCTTGGTTGGGAAGACATGCGTTTATTAAACTTCTTTTCCTCAACAAAGTCTCCACTCCTGTTTCTACTAAACCAACAGTTGCAAGCAGTCAATAATTTCATATATGAAAAAACAGCAAGCACAAGACATGCTACAGCAGTGTCCACAGCTTGACTCTGTGTCTTGATTTACATTACTCCTGTTGGTCTGAAGCAATGGCTCCGTTAAAGGCTGCGCTGAGGGTTGTGAACTCAGAGCACCATCTAAAATATTGAAACATAAACAAATCATTATTGTGAATAATCTAAGTGCTATTTTTTCAAAGGAGAGCTCATGAAATGCACTATTAGAGTAAGTGGTAGAATGTAAAAAATTAGGATGATGAAGTGGTTTGTGAGGCTTACCCCTGCTTGTTGAGGCTGATGCTGATTTCTGAAAAGAGAAAACATTTTTACCAGAACATCTCTTAAATGTAGCCAAGGTACTCACAAACAAGCATGGTGGGGGGGTGTTATATCACAGTAGCACAGTTATTGAATACAGTACCTGAGGTTTTAAGTGCTTTGTGATTTTTTCTAATGCAGTATCATTCTTCTCGCACTGCAGCAGTCCTTTATCCTCATAGAACAGACAGTCCACTGTGAATGTGTTCTCTCTGTTTACAGATCTGCTGCTGTCTGGTACTGTGCTGTCTGGGTCAAACGTATGATGGAGCACCACTAGAACAGCAGGTTTGGTGGCTGTGGAAAATTACATAAATGTATTTGATTAAACAGAGAAGTGTGAATCAGTGTAAAGATTCTGAATTTTGCTGTGGGAGTTAGTTACCTGATTTGTCATTGAGTTTTTTCAGTGCTGCTTCAATGTCAGTTCCAGCTCGAGAAACAACAGGACAGAAAACCAGAATGACATCACACTCCTCCACTGAAGACACCTTCTGCAGGTTTGGTCGGTGTTTGTGGAGATTTGTGATAAAGTCCACATCAGCGTTTATCGTCTGTCCAGTCACAATAGTGAAATACGTCTGTTTCTCTGTACAGAGATTAAGCTTTTTAATGGTTACTCTCACTTTTAACAGATCTTTGTACTCATCAGACTTTTTAGGAACTTATATTTTTGACATATATTTTTATGTCACTCAAGCACTGAAAAAAAGCTCAACAAAACTAAGACCATTTTCACAAATGAAAGAAGACAAGTATAGTAGTAGTGTAATGAAATGGAACTTTTAGATTTTGAGCAACTTTGGATCTTAAGGAATGAAATAGTCATATGCAAGTTTGATGTGTGGTAATATTATGACATATACTGTATTTTCCAATATGTTAAATTCAAATAAATATAAATTGTGCACAAGCAGAAAATGCCACATTTGTTTGTTTATTGCCTGCGGAGCATGTGTCTATGTGTGTATCTTACTTTAACTTAGAAAGTCAATCATATAGGTACTTCATGCAAGACATGCAAATACACCAAATAATGTACTTATAAAGCAATATTTGAATGAATTGCATGTGCCAGTAATCACAAGATGACCTTAGATGACTTAGATAACATTGTATTAAGGAGCCTTCAACTAACTAACTGTTACGGGCCATATGAGGCAAGGTCCTAATTAAGAGCACCATAGATCAGTTCTATGGGAAGATTCTGATGGCCCCAAACTTTAATGACACATATTACATATTTTCATATTTCTTATCATCCTTATGCAAGCTTAGTTTATGGGAAAGATTTTGAGGTTCAGGAGTATATGATATACTAGAGAGTGTATCCCTAAGATCCGTTGCCAGGTTTACATTAAATCAAGCAATTCTTGTGAATATGAAATCAAATGGAAATCTCCTAGATGATAAAATGATGAAATAATATGTATTTTAATGGTGCTGAATATGAAGACATGAGTTTTAGGTTGAACAGAGAGGGGGGATGAGTGTTTTGTTTGTGGGGGCTGAATTCAATTCAGTGTCATATAATAAACTGCAGTACATACTTGATGGATTAAATAAAACAATTATTCTACAAAAAAGAACAGTCAAACAGTGAAAGAGACCATAAGTTATCTCAGTGTGTCACTAACGTGTTATGCAGGTTTTTCACAGTGTATTTTTTATGACTATAAAACTAAATATTGTGCGTTAAATAATATTAAGTTACTATGGTGTTTGGCATTCTATGGTGTTTCATGGTAAACATGAATCTACATATGCTATATCTCATTGTACATGAGTCATTATGTATGTGTTACTCACCAGAACCTGACATAACCGTGACTGGTTTCCTTCTTTCCTCCTTTTGTATGCTGCTGTTGTCTTTGACACCAACCACAGTATGGCAAACAGCAATAATAATAAAATAGAATCACTATCAACATTTAGAACTTAAAATTAAAATAAATAAATAACCTAAAATAAAATGATTACATTGTCCAGCTGCTCATTCTGACATCATTCTAAGCTTCTCATCTCAGTTCATGCGCTGAAGTAGAATCAGTATTTGTTATCTAAATTATCAGTATCACTTTACTTGATGGTCCACTTTGTAAATACTTACCTTGCTATTAACTTACATTAGGAATCCTATATAAAATATAAAAATATAGCTTATCTTAATCCATGTATAATCTAAAAACAATTCTCTCATTGTATGAGAGAGTGGGGTTAGAGTGACTTTCTGGCAGGCTAAATCAAACGTCATCATGGGCCAACTCTGGCCTGTGGGCCACACTTTGGGCAGTCCTCAAATATAAGTTGAATTATAAGCTTTATTACCTACAACACTCTGATTGTGTTTCTCAAAACCACTGAAGCACATAGATCATTGGAAAATAGAAGCGTCACTGAGGAGTGATCATTTAATTATTAATAACAGAGACAGAGAGTTCATGAGAGAATTAGATGATCACTCTGCAGAGACACAGGAACTCGAGTCTTGTAGAACAGGCCTGTGGTATGTATCTGTGTGTTTATTTAAGAGTGCAACAGGTTTGTCTTAGGAAAAATAAGAATCTTGTAGAGCCAGAACTTACAACTTACTTTCACTTTTGGACATTCTCCCCATGTTTTAAATGACTTTAGCACTGCAAACCTTATGGCAAACTGAAGTCATAATTAAAATCAGAACAATGTGGAGCTTCTCACCTTTTTAAAATGTCCAATACCCAAGTCGAGGCACAGCTACAAGGGGGAACAAGGGGCCTAGGTGGACCCGGCCTCCCCCAGATTTTAAATCATTAAAAACCTTGTGACTATTGTCTACCATAAGTACATTGAAAAAGTCATCTCTGTAGATCATCAACAAATGTTTAGCACTGTGACAGTGTTTATACAGCTATATGCCACCTTCAGTCACAAAAAAACACCCAGAAAGAAGCTTTTCTGCTGTCCTGCCTGATGGTGAGAATCTAGCTGAGCTGTATTAGTTCCTATAGGCTTACCTAACTAGCAGCTAGTAGTATTTGACCATGCTCAAGTAAATGAAGTTCAGTTCTGTGAAAAAGCAATTAGAAAATGAGAGATTCTGGTTCATTAGCCTTTACTCACCATGGTATGCTGTCAGTAATTTTAGTACTGTCTGTAGCCAACTAACTGCAAGGTAAGCAATTGCATGTTGTGTTTAATATTTAACAATTAATTATGGTAATGGGTGGGCAATTTTCTAAAGATTTTGCTATAATTAAGTTGGTGAGCTGGTGGTCTTGTCAGTAGGCTCCCATGAAATGAAATTGTTGCCATGTCATTGGTCCTCTGGCCTTCTGCATTACCCAGAAATAAAAAGGAATACAGTCCTGTACAGTTTTTCAGAGGTACTTTTCCACACCCCCAAAAGTTCAGTCTTAGAAGTTGGTTTTGCCTTTGTTGAGCAAAACTGGAGCTTAGTTTTCCTACCTCTCTCAAAGATGAAAGCTTTCTTATTGTGAGAGTTTTGGTGGTCACAATTATTTGGAGTCTTTTTCTCTTATCTTTTAATAATTTTTTGAACCGCAGGTTTTCACTTGTGGCTAGGGAGGTTTCTGACATATGAATATTGTTTTTTTGAGTTAAATGTCATATTTGACCAAAAATATAGATTTTGATCAAATGATGGAAAAGGAAGAGGATGGAATTGGTTCAAAGAAAGAAGTAAGAGAGACAGAACTCACTTTGTTAGGCAACAACGAATGCAAACTATGCAGCATAGGCTCCTTATATACAATAAAACCTAAATAAGGCTTTGCTGAGTGTTCGATAGACATTCAAGGGTTACTATTTACCTTTAGGAAGTTAAAAGCAACTCAATAGTGACTTACCAGAAATGACACCTGCTCTGCTGCTCCTCAGAGTCATATGAACACCTCTTTCACATTCAACACTCTTTGTGAAAGATCTTATGACTCTTTCACTTTCCTTCTTTCCACACAGAGAAGAACTCCCATCCTGTCCACTATTGTAGGTTCAAATGTTTGCATAATTAACCAAAATGCTGCATTTCATTTGTTGCAGTATAGCGGTCAGCATAGACAGTCACAACGTATGTACAATGTATCACAACAATTCCATATTTTCAACACTTTTAATTCCTTATAGATAGACAAACAGATGGACAGGTAGACTTTATTAGTTCCTAAGAAGAAATGTGGGTGCTACAATATCAAAAGAACACATAATGAAAGTATTTGAATGGGTATTTAAACAATTGTTTTGTTGATGTATTCTTCACTGCACGGTTTCATCTATTACCTTCTCCATGATAAAGACTTAATAAACACTGGGTTATACAGTTGTAGACTAGTTTATATCTGACCTTTACATATATTAAATTAACAGCTGTCATTGTAATGTTCAAAACTAAGTACAATTATGATACAGCTTACAATGTAATATGTACAAATAAAACTACTATTTTAGTAGGATTTAGGTTGGGGTGCTAATTGTATTTGCAAAAGGCAAGTGTGGCTGCAGGTTTTCATTGCAGTCAAGCTGGACCCTTGTTCCACCTGTTTAGTCAGCTGGTCTCAGTCTTTGAACAACTGTTTAGTTATATGAGGTGTGCTTGGTTGCAATGAAAACATGCAGACACACCATTTCTCTGCAAACAAGACTGGAGTATGGGATTAATTTAGTGTCAAAAGTTTCAAATAAAATAACAAAATCCACAAGCAAATCGTTAAATATCACAATGTCCAAAAATGTTGCAAATACAAATAATAAGAGTTAAATCAAATTCAAATGTGAAAGATGTAGCATTACTGAGTCAGGAGGAAACAGACACACAAAAATACGGTGTGCGTACACTACTGCGAGTCGCCCTGTAAAACCTGAAATTTATACAGTTTTGAATGATGACAAAAGACTTGATAGTTCTTGAAAGATTTAAAGCTCAGTTAACAGAATGAGCACTTGTTTTAATACAAATTTCATACACATCCATGGTTAGCAGAAAAAAGGTTTGCTATTACATAGACCTTAAGGCTGCACTTATGCTCAGATTAGTGCGTTCATCAGTGCCACAGAACAGTGGTTACCAACCTTCCCAACTTGTGGCCGATGCAACCGACTATGACCCACAAGAAAATTTAACCAGCTGAATCATTTGAAACGCAAAGAAACCAAATGTAGCCTGTTGAATTCACTTGACTTTGATAATCCCGCAACATAAAACCAAAAATATCCAATATCAAATTTTCTGTTTGTTGCCATTTATCCATGATGGATGAATTCCTTATGATCAAAAAGAGAAACTTTTACATTGTATTTAAATGTGATTTTTTTAATTTTTGCAAATAAATACCACAATAATATTTGTCCATTTTATTTATTTATTTTTTTTTTTTTTGACTAAATGTAGCAGAACCACTAAGCCCCTGTGGCGATAGAAACCGCTATGGTTTCCTGAAGAACTATTTTTGTAAATGAGACGTGTGAGTGTGAAGAACCATTTAAATGTTTAAAGAATCATTTCATAATGTAAAGGTTCTTTACCAGTTTAAGGGTTCTTTCAAGAACCTTTAAATTATGTGGAGGCTCTTTGAATTTAAAAAGGGTTCTGCACATTCAGATATCTCATTTACAAAAATGGTTCTCTAAAAAACTATCTATGGAAAGGTTCTTTACGGAACCAAAAAAAAAAAAGAGGTTACCCCATAACATTGGATCTTACACCTATAGATGTCACAAGTAGTGGAGGGAGGTGCAAGTGGGCCCAGTCTCATACTGGACTCTGCTGCCTTGCTCAATTTACACTGTGTTACTTATGTTCCACTATCCCATATCACTCCTGTTGCTTTTACCAGTGGTCATTCTCATCCATAATGAAATGAATGAATCAGGATATCATAATCTTATATCTTATAATCTTATAATCTAATAATGCACACAAAACAAATCTTTACTTTAAATTACTCAATCTTTTGACAGGAGAAAATGTGGCCAGTCATTTTAAAGAAACGCTTTAATTTTGCCTAGTAACGGCCACTTGATTGACCAAGGTTGTTTTCTCCAGCACCCAAGGCCAGGATTTTTCTGTGCTGCTGATTGGCTAATGGCAGTGCACTGAAGGTGATATAGGGTAATGTAATTCTCAGAGCCTTCAGCACAAACACAGAACACTGAGGCAGCTTCTGGCTTGTATAAATACAGTGTATAAACTGGAATAATTATTTCAACCCTCCAGACATATCAAGACAAAAACATAATGATTTACTAGTCATATATTATTACTGTTCAGCTCTTGTCGTTATTTTGCTTGTGGTAATTGGTAAACAGTGACGAAACACCCCTAGATATTTCTGTTCATCAGTGAAACAAATCCTTACTCATTCTGCTGCTGGAGCGCTCTCTCAGTCTATGCTGCTCCTCAAAGCTCTTTTATAAACATCCTCCAGAACTGAGTGAGTATCTGGGAGGTCTGAAAGTCTTTGTTTCAGTGTCTCCAACTCTCTGTCCTTTTCCTCCATCTGTCTGCTGAGCTCTTTCTGCATTTTTTACTTTGAGACCAAAATGTTTCTCTGGAGTTCAGGCAGGATGATCTTCATGAGGTTCCTCTCTGCCTCCATTCTGGCTTCTCCTCCATATGTCTCCCTGATCTCCTCCATCTCCTGTCTGGGTCCCTCCTCCATCTCTCTGCTCTCCTTCTCTCTCTTTTATTTTAGTTTCTTCACCTTTTCCTCCTTTTCTGTCCTTCTCTCTACTTTTTGTTGCATCTCCCTCACAAGTTCTCTCTTCTTCATTCTTCTTTTTTTTCCAGTTCTATTATTCAATCCTTTAGTTGTCTGATATCTACTTATTTACTGATATCTCCCTCTATCTTTCTCAAAAAAGTTCCGAAACTCCTTTTCTAGCTTTTCCTTAACTTTTCTCTTTTCTCTTCCTTTCATTATTTGTCTCTACTGCTCTAATTTGAGATTAGGTATCATTATGTTTGCTGTTGAATAATAGGCTTTATTTAAGCCTATTATTCAACAGCAAACGTCCGCCTTCCGTCCAATGACAGCTGGGATAGGCTCCAGCTCCCCCCACGACCCAGAAGAATAAGCAGCTAAAATGTGTGTGTGTGTGTGTGTTTGTGTACTATTATTATTATTATTATCTTAGAAGCAGTGAACATATGCATAACATAGTAATATACTGCATTTCTTTCCTTGAAGAAATGGAAATCTCCAGCTGTCAATTTCAAAGTATACAAAATGAATTTTGTGACTCTCGCATTTATAATGAAATCATACACCTGCCACAAACTCCCAACAACACAGCGGTTCACATCTGAGAGAACTGCGGAAACCAACATAACATTTCTCACAGAAAGTTTAATGTACAGTTGGACCTCAAAACCACTGCTGAACTTCTGAGGATACATTTACATTGTTTGTACCTTGATGAACTAAAAAAGTACCTGCACAGAATCTTTCATTCTGACTGTGCAGATGCATAGAAATTTTCAGAAGCTTTAAATGTACCTTAATCACATATCAAAATGGTTTGTACAGATACGCACACACACAACATGTATGTCTTCTTATTGACACTTTTCCTCATTGCTAACTAAACAAATACAGTTGGGTCATTGTCTTTAAAGAATTTTTGTGGAAATAATAATATACTAAATTATATTTAATTAGACTTTGGAGGATATAATTATTAACTGAAATCAGTTATGAGACCTAGGCTAAAGCTGGTTTTACATTTGATAACTATAGAAAAAAGTTGCATTTATTACTTTTCTTATACTGTTAAAGAGATCACATGCATTATTATAGCTCTACTAATGCCTGTGCCTTGTAAGTGTTCAGCTTCAGTCATATAAATATCAAATCATCATATATAATAATCATAAAAAATAATATTTTTAAAAATATATTTTTATTGATAATTTGGTATACCAATTTACTCATTGTAAATTGATCCAACTAATAAACATATGTACAATTTTAAATTACAAATATACAAATGTTTACAATACTGTTCTTGTATTCAAAATATTACATACTGGATGGTGTGCAACAAATAAGACATCAACATCTGATTCAAGTGCTGACTACTGCAAAATCAGCATCAGACAGTGCCACTGGTAATAATACAAAATAAAATAGCATTGTGTCCACTCACAGTGCATTCGTAGAAATTTGGGGTTATTCCTTACAAACTCACCTAGGGCCTGTTCAGCCTTGACTTCCATTAAAAAAATTTAACAAAAACATGCAATAATACAAAATTTAAAGCTGTGCACCAATCAAAAATTCAGTGGTGCCTCCATATTCACTTAACTATCGAATTCAACTGCTTATAATGGAAATTAAATGTTAATTGGGTATAAATACAACATTTAACATTAAATGAGCTGGTTTTATCTTAATACTATCACAACTGGATAATTTATTAACAAAATTTGATTTATGATGTGTACCTACATGTCTAGCATTTTCATTTTATTTTGAATTTCTGAATTCAATATTTGAAGCAACATCATAAATCCAAAATGGCTTCACAAATAAAAATCCATTTTATTGGCCGGTTTGACCCAATATTTTCCTAACAGGGATTATGCATGGAATCTCTTGCAGAGGCACCCAAAATGCCAACATATCAACTAATTTAAAAAGGTTCTGTATTTCTGATTGTGAACAAACTGAATACTTAAGATGCAGTTTAGAACTTGCTGGGCAAACTTTTAGAATTTATAACTAAAAAAATAATTGGAGCACAGCTTTGATATTGGTATGAATTAAACTGAATTAACTGCTTGAACTTCTTCATTTAAATAAAAGATGTGACCAGAAAGGCCCTGTTGAAAGACCCTTCAGGATCTCCACTTCCAGCAGCAACTGATGAGTCAGTAATGTGTTTGAAAACTGCAGGTCACTGCACAAATCTGAAAAATATTCTGAGCAATATCCTTTAAGTGTTCTGCAGGTTATACAGTGAACTGCAATGAGCTGTAGCACCTTTAAACTAGTGTTGCTAGTGCAAGTCAGAGCATAGAGACCTGTTGATCATTTCTTTCAGCTGTCAGAAGGTCTGAAAGAATATATACTTTACAGGCTTCACCCATTGCTTCTGTCCTGTTCATTCTCTCTTTTTCTGCATGTACTGATAAGAGTGTCCCAATTGTTTTACTCCCATATTTACTATTGTTCCTCTTGCTCTGGACCTGCTATGCTCAACACTGTTGTCTGGTATGCTTCCTTCAGCAGACTGTGAGTCTCTGCGAGCTGTGAAAGACTTCGTTTCAGTGTCTCCAGCTCTCTGTCCTTCTCCTCCATCTGTCTGCTGAACTCTTCCTGCATCTTTGACTTTGAGGCCTGGAGTTCGGGCAGAAAGATCTTCATGAGGTTTTTCTTTACTTCCATTGTCGCTTCTTCATACCTTCCCTTGATCTCCTCCATCTCCTCTCTGTGTCTCTCCTCCATCTCTCTCCTCTCCCTCTCTCTCTTTTCTTTTAGCCTCTTCAACTGTCCCTCCAATTCTGTTCTTTTCACTATCTCTTGTTGCATCTCTCTCTCAAGTTCTCTCTTTTTCTCTTCATCTCTTTCTTCTTTCATCTTTCTCTCCAGTTCAGTTGTTCGATTATTTAGTTGCCTGATGTCTCCTTCATGCTCCTGAATTACTCCCTCTATCCTTCTCAGAGAGTTCTGCATCTCCTTTTCCAGTTTTTCCTTAACTTCTCTCTCTTCCATCACCCTCTTTTCTTCTCTTTCTTTCATGACCTTACTCTCTATTGCTCTGATCTGAGATTGTGTCTCCAAGTAGATCTCACTGCTGTAGAATTTCTCTCTGTTTCCTTCCACCATCTTCTCGATCTTCTCCAGCAGCTCTGAGATTTGAGAACCATCTCCACTCTCCTTAGCGCTGAGACAGTGAAACCTGTTCCCACATTTCTCCACAAGTCTCTGGACCTCCTGGTTTCCTGACTGGATAAACTCTTCAATGTTCTTCTCTTGGACTTCATCAGTAACAGTGAAAAGTATCATGGTGTTCCTCCAACATCTCTCTCCAAAGATCTCCTCCATTTTCTCCAGCATTCCTTCTTCCTCTCCTGTAGACTGCTTCACTGGTATGACTAGGAGGAAGGCGTGGGGTCCTGGGGCAGACAGATGGACACAGAGTCCCACGTCCTGTCTCAGCTCCTCCAGAGAGAGTCCAGGACAGAACCAGTCAGGAGTGTCCACCACAGTCACCTGCCTCCCAGCCACCTCTCCCTGTCTGCTCTCACTCTGCTGCCTCACTGTAGACGCTCCAGCCTGGCTCCTGTCCTCTCTGCCCAGGATGGTGTTTCCTGCTGCTCTCTTCCCACATCCAGTCCTCCCCAGCAGCACCAGCCAGAGCTCTTCACTCACTGGAAATTAACAACAATGAGTTATTATGATGTATATCTTATTTTGAAATTCTGGGCATTTGAAATTAGGATGAGTAAAATATACATTCTCTGAGTGAAGCTATGCAATCTGAGGGGTGTGATGTAATTTGAGTATGTGTGATGTATAACCTACCCATGCCCAATGTTGCCATGGTGTTGGCAAGGACTTTTAAGAGTACCTTGAATGGCAAACAAATGGATCCCCAAACAAATCAAGCCTCACCTCTCACCCAATGCCTAGATAACCCAACTGAAGCTGTCTTATTTTGGCCATATTAGAAGAACCGATTTATTGGAAAAGATCATTATGCTTAGTGAAGTTGAAGGTAAAGGAGGAAGAGGATGACCAGCAAAAAAGGATGGCCACAATCAGAGGAATTATGAACCAGCCTTTCAGAACCCTGAAGACTCAAACAGAATAGAGGATATTCTGGGGAAACACTGTTCATATGGTCAATTAATAATAATAATAGTAGTACAATGCTGCAGCATGTTGTATCTATTGATTGCACCACTAGTATTTAGGAAAGAGGTTTAATTCCTCAAACTGAACAGAGACAGTACCTCACATTAATTCAAATCAAGATATTTTATCCAACTAACAAAGTAAAGTACTTGACCATTAAAAGAGTAAATCAGAAAAATCTCTTTGAAAAATAATCCAGCTATTTAAAATGGCAGAAGTAAATTAAAATGTTAATGTCCAAAACTAAGGGGGTGCAAAGGTCTTCTTCACTGGCCATCAGGCTTGATTTACGATAAGAATCAAGAACTACAAGCTTGTATTCTGATTAGCTTAACAACTACAATGTGTGATTCATTTGTAAAACAATATATAATAAAAAGGTAAAGTTATACATATTCATAAAAAGTTCAAACGTAAACTATTAGTTTAATTCTTTAAGCAATCTTAGTAGTTACTCACTGGATGGAGGCACCAACATGCTGTTTCTCCTCCTGGCTGGAGCTGCTGAGTCTGGATCTGTTCTCTCCTGCAGCTGCTTGTTTCTCTCCTCTAGAAGTCTGTCTTTCTCCTCAACCTGCTTGTCTCTTTCCATTAGCTGTGTGTTTCTCTCACTTAGAAGTCTCTCCTTCTCTTCAAGCTGTTTGTCTTTTTCACTCACTTCAGTTTTCTGTTGTTCCAGTAGGATCATCATCTCCTGTAGTTTGCTGCTCTTGTTCTGCAGTTCCTTTCTCAGAGTCTCCAGCTGCTTTTTACTGCTTTCCTCCTCTTTCACTGTGATCTCCAGTAGAGTCTCTTTCTCTCTCAGCAGTTTGATCTGATTCTCCAGTTGTGAGTCTTTATCTTTAAACTGTTTATTAACACTTTCTAATCTTTCATTTGTTTCCCTCTGATTATCCTCTAATTTCTTTGTTGTTTGTCTCAGTTCATCTTGTGTCTCTGTGAGAAGTTTGTCTTTCTCTTCTAAAATCTTCTCCTTCATCTGAAGTGTTGATGTATTTTCTGTCAGAAGTCTGTCTTTCACCTCCACTTGTTTTTCTCTCTCCATTAGCTGTCTGTCTCTCTCAGATAGAATGTTTTTGGACTCTTGAAGCTGTTTCGAAATTTCAGTTAAATCTGTGATAAAATGAAATCTACATTATTATTTCTGGATTCGTTTGCATATATTCACTATTGAGATTTACAATAGCAGTGAAAGTCTGTTTATCAATCAGTATTGAAACATGAGCACTTTAGATTTTATCTCTGTTAAGAACGTCTGGAGCAGATCTTGTGAAAGAAGAGCAGTCAATTTCAAATGAATGTCAGATTAATTAATTCTAAGTTGTTGAGGTTAAATGTGGAAACTCACCAGTCGTCTGTGATGAAATGAGAGTTTTCAGTGTTTCAGTTTCAGTCTGTAGGTCTGAATTCTGTTGGGCTGAAATGATAAAGACAGAATATAAATTTTATCAGTCAGATATTTTACAATCAGTCTGTGTCTTAAATTCTTACCTGTGTTTTTAAGTTGTTGTTCTTTCTCTTCTAACTCTTTCTGCTGACGGGTGAGTTCAGTTCTCTGTTGTTCCAGTAGGATCATCATCTCCTGTAGTTTGATCTTCTCATCCTGCAGCTCCTTTCTCAGAGTCTCCAGCTGCTTTTTACAGCTTTCCACCTCTTTCACTGTGATCTCCAGTAGAGTCTCTTTCTCTCTCAGCAGTTTGATCTGATTCTCCAGTTGTGTGTCTTTATCTTCAAGCTGTTTATTAACACTTTCTAATCTTTCATTAGTTTCCCTCTGATTATCCTCTAACTTCTTTGTTGTTTGTCTCAGTTCATTTTGTGTCTCTGTGAGAAGTTTGTCTTTCTCCTGAATTTGTCTTTCTCTCTCCATTAGCTGTCTGTCTCTCTCTGTTAGAATGTTTTTGGACTCTTGAAGTTGTTTGGACCTTTCAGTTAAATCTGTGATAAAATAAAATCTGCATTATTATCTCTGTATTAGCTATTCACTAATACTCACTATTGAGATTTACAATAGCAGTGAAAGTCTGTTTATTAATCAGTGTTGAAACATGAGCACTTTAGATTTTATCTCTGTTAAGAAAGTCTGGAGAAGATCTTGTGAAAGAAAAGCACTAAATTTCATAAACAAATGAATGTCAGAGATGAATTCATTCTAAGTTGTTGAGGTTAAATGTGGAAACTCACCAGTTGTCCGAGAAGAAATGAGAGTTTTCAGTGTTTCAGTTTCAGTCTGTAGGTCTGAATTCTGTTGGGCTGAAATGATAAAGACAGAATATTAATTTATCAGTCAGATATTTTACAATCAGTCTGTGTCTTAAATTCTTACCTGTGTGTTTCAGTTGTTGTTCTTTCTCTTCTAACTCTTTCTGCTGACAGGTGAGTTCAGTTTTCTGTTGTTCCAGTAGGATCATCATCTCCTGTAGTTTGCTGCTCTTGTCCTGCCGTTCCTTTCTCAGAGTCTCCAGCTGCTTTTTACTGCTTTCTACCTCTTTCTCTGTTTTCTCCAGTAGAGTCTCTTTCTCTCTCAGCAGTTCGATCTGATTCTCTAGTTGTGTGTCTTTATCTTTCAGGTACATCTGATTCATCTTAGATTCTTTGGTTATTTCTGCCAGTTTGCTTTTAGCCTCCATGAGAAGTGTTTCTTTCTCTTCCAGCATCTTGTCCTTCGTCTGAAGCGTTTCTCTGTTTTCTGTTAGAAGTTTTTCTTTCTCTTGAATTTGTTTGCCTTTTTCCACCAGCTGTGCATTTCTCTCCATTAGAAGGCTCTCTTTGTCTTTCAGAAGTTTAGCCTGTCCTGTTATTTCTGTGAGAAACAAATTAACATTCAAGATCCATTTGGGCATTAACATTTTTGATTTTCTCTCAAAGCTGATTCAACCTTGTAAATCTACCACTGCATTTCCAACTCTCAAACTTCTCTGTCTTGTAGTAAAAACTGCTGTTCATGTAAAATAGACATCATTTAGGTATAAAGATGGAGAAACTTATCAGTGCTATTGTTCATTGCATTTGTATTGTTCTTCGTAAACCTACAATATGCATTAACCTTAGTGGCACAAACTGATCCTCCAATGTAAGACTGAAGCAGATAACTAGATACAAAAAAACTGTGTCACAAACAAACAAAGAATATCCACAAAATGTAAAAACCAAACACATCCTCTACAATATGCTTGACCAGTATATCTTGATGATTAACAACAAGACCAAATTTCTAAAACTGTAGGAGAGTCAGCTGAATTATTTATGCAGTCAAAAGTCTTTTTTTAATTAAAAAAAAGAAAATTCTGTGAGAAACACTTAAACTTAACACATAGTCACATGAAGAAGTGAGTACACCCCATGACATATTTCTCTTTTTTCTAAAATATGTGGACATATCAGTATTTGATCTTTAATTAAACAGTGTGCACAGATAAACTTTCTGTAACAGAAGAAAAACAAAGTAAATGTGAGTTTGCAATCATTTAAACATTAACTGAAATATCATTTGTGTTAAAAACTCAAGTACACCATCTACCTTCTGTAATCGGTATTTGACCCCATTGGCAAAACAAACTTTATGTAAGCGTTTTCTTTAATTGTCTACCAGTTTCTGACATTACTGGAAGAATTTTCTATTCTTCCATGCGGAATTCTTTCAACTGCGCAATGTTTGAGGACTGTCTTGCATGTACAGCCTGTTTCAGATCCCCACAGTATTTCAGTAGGATTCAGATCTGGGCTTTTACCAGGCCTTTCCCCCTCTATTTCTTCCTTATGAGCCACTGTTTGGTGGACTTACTTGTATAAAGTTGAAGGCGACGTTGAAGCTGAAGAAGGTCCACTTTTTGAGCTCTAACTTTTTTTACAGATAGTCTCACATTCTCCTCAAGCACTCTCTGGTATGAATGAGGGAATTCATAGTTGATTCTGTGATTGCAAGTTTGGCAGCAAAGCAGCTCCAAACCATAACATTTCCACCACCATGCTGTACAGCTGGTGTGAGGTTCTTCTGATCAAATGCAGTCTGCTATGATTCTCCTCCTGTAGCCAAACAACCCTATCTTTGACTCATCTGTCCTTAGCAAATTGTTCAGAGGTCCTTGTATTTTCCTAAATATTCATTAGCAAAATTTAGTCTTGCTTCAATGTTCTTTTTAGACAGCAAACGCTTCCTCCTAGTGCACCTTCCATGTAGGTTACATTTGTACAGTCTCACTCTAATGTTAGATGCATACTCTTAACATCAACAGTGGCAAGAGCTACCTGCAGATCCTGTGATGAAATTTTGGGCTTCTTGAAGACTTTTAGAATCTTACGGTCTGTTCTCAGGTTAAACAGGGGCAGCCTGGCCTGGACAAGTTGGCAGTGGTTTTAAATCACTTGTAGATGATCTTCCAGATATTGGAATCTTAAACGCACCTTCAACTTTCTTTCTGAAGGCCTCAGAGAGCTCTTTTGATCTGGCATGGTGATACCCCAAACTCCAATAACAAAGAGCAAACCAGACCAGATATCTGAAGTGTAAATAAGACAAATTCCTCCAAGATATTCTCTAACAGTGTTCTAATCATTACAAATTATTACAATTCTAATCTTCAAGCACTTGATTTCAATTTGACACATTTAAAGTAGTAATATATGTCAGGGAGTACTTACTTTTTCTACATAAGAATATTGCAGACTGTCACTTGTTACTGTTTAAGTGAAGACTTGATATCTTTATCACCAAAAATGTTAAAAAGGTAAAAATGTTATAGGGTTGTACTTACTTTACATGACTGTACAATTAAATTAAACTAAAAACTAGTAAACTAAGTTAATAAAAGTATTAATAATATTTGAATTTAAAAGGTTAATTGTTTTGTTTTGGTTTGGGTTGGTTATATTGGTTTAGAACTCACCAGTAGCTATAGCAGATTCCTTCATTTTCAGTCTTTCCTCTTCTGTCCATTTTCTGGTCTCCTGTGTCAGTGAATAGAACAGTGTGAAGATTTACATACATGTTATATGAACAATAACTGTTTCTCAGTTCAAATCTCTGTTGATCTACCAGTAGGAATCACTGAGTGATGATATTACTAATAATATAGATTTCTGATAAATGCAGCACTCTATTTTTGCTTTAAACAACATACATCAGCCTCAGCTGATTTTATTTATCTTACGATAGCCACAGTGTATTAACACTACAGTAGCATTAAATTACACACCAGTTTTCTTAAAAATCATAGTAATAATCATAATAATATTCATTTTATTAAGGCATCTTATTGAGAATATTTGTTCTACTAGTATAATGTCCTCACCTGAGAAATGAAGACTTTAGGAGCTTGAGGAGAATCTGGTGAGGGACAAAGTAAGTAAGTTACATCTGTATTTTCTGTAGGTGGACATATATATTCTGTAGAAGTTCTAAAGAAGTCTGCTGTCAGTTAGACTTTTAAGGTCAGTTTCCCAGATAGTGATTAAGCCTAGTCCTGGCCTACACAGCATTCTAAAAGGAGATTTTCCATTGCAAGGAAAATACAGTTCAGGTCTAGGTTTAATCCCTATATGGGGTTAACTGACCTTTAAACACTTAAAGAGGCCCAGCACATGCTTTTTAACTACTGTCAAAAGTAGAATTTTGGAAAACATTTTGAGTGACATCTAGCTTCAGCGATAAAGACTAATGTTGCATTAAATTGAAGCTTATAATTCAAAAGGGAAAAAAACGCCATCTCAAATGGAAATTCGTACTTGGAAAGTTGGGATGGTGGTGTCAACTCCGCAAATCAACATGACTGCTGATGCTGTAATAAAGTACCACTTCTCTAATTTTAAATTAGATTTGCCCTAAAACCATCAATAAACTGTGCTATGCCAAAGTTTGAATACTCCTGGTCAAATGACACGTTTTGTTGATTTTCTTAAAATCACATTATCACATTCTCTATAGAAAACAAGCTTAAATCTGGCATTTTTGGCAACTTTATTGTACAATTATTGTTTATTTGCTTAATTTAACATATATAACTGAGTGTGGACCTTATCCCTTACCCTGGCCCTGTTTAATTTTAGAGGAGCAGTTGCTAACCATTGACACTGCAAGGAGAACTAAGCCTACTTTACATTTATTCTAGGTAAATTAGTGCAAACAAATCATATGGTGTAGTTACATAATTATGCTAAAATAATCGTAACTGTTTTATTTACCTAATATTAATGTAATCTAACTCACCAACAGTTTAGCTGGCTATGCAGCCCACTGGCTAGTTGGCTACCTGGGGGCTTCTTTTATATATTTAATGTTATTCTAAGCTTCATTACCCTTTATTCCTTGCACTTTATCTAGCTAACTATTTTAGGTAGCTTGCCAGGTAGTTGGCTTTGCCCAGCCTGGGCAGAGTCCTGATAGCTACAGGTGGATACTACTGGACTTTTTACCATTCTGCTTTGTGGGCATACTAGGCATCTACAACTTTCTTACTGAAGGCCTCAAAGAGCTCTTTTGATCTAGGCATAATCTTGACACAAAAAGCAAACCAGACCAAATATCTTTAGTTTAAATAAGACAAAAAAAGATACTGTCTAATGGTGTTCTGATCTCTAGCACCTGATCACGGGCACCTGATTTCAATTTGACATGTTTGAAGTAGTGATATATAGGAGTGTATATCAGGTATTGCATTTTCTTGACAATCTCTTGATTAACTGCCTCTAATGTAATGGAATGGCTTAAGCATCATGTATGGCACAGTGTATGTGTGTCATAAAAGATTTAAATGTTAGTTTTTAAGGTAGAATTGTGTTTAATCTGAGTATCATGAGCAGCATTAAGTCATGAGCGAAAAAGTAAATGCACACCACTGGTATAACACTGCAAATCCCAGAGATTAGAACTTCATAACATGATTGGTTAAACAAAGGCTGGAGAAAGAGTTCCACATACATTTACTATGCCAGTCTTTTGCTGCAACAAGCAGTTACAACACATGAATAAAAAGGGCAACAGTGACCTGTCTGCCTAAAAGTGAACCCACACTAATCTGTATTGTTAAACCTCAGATCTTGCTGGTTACGGCTTACTTTGTCTTCTCTATCAGTCAGCAAGCTGTCAGCTTCATCAGATATTCATATACATCAAATATAACTGCTTACTGTTGCTCTTTTTATCAACATATTATATCTATTTGCTCATTCTTTTTACGGTAATCTAGTAAGGTAAGGTAAGGTAATTTAACCTAATTAATCACCATTAATAAACTAATTATAAACTATTCATAAGGATATTCTTATTGTAAAGTGGTAGCCTCTTTGCTGATTATGATGTTCACCACTCTGGACACACAATACAGCAAAAAACATTCAATCTTTGTAACATAAAGCCTGTTATGCAGTCATCAATATCAAGTCATCGCCATTCCGGCTTAATACTCACCTGTCTCCGCTTCTCTTGAGATGGGCATCTGTAGATGTGAATAATATAATATCAAGATGTCATGCATGGTCCTGCTTTAATTATTTAATTAAATGAAAAGTAATTACAGTATAACTATCATCAAAATACAGCAGTCTTCAAAAAATGTTAAAGGACAGCAAAAAAGTTAGCAACACAAGAAATCAGCCTATTTTTTTTTCTTCTTCTTTTTAGCTGACTGTTTTGTACTCTCTTAAAACAAGGGGCAGGTGATCCAAGCAAATAAAACTACAGGAAGGGTCACTGATGTCAGATGGATAACATTATTTTGTTTTGCTAATTTAAAGGCTTTTGTTTGACTTTCATTTCTGTCAGAAAGGAATCAGAAGATATCTTGAAATAATTTTGATGCCAAAACTGACAAACAATTACTACTTAAAACAACCAACTAAATTAACTTACTTAATCAAGCCATCAAGACAAAAACAGACAGGATGTTGTTTTTAATCAAATTTCCATGATATTTCATGATACAGGCATTGGTTGGATTCATTCAGAATGAGAACCAGATGCACTAATTCAGAGAAGTCATCTTGGGCACTGTTTGCATTCATTGGGTGGATTAGCTGGAAGTGGGTATTGGGTTGCATTAATTGAGAGTGGGCATAGGGTTGTTTCACTGAGAGTGGGCATTGGGTGGATTACTTGAAAGTGGGTACTGGGTGGATTAGCTGAAAGTGGGAATTCGGTTGCATTAATTGAGAGTGGGCATTGGGTTATTTCATTGAGAGTGGGCACTGGGTGGATTAATTGAGAGTGGGTACTGGGTGGATTAATTGAAAGTGCACACTGGGTGGATGAATTGAGAGTGGGCACTGGGTAGATTAATTGAGAGTGGGTACTGGGTGGACTAATTGAGAGTGGGCATTGGGTGGATTAATTGAGAGTGAGCTTTGGTTGGACCAATTGAGTGTGGACATTGGTTGGATTAATTGAGAGTGGGCACTGGGTGGATTAATTGAGAGTGGGTACTGGGTGGATTAATTAAGCGTGGGCTTTGGTTGGGCCAATTGAGAGTGGGCATTGGGTGGATGAATTGAGAGTGGGCACTGGGTGGATTAATTGAGACTGGGTACTGGGTGGATTAATTGAGAGTGGGCTTTGGTTGGACCAATTGAGTGTGGACATTGGTTGGATGAATTGAGAGTGCGCACTGGGTGGATGAATTGAGAGTAGGTACTGGGTGGATTAATTTAGTGTGGGCTTTGGTTGGACCAATTGAGAGTGGACATTGGGTGGATTAATTAAGAGTGGGCACTGGGTGGATTAATTGAGAGTGGGCTTTGGTTGGACCAATTGAGAGTGGGCATTGGGTGGATTAATTGAGAGTGGGCACTGGGTGGATTAATTGCGACTGGGTAGTGGATGGATTAATTGAAAGTGGGCTTTGGTTGGACCAATTGAGAATGGACATCTGTTGGATTAATTGAGAGTGGACACTGACTGGACTAATTGAGAGTGGGCATTGGGTGGATTAATTGAGAGGGCATTGGGTGGATTAATTGAGAGTGGGCATTGGTTGGACTAATTGAAAGCGGGCATCGGGTGGATTTAATGATTAATTTTTAAACATATTGGAAAAAAAATAAAACATAACACGTGAACATTACATGAAACACAATTTTATGTTAGTATATGGATTGTATTTTAGTATTTTTTTATTTTTAATAATTTAGTGAATATATTAAAAACAGCTATTCTCCTCAGTTGGAGAAATAATAACTATTCACTTACCTCTGAGAAAGGACCTGAGTAAAACAATAGAAGGCAACACAATGTTAGATAAAACACCATGTGAAAACCTTATTTACAATAAGAGCACTTAAAGTACTTGAGCACTGCATCTTGTTAACACTTTATATCATTATCAGAAATCTCCTTTTCTCATCTGTACTCTCATCCTTCACTACTGCACAGTCACTCAATGCTTTCAATACAGCTCCATGAAGATATTCAGCTAAACGGTGAAGTGTAAACCTACAGCAGATACTCAACCCCTAACCAAGAAAATACCTAACACTTCCATTATGAACAACAGCAACATATATACACAAGAAAAAAGAAAGCTGTAAAAATATGTTACTATACTGCAACTATAGTAGACAGTCTTTGGGAAAGGCTATCAACAAGATTCTGCAGTGTGTTTATGGGAACTTTTGCCCATTCAGTCAAAAGAACATTCATGAGGTTAGGCACTGATGTTGGACAAGAAGCCCTGGCTCGCAATCAATGTTCCAGTTCATCCTAAAGGTGTTCAGTGAGATAGAGGTCAGAACTCTGGAGTTCCTCTACACCAGTCTCACCAAACCATGTCTTTGTGAACCTCATTTTGTGCACAGTGGCACAATCATGCTGGAACAGGAAAGAGCCTTCCCGAAACTGCTGCCACAAAGTTGTAGCATATAAATGTCTAAAATGTCTTTACATGCTAGTATTAACATTACTCTTCACTGGAACTAAGGGACTGAGCCCAAACCCTGAAAAACATCCCCAGACCATTATCCCTCCTCCACCAATCTTTACTGTTGGCACTAGGCATTCTGGTAGGTAGAGTTCTCTAGAGTTCCAGCTGATGCTTGGCATTGTGCATAGTGATCTTAGGCTCATGTGCAGCTGCTTGACCATGGAAACCCATTTCCTAAACTCCATCGTTACTGATGCAACAGAGGTAGGCAGTTTTTTACAGGCTGTGTGTTTCAGTACTCATCAGCCCACTCTCTGACTTATTATATGTGTGCTGCTTCGTGGCTGAGCTGTTGTTGCTCCTAGATGCTTCCATTTCACAATAATGCCAATTATAATTGACAGGGGCAGATCTAGCAGGGCAGAAATGTCATAAACTGACTTGTGGAAAGGTGGCATACTATGACAGTGACATGCTTAAAATCAGTGAGCTCTTCAGTAGTACTGACAATGTGTGTCTATGGAGACTGCATGGCTATGTGTTATTTTTTGCACACTTACCAAGGAGTGTGGCTGAAACACCTGAACTCAATAACTAGGAAGCTGTCAGAGATGCTACTGTGAAAGAGAGATGTCTAAGAGCAACAATAGTCCAGATGAGCAGTAGATGCCACTCAAGCTCACAGAACAGGACTGTGAAGTGCTGAAGCATATATCAGTTGCAGCAAACTGCCTCTGGAAGCAACAACAGAATTGGATCTGCCAATTTCAGGGATTCATGCTTTGGGTTTCAATGGCCAAGCGGCTGTACAAAAGTTGTATACAAGCCTAAGATCACCATGTGCAGTGCCAAATGAAAAGGTAATCTCTGGAGTGGTGAATCACGCTTCACCATCTTGAAGTCTGACAGATGAATCTGAGTTTGCCAAATGTGAGGAGAACAATACATGACATACAATGACATTCTAGAGAAAGCTTCCAAATTTTTGGCAACAGTTTGGGGAAGGTCTTTTCCAGTTTCAGCAATAACTGTGCCCCTATGCATAAAGCAAGGTCCATTAAGAAATTGTCTGTGGTGGAAGAACCTGACTGGCCTGCACTGGTGCTGACCTCAACCTCATCCAAAACCTTTAGGATAAACTGAATTGCTCACTATGAGCCAGATCTTACCACTCAACATCAGTGGCCAACCTCACTAATTCCCCTCTACCTGAAAAGGAGTGAATCCCAAGAGGTATGTTCTATAATCTAGTCTTCCCAGAAGAGTTGTGGGCTATGGAGGACCAGCTCCATATTAATGCTCCATGGTTTTGGAATGAGATGTTCCACAAGGACATGGATGTGATTTTTGGGTGTCCACTTACTTTTGGCTGTGTGGTGTCCACCACTGCAATTCTGTGCATTTTATTAGCCTCTTGATTTCTCTGGAAAACCTTTTATTGTAAAAAGGGGATTGCTGGTATTTCAGTTTGTTTTTCAAGGTTTTCTTGATTTGTCTTCTATCTAATGAATATATTTGGGTATTTTCGAATGTGTTTTTTTTTTAGTAATCAATCTTTAAATACAGATGATATCTATGTTTTTACATCCACAAGTAGATGTAAGCAGCAGGGTGACAAAGAATTGCCTTAATTCTACTGCAATGCAGCTGCCCTTCATGTTTTGTTCTAAGATAAGACACAGATTATGATGTTGAGCTTATGCAGGGCAGAGTTTTAAAATACTTACTCCATGTTCCCACAGTACACTCCTCTGTTGTGTCTCCACTGGTGACCTGACACAAATAATCTCCTCTGTCTGACTCTCTGAAGTCTCTGATCTGTAAGGAGACGTTTCCTCTCTGCAGCTCCTGAATGAACAGACTCACTCTGCCCTCGTAGCCCCTCCCCTCTGTCACCTGCCTGTTCTTATAGAGACAAACACAGTCCGTCTCCCTAAACCACCTGATCTCCATGGCAACAGCATTGATTTCAGGAGACAGGTGACAGGACAGAGTGACAGCAGAGAGAGGCTGCTCATCTATATCACGAGGTCCGAGGAGTTTAAACTCATCTGTGTAGGAAAACAAACACATACAGTTTTACTCTTCTTTAGTTTCCTTATGATAAGAATGAACTCATTCAGATACAGCAGTACTTTCATGGTTGACAGTGTAACACCTATTGTCAGTTATAATAATACCCAGACAGCGAGCATAAATCTCCTCAAACAGATTTTAAATGCACAGAGCCTTTTATGTGGGAAAATAAACTAACACAAATATTACAAACAACTGTGAGAGAAAAAAATAATGACTAGGCCTGATATAAAATGATTTTATAGTCATTTTGTTGCTGACACTGTGCTAGATTAAAATTATTCACTAAACTAATTTACAAAGTATAACTGAAGAAAGGAAGTAAGGGAAAATCAGTAAATTGGACTGTGAGTGGAAAATGAGTGATAATAAGTGGAATTTTGTCTAATACTCTGCTTAAACACCAGTGGAACAGTGGCCCACTATCCACTTGCTATCAGGGTAATAATTATAATAACCAAAATGATATAACAGCACTGATAAATATCGGAGAGTTTGACTTACTGTTTCTTGCAGTTGCCATCTTATATCCTCCTATAGGTTCAAACTACTAAAATCCTACATAAACACAAAGAGAAAGAGGGGCAGAGAGAGAGAGAGAGAGAGAGAGAGCGAGAGAGAGAGAGAGAGAGAGAGAGAGAGAGAGAGAGAGGGAGGGAGAGAGAGAGAGAGATGTGCTTTAAGAGCAGCTCTACTCAAACACACTGTAAAATGTTTTCATAGCTCCGCGCGCTGCAGAAATTACTCAAAACAACTAGCACGATGCTAACTGTGGTTACCTTTGCTGTTTTTTGTATGTATACTCCTGCTTTTAGCTAAAAATGCTCACATTTAAGAGCAGTTTATATCAGTTTCTGTCTCGCAACATGGTCCACAGAGGTGATACCGTGTTTAAACATATTTTACTAACGGCTCTCCTCCTTGGCGTCCAGAGCTGAAGCTACTTTCACTTTCACCTTACAGCGCCAGTCCGGGTCGCCAGCTTGGTTAAATCCCGTCACCGACACGCCGTGGTTGCAGCATAACATCGTCAAAACACCGTCTACTATAATATAAAACAGTAGTCCGCACTTCGGCCAGGCGATTTAAAACTAGAGGGGACACATTGGTCGTTGTTGCATATTCAAAACCAGCAGCAGGAAGGCGACTACTGACTTCCTGACCAACGCACTAATACAAACACGTAATATAAAATAACACAACACCTTACTGCGCAGAGTATTCTGGGTAGCAAGCTCAAGGATATATTTATTTGTTTGTTTATTGGCTCGTTTGTTTGGCCTGAAAACCGATCTCAAACAGGCACAGACACTATGAGTTCTCATTGGAACAATACAGTGTGGGTGAATGACACTTATATCACTCACTAACCTCTCAGATTTTGTTTAGGCCTACAATACTAAAAGCCTGTGTTCTGATGTGACAGTGGTAAAGATAAAGAACCAAGTAAGAGATCAGAAAACAGAGGGTTCCGATCAGTCACATCACCTGGTCTGGGTTTCAGGGGCTGTAGCCCCTAATATTCAGCAACCAGCCCTGAACCTTATAACGCTAATATGTCACACGTTTCACTTCAGCTTGATTACATATCAAGCTTTTCATCCATGGTTTCACTCAGGGGCTCATTCACCCACTCCTCCACAGCTACAGCCTATAATGTTACCGAAGAGAGAATATTGGGAAAAAGTTTAAACATGAAATGTGGCCTGTGCGGAAGTTATGACACGTTTTATATTTTATGTTTTATTTATTTCAGTAAGTTAAACTCAAATTAACAGAAACTGTGCAGTAAAATAACTGGTTTTTTCTGTAGAGGATTTGTTCACTTCAAAAATAAACAAAACATGTATTTGATCAGAGGTGTTCAAAAGTTTGGCATACAACTGTCTCGATGTATAAATAACTATACATTTTCTCTGTAGGCAGGACATTTTAGGCAAGATGTGTAGAAGAGCTGGTTGATATGAAGACCTAAGGAATCGCATTATTGTGGGGAAAAAAGTACAATTTTTTGACACTTTAAAACAAAAATATTTTACAAGTCGTGTTTTTGCTTCTTTTCTTAGTTCTTAGATGTCTCCTCCGGGACATCACGTGCCTGCTGACCCTCCACAGCACTTCAATCATCGTTCTCACTCACTTTGTATATTTGTACACTGTAAATGACAGAATATTCTGATCTGTACGAGTCAACTTCTTGTCCATTTGTTTTTATTTACCCTCATGGTTACACATATTCACCATTCTACCTAGAGGTTCATAATCATCTCCTCTGTCATGACCCAACTTCCTGTAGACAGGGTTGTATACTTACTGGTCCCAAGTTCCATAAGATGCAAAATCCTGTCTTTATCATGGTGTAGGGAATGTTCCATGTTAAGAGGAGGAACATATTACCATAGCAGCATAACTTGTGGGACACAGGTTTAAACTGCTATGTGTTCAATGAAATAAACTGTAAGAATGATTCTTTTAACATTGAATAGTGTGTAAAGTAAATATGACATGACTGGACGATTTTATTGATTATATTATATAAATATATTATATAAAGAAGGTTAATGACTTTGCACAGCCTAAAATCATCATTTAGTGTTTTTTGTGATCATTTAAAAGCTATTGTTAAAGAAATTACTTTGTTACAGTGATACATAAAATATGCACAATTTTGTTTTTCTTCATAAAAAGTAAAATCTTTGAGAAATCAAAATATTTGAGTTGAATAAAACAATTAAATGCTTGTTAGCTTATGAAGTGATTTTTTTTTAAGTTGAACTCCCAAATCTAATCAATATTTAATTAATTCAAAAAAAAAATTTTTGTCAATAAGAACATGCTTAATAATTCAAATTATAGCATTTATTAATTCATGCATAACATTTAAGAAACAAATAACAGTTGTTTACACTTTCAGATAATGATTTAGATGTTAATTATTAGGGTCTATTATCATATTTACAAACACGTTGACTTTTCAAACATTGCCCTTGGTCATCCTAACATAGAAACTATCACAGCCATGAGGGTCACTGGGAGCAGCAAAGCAAAAAACATATCAAAAACAATATTAATGTTGATTTACTTAAAGGGGATCAGTCATGCTGTCAAATATCCTTTATACATTACCAGCCATCTAAGTAAACATAGAAAATAAACATCTCCCAGAGTTCACTTAGACTGTTACAGCTGGTGGGGGCATGGCTATATTGGCACTGCACTGCAAAATCCTTCCTTTCAAGAAAGATTTAAAGTCTGGACTTTTGAACAGCATCAAATCCAGCATGAACAGCACTCTTGGCAAGAACAGAAAACTTGAGCTGAGGTAAACTGTCTGTGACAATGTTGTTTTAGCTGCTGAAAAGCTCACTTGACAATATTATAAAATGTTTGTTTCAGCTCAGCATCTCAAAATTTACTGAAATTTATAGATAAATTTGCTTTTTGTTCATAAACTGAGCTTAAAGGCCGCAGATCTATACAACAATCTTCTGAGGTTCTTCATGGTCTTGCAGCTATTTCAGGCACCTCATATCCTCCTGGGGGTTTTCACTCTATGACCTGAAACATACAGTTCATCTGGTCAACTGTAAAAATACAGTGTAATGCCAATTGTTAGTCACTATGTGAAGCACAACTTAAGGATACAGGAATCAAAGAAAAGGAATAGAGTATAAGAAATGTAATCTGACAAACAACAAACACCTTAGCTTTCAGCCATGTCGAAACTTCTCTGAAAGCCTCAGAATTCTTCTGACACTCTAGTAGACCTGTGTCTTCAAAGAACAGACAGTCCACTGTGATTGTATCCTCCCTGTTTACAAATGTGCTGCTGTCTGGTAACGTTCTCTCTGGGTCAGACGTGTGATGGAGCAGCACTAGAACTGCAGGCTTGGTGGCTGTGGAGAGAGAAACTTTTTTATTTGGATTTGTGGAAGGACTGCATGCTCACCTCACTGACTTCCTTTCCTTTAAAACAGTATTCAGCATCAATTCTTTGGAGGGCTCCTTCAATGTCAGTTTGAACTCGTGAAACAACAGGGCAGAACACCAGTATAACATCACACTCCTCCACTCTAGAGACCTCCTGCAGTTTTGTGTTTGGGATTTTTCTCAGAAACTGCACATGAGAATCTAATGTGTTTTCACTTATAATAAATGAGTATTTAATCTTCTGGTTGAGATGCTTCTGTCCAGAACCTGAAAAGAAATAAGAAAGTAAGTGCTCAGAGAAAAAAAAATGATCTTGTCTTCCTGTCACACACAGTGATGAGGGACTGGATGGATGTGTAAAAGAGGTTCTTAATCCAGAAAGGTAGAACTCCAACCAAATAGCTGAAATAAACAAAACTAATCAGAAAAACTAATTACAAAGTGGGGGGCTTAACGCTCAGAACTCTGTTAGTTGGCAAGAGACTTGGCAACTGAGGAAGGATAGCTGGGGTTTTCAATAGCAGAGATGAAATGAGGAATAGGTGGAGGGCGGAGATGGCGATCAGTAGATCACAACGCCAAGTGAGGGAGAGAGGTAGGTGGAGATCAGGACCTGACACTACTATTTCACACTTTCACTGCTGACATATACTTTTATCCTAATATTTGCAGTGAACATTACTCATGTTCATAAGTGGGTGTTTTAATTAGAAAGCTTATGATTAAATCCCACAAAATGTTACTTCTCATAATGAGAAGAGTCAGGTTACCTTAGGTTTATCTGAAATGACAGAAATTCTTCCATACTCACTTTCTGGTTTGTTCTCAGCCTATAAAAGCACAGAACAAAAAAAAAAAGAATTTAAATGAATCTACCAAACATGGCAGTAGTCAACAGAAAACATTAAGCTACAGTGCCCAAAAGAAGTTTCATAAATTTATGCATAACTTAATTTATAAAATATATAAAGAATGCAGAAAAACATCTCACCACAGTTAACCATCTGGTAACTTTCGCCAGTGCTTTATCATTATTCTGGCACCTCAGTAGTCCATGATGATCCTCATGGAATAGACAGTCCACTGCAATTGTTTTCTCTCTGGTTACAGAAGCGCTGCTGTCATGAACAAAGCACTTTGTGTTTAAAGTGTGATGAAGCATCACTAGAGCAGCAGGTTTAGAACCTGTAAAACATTTAATTTGTGAAAATATTTTAGTGATTATCAGGTTTTGAACAAAATATTGTGATTAAAAAGTTGTATTCCTTCTTTTGCCTTCTTGCAGAAATCAAAACACTTTTGTATTAAAAAATGCCAGAGAAATCATCTGACCCATGAGTTACCTGTTACACCGCGAAGCGTTTTTTCTGCATGCTTAATATCAATATCAGCTCGTGAAACAACAGGATAGAACACAAACATGACATCACACTCTTCCACTGAAGACACCTCCTGCAGTGATGGGACTAGTTTACTGAGTAGTCCAAGAAAACGTTTGTGAGAATCCAGTGTGTTTACATTGATAACAGAGATGTATTTAACTGTCCTCTGGAGAAAGTCTATATGCTTCTGTCCAGAACCTGCAAATCAAACAAATGCTCAGAGATGCATCAAGGGCTGATGATGCACCAAGCAATGGCATCTAGAAAAAGCTTTAGTAACACTTTTATTGCATGGCTTCCAGTGTGTTTGATTACTGGAAACAATGAGCTACATAATCCACCAACATTTGATGATGTATATATATGACAATAAATGAAATAAAATACAAATAGGTGCTGACCTTGACGTACTACCTCAGCCATTTTCTGCAAAAAAAGGAAAAAAAAGAAAAAGAGATTCTGTCTCTCAAACACAATAACAGAATACTCTTTCAAAAGCACTTTTCATGCACAAAACCTGGGTCATCACCAGGATACTTTTACCAAGGTACCCATGTTCATACATGCCATGAATGTACCAGTAAACAGGACAAAACATTCTCAGCATAAATGGCCCAAAGATACTTAATTTCAGATTCATGTACAAAAATACACTCATGTGATGTTTATTCTGTTGCAAAAACTGAAAACCTGATTGTAAAACCAGAAGTCTCACACAAACATTTTGCTTTGCTGGCACACACACAAATTTACTTTTGCCACTTCTCTCTAGAGAAGTACACAAAGTGAGGCATTTTCATTCCCAAAACTAAACCAAAATACTCTATTTTTAAAACAAAAGCATGTCCGAAATACTCTACTTTGTCAGCTGTAATCTAGACTTCATTGTTTGCTCGGTAATGTACTGGCTTCTGTTTACACAAGCCCTCCACATAATTTCCTAGGTATTGTACTACTTTTTGTGCACATCAACTTTCCTGGGACTTTGAGTCCAACTTGCATTTATACTTATCCCCTTCCCATTCATTACTATTAAATTATCTGACAAAAGTGCATGTATGAGAAGAGCTACACGTTTATAAGAGGGTATCAAGAGTAATCAAGATAAACATATTTCATCTTAAACATCTTGAGGTCATTGTTAAATGTCTTCTGGTGTTTTTCAAGTCGTTTGTTATCCTATAACACACATAGGGCAAATGCAAGATGTTAAGTATGTCGCAGTGAGCAACAGAAGAACTTCCTGCTAAGACGGTGACATCTGAAGGACTTTTTGAATTATTTAATTAAAAAATCTATAAAAATATACAAAATAGAAAAACAGCAGGCATGTGCACAATGATTTCTATGCTACATTATCAAAAATGGTTCTTCAAGCATTCCTTAGTAAAGGCAATGGTTACTTTAAAGGTCAAAGTATGGTCATGGTGATTCTTCTCTATGATGGAAAACCAGTTGTATATGGCTCTTTAATGAACCTTTCTAAAGATGGTTCTAAATAGCACCAAAAAGGGTTCTACTACTGTTACAAGTCAAAGAACTAATTTTTAGAACTAAGTAGAATTCTTTTTGCTAAGTGTGTAGTGAGACGAGAAAGCATTACTGAAACTTACCTTTCTGTGTTTTGATTCGCAGTTCCTCTAAGATGAAATAAAATGAAACATTGTCATTAACTGCTATACAGACCAAATTCCCTACAGTTATACTCACTGTAACGAAACAATATTTATAGGAATATACACTGTTATACAAACCATGTACAAAATACATATACAATGCGTATTTAACTAACAAAAAATTGTAAGACAACATTTAAGTAATTACACTGATGAAGCAAATACCTGAGACTGAATCCACTCTGAAACTTTGCTGAAAGCTTCATCATTCTTCCTGCACTGCAGCAGTCCTTTATCCTCATTGAAGAGACAGTCCACTGTGAGTGTTTCATCTCTGTTTACTGACCTGCTGGTGTCTGGAACAATGAGCTCTGGGTCAAATGTGTGATTGAGCACCACCAGAACAGCAGGCTTAGAACCTGTAAAACAAAGATGTTTTAGTTGACTTAGTAATATTTCAGTTTGAATAAAATATTTTTCAATAAAAGATTCAGCTAAAAAATTGTAGGACTTCTTTTACTATTTCAAAAAAAGGGGTTCATCATAGGGGAGCCTAAATAATTAAAAAAAGAAACAAAAAATACTTCTTCAAAATGCCAGAGAAATATTTCAGAGCATGAGTTTCGTACACTACACAGTGATTTCAGAGCATTGCCACTCTCACTACCAGCAAATCTGTTAAGAGTAATGAGTATCAGTATATGCATTACCAGACATATCATTAAATTGTCGCAGTGCTCTTTCAGTGTCATGTCCAGCCAGTGTTGGAACAGGACAGAAAGCCAGAATGACATCACACTCCTCCACTGTATGAACCTCCTGCAGTTCTGCTCTTCGTTTGCAGAGAATTCTCACAAAATCCTCATGAAAGCCCAGAGTTTTTCCAGTAACACAAGTGAAAAAATTAAGCTTTCCAAGATGGAGTTTGACTTGTGGCAGATCTGGAAAAAAGAATGTCATAAATTGGTATGAACATTTAAAAAATAAAAAAAAATTAATAACTGTATTCTACTCTGGAAAGCACTCAGAGAAACACCAAAGAAGGGTGAAGGACTAAATTTCTCCAAACAAAACTTTTAATAGGTTTTAGGTTGTATGGGTGCTGTGTTTAAAACAATTGAGTACATACTCTTTTATAAAACTCCATTTGACACAGGACTACCACAGTGTACTAAACAAAAGAAACTACAGACTGGTTTGCTGGACATGGATTAAGCCTAAACATGGACTACATTTTGTCCATTCAAAATCTTGTGTGGTCCAGGATTGTCTAAAAATCAATTTTACTTCATTTACTTTATTTATTGTATCGCTTGGATATCACTGACCTTGACTTACTCCCGTTATCTGTGAGAAAAAAGAAATAAAATTCTCTCATAATCACACATACCAGTATATTACAGAGCCCACAAAACCATCAGAACAGATCAGCCAACAATTATTATTATTTTTGCTGTACACTGAATTACTTTCTGTTACTGAGATGAGAAAGGAGTAGAGGAACTTACAGAGCTCGATCCCTTGTTCTTCTGTGGTAAAGAAAAAGGATTTGCTATCTTGTTCATGACCGTACAGGTAAATTAAACAGCATGATTAATATATAAAAACACACAGCAGTGTACAGCTGTAACTGTAACCGCTATAGAGACCAAATTCTTACTGTTCTAGTCATCTCAGGCATTCTCGCCTTCAAGTTGTCAAAATGTTTAATTCCTTTTGATTTGGTCTGTTTAGGTTCCAAGAAGGAAAACATGAGCAATCCTTATTGAAATACACACTGTTGTTTTCCAAAATCTCAATGTTGTAGAGACTGAATGTCCACATTTCTAGAGAATTTACCTCAGCAAACTGTCGTGCAAAGTCTGTAAACTTGGTCTGGATTGTATTAGCTGAAAATTCCACATTTGTCTTTATTCCTGCCTGTTGGGGGATGGAAGATGAATAACCTTCATATTGACGCAATTATGTGCTAAATTACATGACATACAAAGGCCAGAGGTAGATTCATTAACCAAAATAAATCTGTAGGACAACATTCATGTGATTTCACTGATGAAGCAAAGATACCTGAGTGTCAATCCACTTTGAAACTCTTCTGAAAGCTTCATCATTCTTCCTGCACTGCAGCAGTCCTTTATCCTCATAGAACAGACAGTCCACTGTGAGTGTTTTCTCTCGGTTTACCGCTCTGCTGCTGTCTGGTACAGTGCACTCTGGATCTAATGTGTGATGGAGCACCACTAGAACAGCAGGCTTGGTGGCTGAAGAAAGAGAAAGTTTTAATTAATTTTAAAATTATTTGTAATTAATTTAATGAATTTAAATAATAGAAATTTGTTGATATCAGTACGTGTATTACCACGTATATCATAGAGTTTTTCACATGTGCCTGCAATGTCAGTTCCAGCTCGAGAAACAACAGGACAGAAAACCAGAACAACATCACAGTCCTCCACTGTAGGAACCTCCTGCAGAGTGGGTCTTTGTCTGCAGAGAGATCTCACAAAATCCTCATGGCAGCCCAGTGTTTTCCCAGTAACCCAAGAGAAAATTTTTACAGGCTTGGTTTCCACAGGAGGTGCTGGAAAAAGTATAAACACTGGATATGACTGCATTCCATCCTGACAAAGCATTCAGTAATCTTACACTATTTTTTATCTACGCTGTATTATTTATTTTCAGGACTATAACTTACACAGGCTTTCTTGTCGTTGTGCTTCCTTGACCTGTAAAAAATACAAAACATTTTAGCAATATGACCAAAGTTTCTTTCTAGACAATTTTTTAGAATTAAAAGGCTAAAATTATGGGAAGCTTACGGGGGATTTTGGTGGCTTTGCTCCCTGTTAAATGAAATTACATTGTACTCACAATCAATACAAAAAAGCACTAAAGAGTCTTTGAATGTTCTTCCTTTATAACTGATAGAAACATGAACCATGACTCACCTCAGGAATTAGCCAGTCTGCCACTTTACACAAAGCTTCATCATTCTTCCTGCACTGCAGCAGTCCTCTATCCTCATGGAACAGACAGTCCACTGCGAGTGTTTTCTCTCTGTTTATAGATTTGCTGCTGTCTGGAACAATGAGCTCTGGGTCAAATGTGTGATGGAGCACCACCAGAACAGCAGGCTTAGAACCTGTAAAACATGATTCAGAGACATTTAGGGACTTTTAATGGATGCTTGGACAATTTCAACTTTAATGTCAAGTTTTTAGTAAAGTATATTGGCTTAAATATTTAAATATATATAAATATTTCAATGATTTAAATGCATTTCCAATATCAAAACCAGCAAATCTGCTGGAGTAATGAGTATCAGTATGTGCATTACCAGACATATCATTCAGTTGTCTCAGTGCTCTTTCAGTGTCAAGTCCAGCCAGTGTTACAACAGGACAGAAAGCCAGAATGACATCACACTCCTCCACTGTATGAACCTCCTGCAGTTCTGCTCTTCGTTTACAGAGAATTCTCACAAAATCCTCATGAGAGCCCAGAGTTTTCCCAGTAACACAAGTGACAAAATTAAGCTTTCCAAGATGGAGTTTGACTTGTGGCAGATCTGGAAAAATTGGTATGAACATTTAAAAAATAAAAAAAAATTAATAACTGTATTCTACTCTGGAAAGCACTCAGAGAAACACCAAAGAAGGGTGAAGGACTAAATTTCTCCAAACAAAACTTTTAATAGGTTTTAGGTTGTATGGGTGCTGTGTTTAAAACAATTGAGTACATACTCTTTTATAAAACTCCATTTGACACAGGACTACCACAGTGTACTAAACAAAAGAAACTACAGACTGGTTTGCTGGACATGGATTAAGCCTAAACATGGACTACATTTTGTCCATTCAAAATCTTGTGTGGTCCAGGATTGTCTAAAAATCAATTTTACTTCATTTACTTTATTTATTGTATCGCTTGGATATCACTGACCTTGACTTACTCCCGTTATCTGTGAGAAAAAAGAAATAAAATTCTCTCATAATCACACATACCAGTATATTACAGAGCCCACAAAACCATCAGAACAGATCAGCCAACAATTATTATTATTTTTGCTGTACACTGAATTACTTTCTGTTACTGAGATGAGAAAGGAGTAGAGGAACTTACAGAGCTCGATCCCTTGTTCTTCTGTGGTAAAGAAAAAGGATTTGGTATCTTCTTCATGACCTGTACAGGTAAATTAAACAGCATGATTAATATATAAAAACACACAGCAGTGTACAGCTGTAACTGTAACCGCTATAGAGACCAAATTCTTACTGTTCTAGTCATCTCAGGCATTCTCGCCTTCAAGTTGTCAAAATGTTTAATTCCTTTTGATTTGGTCTGTTTAGGTGCCAAGAAGGAAAACATGAGCAATCCTTATAGAAATACACACTGTTGTTTTCCAAAATCTCAATGTTGTAGAGACTGAATATCCACATTTCTAGAGAATTTACCTCAGCAAACTGTCGTGCAAAGTCTGTAAACTTGGTCTGGATTGTATTAGCTGAAAATTCCACATTTGTCTTTATTCCTGCCTGTTGGGGGATGGAAGATGAATAACCTTCATATTGACGCAATTATGTGCTAAATTACATGACATACAAAGGCCAGAGGTAGACTCATTGACCAAAATAAATTTGTAGGACAACATTCACGTGATTTCACTGATGAAGCAAAGATACCTGAGTGTCAATCCACTTTGAAACTCTTCTGAAAGCTTCATCATTCTTCCTGCACTGCAGCAGTCCTTTATCCTCATAGAACAGACAGTCCACTGTGAGTGTTTTCTCTCTGGTCACAGCTCTGCTGCTGTCTGGTACAGTGCTGTCTGGATCAAATGTGTGATGGAGCACCACTAGAACAGCAGGCTCAGTGGCTGAGGAAAGAGAAAGTTAAGAATTTATTTAGTGAATTTAAATAATAGTGATTAGTTGAAATGAGCAGCTGATTAGCAGCATGTGTTTTACCAGATATATCACTGAGTTAAGGGTGGCACGGTGGCGCAGTGGGTAGTGCTGTCGCCTCACAGCAAGAATGGCCTGGGTTCGATTCCCGGCCGGGCGACCAGGGTCATTTCTGTGTGGAGTTTGCATGTTCTCCCCGTGTCTGCGTGGGTTTCCTCCGGGTACTCCGGTTTCCTTCCGCAGTCCAAAGACATGCAGCCAGGCCAATTGGACATGCTAAATTGCCCCTAGGTGTGAGTGAGTGAGTGAGTGTGTGATTGTGTATGTCTGTCTGTCTGCCCTGCGATGGACTGGCGACCTGTCCAGGGTGTATTCTGCCTTCCGCCCAATGACAGCTGGGATAGGCTCCAGCACCCCACCGCGACCCAGAAGGATAAGCGGTTTAGATGATGTATGTATGTATCACTGAGTTTTTGCAGTGCTGCTTCAACGTCAGTTCCAGCTCGAGAAACAACAGGACAGAAAACCAGAACAACATCACAGTCCTCCACTGTAAGAACCTCCTGCAGAGTGGGTCTTTGTCTGCAGAGAGATCTCACAAAATCCTCATGGTGTTTTCCCAGTAACACAAGAGAAAAATTTTACAGGCTTGCTTTCCACAGGAGTTGCTGGAAAAAGTATAAACACAGGATATGACTGTATTCCTGAGAAAGGATTCAATGATCAAACACAATCTTATTCTATATTATATTATTTATGTTCAGGACTATAACTTACACTGAAATGGCCTTTTTTTCCACCCTATAAAAGTACAGAATGTTTTAGCAATACCTCCAAAGTCTCAAGTTTTTTTAAATTAAAGGCTGGAATAATGGAAAGCTCACTGTGGATTTGGAGAGAAAGGTTTGTTAAGAAACTGGATGTTATTTCACTCTGCTACGCACTGTAATGCTAGCTTTACAGCACAGATTCCCCTTAATTTACTTTACGTGAATGGATTTGAAAATTAATCCCGACGTGCTTTGAAACTTCAGCCTCAAAGTGACTTGCTGCAGTAAAATGACTTAAAGTTAGCACAGAGCAGATGATCCTCATCTGTGGCTGGTTTGCAGTACTTTCTGTACAGATACATATTGTTATGAACATGTGTGTGTGTCAGTGTGGGTGTCCTTCAGTTCAGTCCTTGGGAGTTGAAGAAGCTGAAGAAGGCAGTAAGGATGGTGAGTGGGAGATTAGCTTTCCCTAACTTCCTCAGAAAATAGAGACACTGCTGGGCTTTCTTGGCTATGAAGCTGGTGTTCAGGGTCCAGGTGAGGTTCTCCGCTAGGTGAACACCAAGGAACTTGGTGCTCACAACAATCTCCACAGGGGAGTTATTGATGGTGAGCAAAGAGTGGTCACTCTGTGCTCTCCTGAAGTCAACAACCATCTCCTTTGTCTTGTCCACATTCACATATAGGTTGTTGACTTCACAACAGTCTGTCAGTCACCGTAACCCCTCTCTGTATGCTGACTCATCGTTCTTGCTGATGACAACAACCACAGTAGTGTCATCAGTAAACTTTATAACGTGGGTGGAACTGTGAGCTGCCACACAGTCGTGAGTCAGTAAAGTGAACAGCAATGGTCTAAGCACACTGCCTGGGGGGCTCCAGTGCTCAGTGTGATGGTGTTACAGGCGCTGCTCCACATGTGGACTGACTGAGGTCTTTCAGTGAGAAAGTCCAGGATCAGGAAGTGTTCAGGCCCATCAGGCTCAGCTTTCCAACGAGATGCTGAGGAATTATGGTATTGAATGTTGAACTGAAGTCTGTGAACAGCATCCTAACAGAAATGTCAGATCGGGCCAGATGAAAAGCAACATGTGAATTGCAGAGGGTCCAGTGAAGGAGGCAGCTGGGTCTTGATGTGCCTCATTACGAGCCTCTCGAAGCACTTCATGGTGATGGCTGTGAGTGCGATGGGAACGACAGTCAATGAGGCAAGACGCTGGAGATTTCTTTGGCACAGAGACAAAGGTGGTGGCCTTGAAGCACACTGGAACAACCATACTGCTTAGCGACATGTTGAAGGTGTTCATGAAAACACCTGCTAGCTGGTCTGCACATTCTCTGAGCACTCAGCTAGGAATGCTGTCTAGTCCAGCAGCCTTCCGTGGGTTGCCTCTGCGCAGAGTTGTTCTCACATAGGCCGTGGACAGGCACAGTACCTAATTAACTGATGGTCTTCCTCGGTGCATGTTGTTCTGTGCTTCAAACCGGGCATAGAAGTCATTCAGCATAGTTGGAAGGGAGGCATCACTGTCACAGAAAGGTGATGTTTCCTGCAGCTACTGAGGGCCTGAATGGTCTTGTGATGGTCTTCGAGACAGTAACATCATCAATGCACTTGCAGATTTAGCCCTTCACTGGTGCTGTGTACTTCCAAGTTAACAGAATGACTGTCTGTGGAAGCTTCCCTAAACACATCCCATGCAGGCTTGAAGAGCAGAAATGGCTCCTGCTGGACAGGTTTTCACCTGCTTCTGGTCTGGTTTGGAGCATCTCATGAGCGGTCTGTATGCAGGGATCAGCATTATCAAAATATGGTCTGAGTAGCCGAGGTGGGGGCAGGCTACACCAGGTACGCATTGGAAATGCTCGTGTAAACCAGGTCCAGCGCATTTGCCCCTCTCATTGCAAGGTCCACAGGCTCATAGAATTTAGGGAACACTGTAAACAGTCTGTCTGGTTGCATGTTCTGCTTATGCATTCTACATTGCGTGTGGCTTACATAGCAATGAAAATATTAATTAATTATGAATATTATTAATAATAAGTTGATGCATATGTTACCTGAAAGGTCACTTAGTATATGCACTGCTGCATCAATGTCAGGCACCTTTATTTTAATAGTGCATATAAATTGCATGAAACTTATGAAGTGCAGTCAAACAGAGTAGAGGTGAACACAGTAATCTCATTGCTGTGATAGGATACAAAATACATTGACTTACGTTGAATTTCAGGCTTCGTTTTTTCTATCTGTGAAAAAATATGTAAAATATGTTTTTTAAAAAACATGTCACTCAATCAGTAAATCACTACATTTGGAGCACACACAGAGATTAAAGACATGTTTATGATGTTACCAAAATCCATTCTTTAGCTTTGGTCAGTGCTTCATCATTCATTCTGCACTGCAGTAGATTCTCGTCTTCAGAGATCAGACAGTCCACTGTGAGTGTGTTCTCTCTTACATATTCACTGCTGTCTGATACGCTCATGTCAGGATCTGATATGTAATGGAGCACCACTAGAAGAACAGGCTTGGTGGCTGTAAAATATAAGAGATATACATGGATTTGATCAAAGTCCTCCAACCCTGGTGGAAATGCTCACTAGGTGAATTTACCACATTCCTTGTAGAAGTACTTACGTTCAGTGTTAGGAAGCTCTAACAAAGCACTTTCAATGTAGGTTTTGGTTTCAGAAAAACTTTGACAAAAATGCAAGAAAGTCAAAGATGATTGGGGCTCCAGTGGTGAAGTAACCCAGCACTTCATCACCTCCATGTACCTGACTATTATCTGGAAAACAAAATGGACTGTTCAGAAAGACAAAAACCTCAGCTTTTAATAAAGAAGAACAAAAACTAAAGCTGTGGAAAGTTAAGAAACACTTAAAATGGAAATATTGTGCATAAGGTTGTAAACTGAAATTACAAAACAAAACCATATCAATGCTGTTCGGCTCGAAAGACTGCATGATTAGGCATAATAAGCCTGGCGTTACCCAACCTCAGCAAACGAGCTTCAGCGTTACATAACACGTACAATGGCCTTTTAATATGTTAAGAGACCCTAAATGTTGGAAGACATATAGCTGTGTTATATTACTGACCTGCTCCGTCTGTTGCCATTTTTGTGGTAAACAATCCCTCAGCTAACGCTGTGAGGAGCTGCGGGGTCTAGTCTGCTGCTTTCACTTTCCATTTTAAATGACTACCCTTACTGCGGCTTTCAGTGCATCACGTGACCTGAAACTGCGCTATGACTGACCTGTTCTCACAGCGAGTGGTCAAAGCTAAAGGCTAACTCCTCTGTGACTCAGGTCTGTGGTCACGGACAGCTGTATATAAAAGAGAGTATCTTTAGCACAACACAGTTCACACGTTTGGAATCAGTTTAATTGCAGATACAAACTCTGCGTTTAAAAGTACAAAGCTGCCAATGTTTTTCTCAAATTAAGTGTATAAATAGAGTTGCTGCAGTAACAGATTTCAGTGGAGCTCCATCACAATGCAAGTCCACTGCTCCACAGCCCAGTGCTGGGAGGTGTCAGGATGTTTTTGAACATATTGTGTATATTCAGTCCAACAAAGCAGAATCAAGGTTCTCCCTGATTCACTATTAATAGAGAGAGAGAGAGAGAGAGAGAGAGAGAGAGAGAGAGAGAGGAATAAAAAGAGGGAGAGAGAAAAAAATGAGAGAGAGAGATGAGCAGAAAAACAGAGGGGGCATGTCTGTGCATGTCTTCCATAATAATACTATTATTTAATAAATTGTTATTCTGTATGAACTATTAATAACTTATTATTTATTAATACGTCCCCTACTTTGAGCTCCACCGTCATGAAGTGTTTTGATCAAAGATGGCCGACCTTTATAAGGTAAATAAAGCGCATGTCTATTCAAGTCATGGGGATGAAAAGAGAACTTACAGACTCAAACATAGCAGTGTTGTTTGAGTTTTTAAACACAGTGTCCACTAACTGTCCACTCTATTAGGCACAGCTGCCTCGTTGGTCTACCTTATAGATGTCAAGATGTCACAGTAGCTCAGCTGCTGCTGCACAGTTTGTGCTGGTCATCCTCTAGTCCTTCATCAGTGGTCACAGGACACTGTTTGCTGGATATTGTTGGTTGGTGGACTATTCTCAGTCCAGCAGTGACACTGAGGTGTTTAAAGTCACCAGCCATCTTTTTTTTTTTTTACATTGATCCTGGATAGATTTACCAATGTTGATTCAAGACCATCATTTTCGTATTGATCCTGGATAGATTTACTAATGTTGATTCAGGACCATCATTTTCGTATTGATCCTGGATAGATTTACTAACGCTGATTCAAATCCATCATTTTCACACTGACCCTGGATAGATTTACTAATGTTGATTCAGGACCATCATTTTCGTATTGATCCTGGATAGATTTACTAACGCTGATTCAAATCTATCATTTTCACACTGACCCTGGATAGATGTACTAATGTTGATTCAGGACCATCATTTTCGTATTGATCCTGGATAGATTTACTAACGCTGATTCAAATCCATCATTTTCACACTGACCCTGGATAGATTTACTCTAACACTGATTCAGCATCATAATTTCCACATTGATCCTGGATAGATTTACTGATTTAACACTGCTATTTTCATATTGATTCTGGACAGATTTACTAATCATGATTCAATCCAATTTGATTTTACAAAATTCATGCCTTTAAAACCCAAGCCTAAAAGTAGCTACTGGGTGTATATTTATATTTTTGGCTGTAACTGCAGATTTATACTGTCATCAAGTGAACAATACACTCTGATTCAGCACAAACTCACTTTTTCAAAAATGGCCATTATTGAAATCAAATATTTAATACTGAATATGAAAGTAGCATGCAAAAAAAACCTAGAAAATATTTTTTTACTACATACCTATGGAGCATTACAGCGCAATTCATAAAAGCATGGCATACATGTAATTAGAGGACAACATAGATTGCAAACAATACCACATACATTGTTTCTAGTTTTGGTTTGAAACGCACAGTGAAGATTATTCCTTCAAAACTTGAAGATCTGTTGCTCCTTGCAGATCAGCAGTGTGCATCTCAAGATGGATTAATCAGACAGCATTTTCATAATGAGAATCCCTGCTCTGTGGTAGCCAAGCAGTAACTACGTACATATAATGTGGAAACAGGAACCTAATAACTGTACATCTTTTACAGTAGTTCTACTGAGTTAACAGTAATGTATTAGTTCTTATTATGCCACCAAGTGAAGCTCACCATAAAGTATCATTTATAATCTGCATTACAAACATTCACTTTAATAATACATTAATGTCTATTTCTTTAAGACTAATACCCAGAGTCCTGGGCTGGAGGGCCTGAAAACATGGTGGACTAAACAAGAAATAAATAATTAGATCACAGCAATCTCTAAGGAGAGGAAAGGCATTTAATGAATGAAACACAAACAAATAAACAAAAATGAATGGTGATAAACTACCATGACTGGTGACCATCGTTGCATCCTTTGTGTAATCCAATGACAACAACTACCCTTCATAAATTTTTGAAACATGTTAAATGATTAGTTTAAATCTAAGTGATTATTTAAATTCCCTTATATGAAATACAGCAATATCTTGTGTAGCTAATATATCACGAAGTGCGTGGGAGAAAAAACATTAAAAAATTCAGACGTCACAGGATATTTTAGGACAGAGGGAGCTGAGTGTTAGACAGCAAAATAATGAAATGTTAGAGGAAAACAAGGACAACAGCACCACTACCACTATCTAGTAAACTAGCTTTCTCTGAACAGTTAAAGATAGCTAAATAAAAGAGTTAAGGTCAGGGTACTGGTACTTACTTCCATGCTACATTGTGTAAATTGCTCCTTCAAAATAAAAAAGTGTTAATCTGAACATTAGAGATAAGCCCCCCTTTGACCTGTCTCACTTTATGTCAGACACGAGCAATGTGTGTGAGCAATGGAGGTGCACCCAGGATTTACAGGCTGTGGGCCAATGTTAACCTTGATGTGGCTTTGTTAAGAGGCATTATGGAAATTAATCCATTCATAATAATCAATATTAAATGAAAAGTATTTTGAAATATAATAGAAAATTAACAGAACACAAATAAGCTTGAATAGAACCCATATTTTATATTGTGTTAGCTTAACAAAATGTACGTTCACTTTTTATATGCAGTTTTGTGGGTTGATCAAGACATTTCTCGCTGATCTTCATGGTCTAGCAGCTGATCCAGGCCCCTCATGTCTTCCTCCTGTGGGTTCTCACTCCATCTTGCTCTCTTCCTCTTCCATCTCCCTTTAGACACAGAGTTAGACAACATAACTAAAATACATTTCATCTTCACTCTTTTTGTCCTTTGTTTGTACTTGTGCTTTTACAATAGGTCCATGTTCAAGAAAAGACGTGTACTGCATCTCTACCTGCCAGTCACTGTGTGAAGTTTAACCGAAGAGTATAAGATATTAGGGAAATAAATGTGCTGTAATACCTTAGTTCTCAACCATTTCGAAACCCTACTGAAAGCCTCTGAATTCTCATTCCAGTACACCCTTGTTTTCAAGAAACCAACAGTCCACTGTGATCACATCCTCTCTGGTTACAGACCTGCTGCTGTCTGTTATTGTTTTCTCTGGATCTGAAAGATTATGAAGCACCACTAGAACTGCAGGCTTAGTGGCTGTTTAAAGAGATTAGTTTCATTTAAGTTTATGAAACAAGTATTATAAGAACTTTAGCTTCATAATATTCAGTTCATATTCAGTAAAAATGTATTGACCGCCAATGCTTTGCAGAACGACCTCATTATGAACAGCTGGACTGACAGAAGAACTCATACTCCTCCACTGAAGACACCTCCTGCAGTTCTGGTAAGTGTTTTTCGAGTATTCTCAGAAATTACAAATGAGTATTCAGTGTGTTTCCATTTGTAATAAAGAGATATTTAAGAGGAGGACCTGACAAATAGGAATAAGTTCCTTCTACAGTACTGTGGCCACTAGCTTAAAATATCTTGTGAATTTAGTCAATTTAAGCCTTAATGATTCACACACACATTTCTTTATTTTTTGTGAGCTGTATTAAATCTTTCCAGGGCAGTGATGTGGATGGAAATTTATTTTTGTTTTTAATTTTAAGATGTTTTGAATCCTAACTGTAATGCTAAAATATAAAATAGTAATAATCAGTTTTTGCAGAAGTCAAAGAAATTCTCTCATACTCACTTTTGAGATTGCTTATGATCCTATAACACACACACACACACACACACACAAAATATAAGTACAATGCAATGAGCAACAGAATAATCTCAAACTACACTAGTCCTGAAGGACTGTTTTAAATGAATGAATTCTATAAAAATGTACACAACGGAAAAAAAACATTAGACATGTACAAAATGCTTCTATTCTAGTGAGATTAGAAAGCTTCACTAAATCTTACTTTTCTGTGTTTTGATCTGTTGTTCCTCTAAAATGAAACACAGGATTAAAATCACGGCAGTGTTTTCCAGATTAAACGGTATACAGACACAATTCCCCACAGTTACAGTCACCTCAGTAATTTTCCCTAGAGAGTTATCAACATTGGTTGAGACAATATCTTCCCAGAATCCTTTATTGTCTTTGATCTTTAGTTTTAAGAGAGAAAAGATGAATAGTCTTTATAGGAATATATACTGTTATTTCCAGATCATACAATATTCATAAATAACACACAGATTACTAACAAAAATACATTTGTCAGACAACATTGAAATGATTTCACTGAAGCAAAGATACCTGAGTCTTAATCCACTTTGAAACTCTGCTGAAAGCTTCATCATTCTTCCTGCACTGCAGCAGTCGTCTATCCTCATGGAACAGACAGTCCACTGCGAGTGTTTCGTCTCTGTTTATAGATTTGCTGCTGTCTGGAACAATGAGCTCTGGGTCAAATGTGTGATGGAGCACCACCAGAACAGCAGGCTTAGAACCTGTAAAACATGATTCAGAGACATTATAGGCACTGTTAATGGATGCTTGGACAATTTCAACTTTAATGTCAAGTTTTTAGTAAAGTATATTGGCTTAAATATTTAAATATATATAAATATTTCAATGATTTAAATGCATTTCCAATATCAAAACCAGCAAATCTGCTGGAGTAATGAGTATCAGTATGTGCATTACCAGACATATCATTCAGTTGTCTCAGTGCTCTTTCAGTGTCAAGTCCAGCCAGTGTTACAACAGGACAGAAAGCCAGAATGACATCACACTCCTCCACTGTATGAACCTCCTGCAGTTCTGCTCTTCGTTTACAGAGAATTCTCACAAAATCCTCATGAGAGCCCAGAGTTTTCCCAGTAACACAAGTGACAAAATTAAGCTTTCCAAGATGGAGTTTGACTTGTGGCAGATCTGGAAAAATTGGTATGAACATTTAAAAAATAAAAAAAAATTAATAACTGTATTCTACTCTGGAAAGCACTCAGAGAAACACCAAAGAAGGGTGAAGGACTAAATTTCTCCAAACAAAACTTTTAATAGGTTTTAGGTTGTATGGTTGCTGTGTTTAAAACAATTGAGTATATACACCTTTATACAACTCCATTTGATGCAGGACTACCACAGTGTACTAAACAAAAGAAACTATAGGCTGGTTTGCTGGACAGGGATTAAGCCTAAACATGGACTATATTTTGTCCATTCAAAATCTTGTGTAGTCCAAGATTGTCTAAGAAAAAATTTTTTACTTCATTTACTTTATTTATGGTATTGCTTGGATATCACTGACCTTGACTTACTCCCGTTATCTGTGAGAAAAAAGAAATAAAGTTCTCTCATAATCACACATACCAGTATATTACAGAGCCCACAAATCCTATCAGAACAGATCAGCCAACAATTATTATTATTTTTGCTGTACACTGAATTACTTTCTGTTACTGAGATGAGAAAGGAGTAGAGGAACTTACAGAGCTCGATCCCTTGTTCTTCTGTGGTAAAGAAAAAGGATTTGGTATCTTCTTCATGACCTGTACAGGTAAATTAAACAGCCTGATTAATATATAAAAACACACAGCAGTGTACAGCTTTAACTGTAACTGCTATAGAGAACAAATTCTCACTGTTCTAGTCATCTCAGGCATTCTCGCCTTCAAGTTGTCAAAATGTTTAATTCCTTTTGATTTGGTCTGTTTAGGTTCCAAGAAGGGAAACATGAGCAATCCTTATAGAAATACACACTGTTGTTTTCCAAAATCTCAATGTTGTAGAGACTGAATGTCCACATTTCTAGAGAATTTACCTCAGCAAACTGTCGTGCAAAGTCTGTAAACTTGGTCTGGATTATATCAGCTGAAGATTCCACATTTGTCTTTATCCCTGCCTGTTTGAGGGGAGGAAAGATGAATGATCTTCATATTGATGCAATTATGTGCTAAATTACATGACATACAAGGCCAGAGGTAGATTCATTAACCAAAATAAATCTGTAGGACAACATTCATGTGATTTCACTGATGAAGCAAAGATACCTGAGTGTCAATCCACATTGAAACTCTTCTGAAAGCTTCATCATTTCTCCTGCACTGCAGCAGTCCTTTATCCTCATAGAACAGACAGTCCACTGTGAGTGTTTTCTCTCGGTTTACCGCTCTGCTGCTGTCTGGTACAGTGCACTCTGGATCTAATGTGTGATGGAGCACCACTAGAACAACAGGCTTAGTGGCTGAAAAAAGAGAAAGTTTTAATAAATTAAAACGATTAATTTATTTAATGAATTTAAATAATAGAAATTTGTTGATATCAGTATGTGTGTTACCAGGTATATCATCGAGTTTTCCACATGCGCCTGTAATGTCAGTTCCAGCTCGAGAAACAACAGGACAGAAAACCAGAACAACATCACACTGCTCCAATGTAGACACCTCCTGTAGAGCAGTTCTTCGTTTGCAGAGAATTCTCACAAAATCTTTGTGAGAGCCCAGAGTTTTCCCAGTAATCAGAGTGAAAATTCTCACAGGCTTGATTTTAACAGGTGGTCCATCTGAAAAAAATTATTAATGAAAACACCAAAATAAACAAAGAATACGACTGCCATCCTGACAAAGCATTCACTGACCATATATAATCTTTTGTCTATATCATATTATCTATAACTCACGCTCATTTGGTTGGTCTTTCTTGACCTGTGAAAAATAAACATTTTAGCAACATCAACAAAGTCTCTTTCAGACAAGATTTTAGAATTAAAAGGCTAAAATTATGGGAAGCTTACGGTGGATTTTGGTGGCTTTGCTCCCTGTTAAATCAAATTACACTTGTGTCACAATCAATCCAAAAAAGCACTAAAGAGTCTTTGAATGTTCTTCCTTTATAACTAAAGTGGTAAAAACATGAACCATGACTCACCTCAGGAATTAGCCAGTCTGCCACTTCACACAAAGCTTCATCATTCTTCCTGCACTGCAGCAGTCCTCTATCCTCATGGAACAGACAGTCCACTGTGAGTGTGTCCTGTCTGTCCACAGCTCTGCTGCTGTCTGATACAGTGCACTCTGGATCGAATGTGTGATGGAGCACCACTAGAACAGCAGGCTCAGTGGCTGAGGAAAGAGAAGGTTAAGAATTTATTTAGTGAATTTAAATAATAGTAATTATTTGAAATGGGCAGCCGATTAGCAGCATGTCTTTTACCAGGTATATCACTGAGTTTTTGCAGTGCTGCTTCAATGTCAGTTCCAGCTTGAGAAACAACAGGACAGAAAACCAGAACAACATCACAGTCCTCCACTGTAGGAACCTCCTGCAGAGTGGGTCTTTGTCTGCAGAGAGATCTCACAAAATCCTCATGGGAACCCAGTGTTTTCCCATTAACCCAAGAGAAAAATTTTACAGGCTTGGTTTCCACAGGAGGTGCTGGAAAAAGTATAAACACTGGATATGACTGCATTCCATCCTGACAAAGCATTCAGTAATCTTACACTATTTTTTATCTACGCTGTATTATTTATTTTCAGGACTATAACTTACACAGGCTTTCTTGTCGTTGTGCTTCCTTGACCTGTAAAAAATACAAAACATTTTAGCAATATGACCAAAGTTTCTTTCTAGACAATTTTTTAGAATTAAAAGGCTAAAATTATGGGAAGCTTACGGGGGATTTTGGTGGCTTTGCTCCCTGTTAAATGAAATTACATTGTACTCACAATCAATCCAAAAAAGCACTAAAGAGTCTTTGAATGTTCTTCCTTTTTAACTAAACTGGTAGAAACATGAACCATGACTCACCTCAGGAATTAGCCAGTCTGCCACTTTACACAAAGCTTCATCATTCTTCCTGCACTGCAGCAGTCCTCTATCCTCATGGAACAGACAGTCCACTGTGAGTGTGTCCTGTCTGTCCACAGCTCTGCTGCTGTCTGATACAGTGCACTCTGGATCGAATGTGTGATGGAGCACCACTAGAACAGCAGGCTCAGTGGCTGAGGAAAGAGAAGGTTAAGAATTTATTTAGTGAATTTAAATAATAGTAATTATTTGAAATGGGCAGCCGATTAGCAGCATGTCTTTTACCAGGTATATCACTGAGTTTTTGCAGTGCTGCTTCAATGTCAGTTCCAGCTCGAGAAACAACAGGACAGAAAACCAGAACAACATCACACTCCTCCACTGTGAGAACCTCCTGCAGAGTGGGTCTTTGTCTGCAGAGAGATCTCACAAAATCCTCATGGGAACCCAGTGTTTTCCCAGTAACACAAGAGAAAATTTTTAGAGGCTTGGTTTCTACAGGAGGTGCTGGAAAAAGTAGAAACACCGTATATGACTGCATTCCATCCTGACAAAGCATTCAGTGATCAAACAAAATCTTATTCTAGATCATATTATTTATGTTCAGGACTATAACTTACTCTGAAATGGTCTTTTTTTTCCGCCCTGTAAAAGTACAGAATGTTTTAGCAATACCTCCAAAGTCTCAAGTTTTTTAACTTAAAGGCTGGAATAATCGAAAGCTCACTGTGGATTTTGTTAGCTTTGATTCCTGCAAAGTGAAATTATGTACAAAATACAAAAACGCACTAAAGAGTCTTTTAGTTCTCATCTTTTTTAAACTGAACTGGTAGAAACATGGACCATGACTCACCTCAGGATGAGTGTTAGCATTTTGAGCGCACTTTAGTAATGTTTTGTCCTCATAAAACAGACAGTCCACCGTGATTGTATTCTTTCTGGTTACACATCTGTTGTGGTCTGATACAATGCTGTCTGGGTTACATAGTTAAGAATTAATTTAGTGAATCAATAAACAATCAGACTTGAAGCAAAAGACAGCAGCTATCAAATGTTTTTATGTGTAATGTGTTTTACCAGACATATCACTGAGTTTATGCAGTGCTGCTTCAATTTCAGTTCCAGCTTGAGAAACAACAGGACAGAAAACCAGAACAACATCACACTCGTCCACTGTAGGAACCTCCTGCAGAGTGGGTCTTTTTTTACAGAGAATTCTCACAAAATCCTCAAAAAATCTCAGTGTTCTCTCAGTAAAGTCAGCAAATATTTTCACAGGCTTAGTTTCTAGCTGTGGTGTATCTAGAAAAAAAAATCATATATTATTAGTAACCATTCTATCCTGGCAAAGCATTCATTCATTATATATGATAGCTTATCTTTATCTGTGGCAATAACTTACAATCAGTTGATGCTTCCTCCGCAACCTGTACAAATACGGCAAATGTTAGCAATATCACTAAAGTCTTCAGACAATTTAAACTGCTGATGAAACTGCACTGTACACACAATCAATATAGAAAAGCAAGAGTCTTTTTAATATTCTTCCTTTATAACTAAACTGGTAGAACTATGGACCATGACTCACCTCTGGAATTAGCTCTAAAACTTTGCACACTGCTTCATCATTTTGAGGGCAGTTCAGCAATCTTTCATTCCCAGAGATCAGACAGTCTACTGTAAGTATATTTTCTCTGGTTACAGATTTCCTGTTGTCTGATACTCTGATGTTTGTGTCTGATGTGTAATGTAGCACAAAAAGAACAGCAAGTCTGGAGGCTGTGGAAGGAGAGATTTGAGAATGAGTTTAGTGGACTTGTGATTTTTCTGCATCATTAAATCAGTTAACTGACTCTCGATTTGGATCAAGATGACAAGATGGATAGTGCACAATACAAACAGAAAATTCTGTGCCTCTCTGGCAAAGACATCAATTAGAGAAACAGATAAATGGACTACTGCATGTAACAGATTGTAATGGTGCACTATTGTCTGGAATAAGATTGTTTAACAAAAAATCAGACCCAAATTTGGATTTTTGTACATTTATTATTTCTTTACTACAGTATCTCTACTCCTGCTCGTTAAAGGGCATAAGACTCCGTAAAAAAGAAATATGAGACTCTGAAATCTGAATTCAAAATGTATTGAAGAGTTCATGATTTTTAAATACAATACTGTAAACAATTCTAACATAAGTGTCTTTTTTGATTAAAAAACTGGTGGCTATGGCATCATCTGTGGAGCAGTTGGAACGGTATGCAAACTGCAGCAGGTCCAGAGGCAGCTGAGTTTTGATGTGCCTCATTACGAGCCTCTCGAAGCACTTCATGATGATGTGTGTGAGTGCGCCGGGACAATAGTTACTGAGGCAAGATGGTGGTGATTTCTTCAGCACAGGGACAATGGTTGTGGCCTTGAAGCACGCTAGAACAACGTTGCTGCTTAGTGAGATGTTGAAGATGTCCGTGAGAACATCCGCTTGCTGGTCTGCACATTCTCTGAGCACTCAGCCAGGAATGTTGTCTAGCCTAGCAGCCTTTCGTGGGTTGACTCTGCCCAGAGTTTTTCTCATGTTGACCGTGGACAGGCACAGTACCTGATCACTGGGAGGAGGGGTGGTCTTTCTCGTTGCCATGTTGCTCTGTGCTTTGAACGGTGCATAGAAGTTGTTCTGTGTATCTGGAATGGAGGCATCACTGCAACACTATAGTTACTGAGGGCCTGAATGCCCTGCCACATGCGCCACGTGACGCCGGTACTTTGGAACTGTCTGTGAATTCTCTGAGCATGTGCTTCGCCTCTCTGATAGCTTGTGACAGTTTGGCCCCCTCTGTTCTTAGGGCTACATTGTCCTTCAGCAGCCCGCAACCTCAGCAGTCATCCACGGCTTCTGATTTCTGCTTGTGATGATGGTCCTGGAGACAGTAACATCATCAATGCACTTGCAGATATAGCCAATCACTGATGCTGTATGCTCTTCCAAGTTAACAGAATCACTGTCAGTGGCTGCCTCCCTAAACACATCCCATGCAGTCTGCTCAAAACAGTCTTGAAGAGCAGAAATGGCTCCTGCTGGACAGGTTTTCACCTGCTTCTGATCTGGTTTGGAGCGTCTGACGAGCAGCCTATAAGCAGGGATCAGCATTACAGAAATGTGGTCTACCCAGTACACATTGGAAATGCTCGTGTAAACAAGGTCCAGGACCCTCTCATTGCAATGTCCACATGCTGATAGAATTTAGGGAGCATTGGCCTGAGATCTGCATGATCAGTGGCCATAAACTGTCTGGTTCCATGTTCTGCATGCACAAAACCAGCATGCAAAAGTCCCGCCACTGAAAAGCAGCCAAGACTTACTACCTTAGCTAACCTGACTGAGAAGCATCCTGACCATTTCAAAAACACTGAATGTACTGTTCCCCTGTAATGACTCTTCAGTCTCTCATGACACTGTATTTTTGCCATATTATATTTTTGGTACCAACTGTTGTCACACTGCACTTGGTATAGTTGAGTCAAAATTCTGGTAACAAACATCCTTGTCTAAATATGAAAAAGGGATGCCAGAGTACTTTTCCACCTTCTCATATTGAGTGTGTGTGGCTTACACAAAAATAAATATTTGCAGTAATAATGAGTTGATTCATATGTTAACTGGAAGGTCACTTAGTATGTGCACTGCTGCATCAATGTCAGGCAGAAAGACATCACATTCCTCCTCTGTAGACGCCTCCTGCAGTTCTGCAGTTCCAGTTTTATTAGTGAAATCTGTAGCTGCACAGGGGTGCTGATCTGCTTTAAAAATAGGGAAACCTTTAAAAATAGGTGCAGGACTCCTCCTAGTGGTCAGGGCTAAATTATGCCAGCCTAAAACATGGAATCTGAAAGAGGTTCTTCATTCAAAGAACCTTCCTGGCACCTTTATTTTAATAGTGCATATCTCATTGCTGTGATAGGATACAAAATACGTTGACTTACGTTGAATTTCAGGCTTCTTTTTTTCTGTCTGTGAGAAAATATGTAAAATATGTGTTTTAAAAAAAAGTGTCACACAATCGGTAAATCACTTCATTTGGAGCGCACACAGAAACTAAAGACATGTTTACGTTTTTACCAAAAATAACTCAGTAATACCTCAGACATGATCCATTCTTTAGCTTTGGTCAGTGCTTCATCATTCTTTCTGCACTGCAGTAGATTCTCATCTTCATAGATCAGACAGTCCACTGTGAGTGTGTTCTCTCTTACATATTCACTGCTGTCTGATATGCTGCTGTCAGGATCTGATGTGTAATGGAGCACCACTAGAAGAACAGGCTTGGCGGCTGTAAAATGTAAGCGATGTACATTGATTTGATCAAAGTCCTCCAGCCCTGGTGGAAATGCTTACCAGGTGAATTTACCACATTCCTTGTAGAAGTACTTACGTTCAGTGTTAGAAAGCTCTAGCAAAGCACTTTCAATGTCAGTTTTGGTTTCAGAAAAACTTTGACAAAAAAACAGAATGAAATCACACTTCTCCACTGTAGGCACCTCCTTCAGCTTTGGACTTAGACCTTGAAGAAATGCTATAAAATCAAAAATGATTGGGGCTCCAGTCGTGAAGTAACTTATCACCTCCTCATCACCTCCATGTACCTGACCATTATCTGGAAAACCAAATAGACTGTTCAGAAACACAAAAACCTCAGCTTTTAATAAGGAAGAACAAAAACTAACGCTGTGGAAAGTTAAGAAGTACTTAAACCGAAATATTGTGCATAATGTTGTAAACTGAAATTACAAATCAAAACCATACCAATGCTGTTCGGCTCGAAAGACTGAATGATTAGATATAATAAGCCTGGCGTTACCCAACCTCAGCACACGAGCTTCAGCGTTACATGACACGTAAAATGGCCTTTTAATATGTTAAGAGACCCTAAATGTTGGAAGACATGTAGCTGCGTTATATTACTGACCTGCTCCGTCTGTTGCCATTTTTGTGGTAAAAACTCCCTCAGTTAACGCTGTGAGGAGCTGCGGGGTCTAATCTGCTGATTTCACTTTCCATTTCAAATAACTAGCCTTACTGAGGCTTTCAGTGCATCACGTGACCTGAAACTGCGCTCTCATTGGTGAGCTCAGTCCAGTCGCGCTATGACTGACCTGTTAGTCAAAGCTAAAGGCTAATTCCTCTGTGATTTAACTCTGTGGTTACAAACAGCTGTATATTAAAAGAGAGCATCTTCAGCACAACACAGTTCACACGTTTGGAATCAGTTTAACTGCAGATATGCATAATAACTATATGTCTAAACGTTTGTAGACATTTGCACATCAAACGTTTCTTCTTAAATCAATGGTTTTAAAAGGGAGTTTGTTCCTCCTTCACTGCAGTAACAGCCTCTACTCTTCTGGAAAGGCTTTACACCAGCTACTGAGAGGATTTCACTGCATTCAGCCACAAGAGATTTAGTGAGGTCAGGTACTGATGTCAGATTGTTAGTTCTGGATCTTTAACAGCATTCCCACTCATCCCAGAGGATTTCAGTGGAGCTCCATCACAATGCAAGTCCACTGCTCCACAGCCCAGAACTGGGGGTGTCAGGATGTTTTTGAACATATTGTGTATATTCAGTCCAACAAAGCAGAACCCCTAACTCCTGTCTGCTCAATTAAGAAACACTGAAAGGAACCAAGATTCAAAAGAGGAACTCAGACAATAGACCAGTTTACAAAAAAGTTGACAAAAACAACAAACGCTTCTAGAGAAACTGAGTCAAAATTATTCATAACAGTGGTGATAGGAACCAGACCTCTGAAGTGTTTAATGCCTCTAAAACCTGCCTCACAGGAAGCTTTTACATAGTTAGGCATTTGCTGCCTGAGGCCTGAGAGGTTGTTTTATGGTAGTTTTGAAAGCTTTGGCCTAAAACCTGTCTTTAAAAAAAAAACAAAAAAAAAAACAAAAAAAAACAAACAAACATATTTCTTCAGATCTGCTACTATTTTACTACTATCAACATTACATATAAAACCCCATAGGACACAACTGTGGGTTTACTGGTTATTTTATAAATAAATAAAATGGCTATATTTGTGTTGTAGACATTGTGACTTCTGGTTCCTATCAGCACCACTGTAAAGAAATGTGGAACAGTAAGTTCCTCTACAGTGCACCATTTTACATCAAGCCACCCTGAGTGACTTTGTTTACATCTCAATGATTGAATCATACAGACATTTTGTATATCCCTTTTAAACATGAGGACAGTGTTAAATATGAGGACACACACCACCCCATTCATCACTGGTCAATATGAGCAATATATAGGCTATGATTTCTGCTTCAATTAATAATGTGGTCTCAGTGTGGCGCTCCTGAACCTCGACTTAACCAATGTAATTCAGAGCACTGGTTCCCAATCCTGGTCCTGGAGCCTGCCCTGCACATCTCAGCATTTTCCTGCTCTAACTAATCAGTGAAATAACAATTAATTTCTGAGTTGAAGTCAGTGTTTTAAGACCAGGATTGGGATCCCGTGATTGAGGATGTAATAATTCATGATAGTGGGAGGTAAAGTGCAGAGCTACGCCATCTGCTGCCTGCGTTCACAACATTTTGCCATTCATTTCGCCATAGAGAAATTTCTGATGACAAATTCAAAACCACCTAAATCACTTAAAGCTGTTAACGTCTGTGAATCAGTAATTTTACAACCATAGCTACAAATACAATATACTAGCAGAATATCTTGCTGAGCCGTTTGAGTGTAAAGATTAAAATAACGCTGAACTACAAATCCCATGGCTCAATGCAGCGCCTCTCCATGGGACGTGTGGTAGTGGCGTCATCAGCGCGATAGAGTTTGTAGTCCATTTGGAGAAAACGTTCACAAAACCTGTATATCTATCTTTTGTGAAGTACAACTAAATATATGAGAGACACTGTATATCATGTTGTACATCCTGTAATTTGCATTACTTCCAGTTCGACGTTGACCTACGTTTTGAACTCAAACTGCAGGAGGCGATCTCAACTTTCCTTCGAAAAGCTTGTCCTCTCCAGGCCGCCGTAGTGGGATATTTGCCTTCGAAAATGGCGGAGAAGAAAATAGCAGGTAAGGAATTGCCCGTGTCTTGTGTAAATCCACTCTGTCATTAAAACCACGAAATTCATACATTTTAAACAACTTCGCGCACGCAAGAGTCGTTAATAAACTGTACATATATCTTCAGTCTGCTGAGATACGTTCTTGAACTGTAAGCTCGTTAGGTAACTGATCGCGACGTTCCACCTTAAACGGTGCAGTGGTTCAGCTACGTTCTGGTCATTCTACCGTCTGCGTACTGCAAGGAACGGCTGTTTAAGGTGGACCGGAAAATTAGAATAAGAAGCTAACTTGGTAAACAGTTTCTTTAACTATTGCCTCGGTACATTTAACTCGGTTAACTATGAGTGAAATGGTCTAACCAAAATGTTTGTTAGTCTGTTTTTGTTTAGTGAAACACGTTAAGCCATTTCCATTCGCTTCTCTATTGCCAGCATATTGATACTGATACCGATAACGTTATTTCACTGGATGTTTAAATACACTGCACTGAGGAATTTGAGTCCAAAAGTGAGTAAAGAAGCTTCTAAATTCTCGTCTTTTGCTCCGTTAGTGAAACTCTGCAGCTGTTATTCAGTCGTAGTTTATATCAGTATCAGCACCTAAGTTACCTCGCACTCCGGTTCACGGCTGGCTAACCTAACCTACATCTCTCACTGCTCAGCGCCTGTGTGAAAATAGTTTGATAATCAGTTAGCTAGGCTACATGCAGTTGGTAAGAAAACGGTGTTTGGGGTTTCAGGTCGTCCAAAGGCTTTTTGTACAGGTCAAAATGAATTCGTTTCTCCCAAACTCACTTAAAGATTGTCTCATTTCCTTACCATGTTAATGATTTTCTTTGTGGTGTATTTGGTTTTGAAAATACACCAGAATTTGTCATTTACAGTGTGAAACAATTGAACATTTTTTCCCGTGAATATACAAGAACCTTTTTTTTTTTTACTGAGATTGAAAAATAGCTTTTTTACTTTTTATTTCAACCTACCAGCATTTCCGTAGTAGAACACTGTTTTTTATCATTCTAGTGATCTTAGTGATCTATTTATTAACACTGAGTGCGTTTACATGCACTTAATAATCAGATATCTGCAGAAATCTGATTATGATCAGATTATGAAGTGCATGTAAACGCACTCGCTGTTATTATGTCCAAATTTTTTCATGCACAGAATGTCAATTAATGTAAATTTACATTTAATGTAATGCAAAATGTGTCTCCTTATTTGCTGAATTTCCACATTGAATGATTTCTTTGCATTTTTATGTAGCAGTTAGCAGTTAAATTGGTGAATTCGCGCTCATAATTTTGTAGTTTTTTTTCCTCCAAGCCCCTACGTGTAATATTTTAATGGTTGCCCCTTACTTGTTTGTGTAATGTAATAAAATGACCTAATTTGTGAGATGTCTTTGTTTTGTTTGCTGTAGTGCGCTCGCAGGACCCGAACCAGCGGCGCGTGCTGGACAGCGCGACCCGCCAGCGGCGCCTCACGCGGCAGCTCGAGGCTTTGGAGAAGGACAACTTCCAGGATGACCCTCACGCGAGCCTCCCGCAGCTGGTCAAGCGGCTGCCGCAGTTCGACGAAAATAACGAGTCTGGTGAGACGATTTCACACGATTGTTTTTGTGGTTTACACAGAGAGTTTATGAGGAGTCTGGCCACTTCCTACTTCCCCCATTATATCAAAACAGGACTGCAAAACAGCACAGGGCTCCCGCGAGCGAGTCCTCAATGAATGGCAGTAAATGGAGCTCAACAGCTAAAAATGAAAAGTTATAATAGTTTCTAATCACTCACCCAGAACGTTTCTTTAATTTTAGAAAGTAGAAGGATGTATTTCACTAAAAAAGCAAAGAAAACTTTCCTATATTTTTCCTTTTTTCTACAGCAAACAGGTTTTGGGCTGCAGGACGCTGGCATTACTGCTAGTGAGTGCTGATTGGTTGGCGAGCGGAGCAGCTCATTGGCTGTTCGCGCTCACAGACGTCATGGATGTACATGAGGCGCCGTTTTAAACCCCTTTAACTCGAGTTTAAAAGCTCTTAAAATATAACAACAGTGTTAAAATGTTTTATGCTGTTCTGTGTTCAGGAAATGAATGTTTTCTTTTACATTAAAAATGTTTAACCACTTATAAAGTATGATTTTGCTCAAATGCTCCATGTTAATCTATTCATTTTGGACTCGCTCGGGAGCGCCCTCTAGTGTTTGAGAAACCGGAAGACATTGCAGAGTGGTAATTCTTCTCTCTACAAGTTCTCTGGTTTACACTCATTCTGTGCCGAAAACAGTGACGTAGGCTTCACTTAAAGACTGGGCACAAAATTAGTTCTGTTTAACTGCATTTTGTGCAACACTTTTTGACAAATATTGAACAAAAATCGTTGTATTCATGGTTTTTGGTAGAATTCTTTTAAAATGTAGCACTACTGGCTCTTTTTCTCTGTTTCAACAGATCAGAGGTTTGAATGAATAAATACTGTGACACTGTGTATCATGAACAGTTCTTGAAATATCGCAATATTATATTTTTGCCATATTGCCCACATTGTTATTTAGTATGCTAAATATTACATTGAAAACAAAGAGCTGTAATTGCAGTGATGACAAAAACAACCAAGACCATCTATTATACAAACACATTCACCTTTATATTTGGAATATTCCATGAGTCAACAGGAATTTGCACCATCTGAATGTTGATCTGAGTGATGTAAAGCATTAGAATGGTATTAGCATGGATGCTAGTTAACCCACATTTTGTGTATTTGCTAATTCTCTGCTAAAAACTCAACACTGTTACTCAATATAAGTTACTGTTCACAAAAGAACCATGTAAAACATGATATTTTATAGAGCATGTAAGATTTGAAATAAAACACTGCACTGCAGAAATGCAAAAAACACAAAGCAGCTGAAATTCTTATGTTATGCAAAACGTGTCTTTAGTTATTCATAAAAGTCTAAGACATTTTGGAAAATGGAACAAAATATTCTTTGGCGGCTATCAGTGTATTTGAGAGGAAACAAAATGTAGCCTGTGTGTGGGAGCTGTATCTAAACACACATGTTGCACTGTGATTCTCCCTCTCACCAGAACTATTTTTTAATAAAGTATACTTTTATTCAGCTTGAATAAGGGCCATTCTGTGGCTAGTTTTAAGCTTGACAAGCATGATGTAGAGTCCTCAAACTTCACAGACATGAAGTAATTAGTTCTCCAACCTTACACACATTCTGTAGCTACAGGTCTCATAGTTCTCATAGTCACAGTTCACAATTGTGTGTTTCTTTGTAACCTCAGGGAAACGGAGAAAAAAGACGAGAGGCGACCATTTCAAGCAGCGGTTCCGAAAAAACTTCCAGGCACTTCTTGAGGAGGAAGTGAGTTTTGTATGCTGTTCATAACCCTCAAGTTTAATGCATTTATTCAGATGACTATGACTTTACTTACTCTCTCTCTCCTGACAGGCAACTAAATATCTTTGTTTCTGTCTGTTTATCTGTCTGTACGCAGGACTTAAGTGTAAGCGAGGGTCCTAACTATCTAACAGCATGCGCTGAGCCCTCTAAGCTTCCTCAGCGTCATTTCTGTGCCGTGTGCGGCTTCCCCTCCAACTACACGTGTGTGTCCTGTGGAGCTCGTTACTGCTGTGTGCGCTGCTTAGGGACACATCACGAGACCAGGTAATGCACTGACATCACCAAGAGACCAGATAACAGGCATCTATGCATGCCTGCTATAGCGCGGATGCGTAGATCACAGTTCCAGTGTGCATTGTTAACTTTCAGAAACAGAACATCGAGCCTATGCTGTACAACAGACCTGCAGAAGAAGAAAGCTAGATCATTAATAATCACTCTTTTCCTTTGTGATCTTTCTTAGGTGCCTGAAATGGACCGTATGATTCTTCATGCTGGTTGCTGAAAAAACAAGGCTCTTCAACAGCCTTGAAATTCAGATTATGCCTGGTGTTGGACTGCACTAAAAAGGCTGAGGAACAATTGCTAACCTTAATTTTGCAAGGAAAACAAGTGTTTCCTGAGGAGAAAGGGGATCCTTCTTGCAGTCGGGGTGATTTACTTGCTCAGTGGCACTGCGGAGGTACTGAAAGAAAAGACTTGAACCCCCAGAAACGGACGTTTTTATGCGCTCATTGAATAGTTCTTGGACTGATGATATCCTTGCTCATCTGCACTCTAATTAGCCTCATTCCCGAGGGCCAACACACAACTGTTTTAGAAAACCTGTGCAGCTGGACTGGAAATCTGCTAGCAGCTTGTTTGCATGAACTTTCCTCCCATACCGCCTAGATTAGGCAAGTCAGTGCACACCCCAACACCTGGCTAGTGGCACAGAGGTCTGCGGTGTGGTTTAAACTCCAGTTAAAATGCTAGAGATGGAGCATTCTCTTTGTTGGCCTTTCAGCAGGATGTACCGCCTCCTTGATTTGCTTACATTCCTCAAGTTATTGGCTGCTTATCTTTGCTCTTAATAAGCCAGCACATGCAGTCTAGGGCAGGAAGGACAGAAAGCTAGTGAGAGCCAGTAGTTAAGAGTATTCCTGTGAATTCCACAAAAAACATCGTTTCAGATTGTCATCTGTGTTTCTCGCTTTTGTCTTTTAAGGTATGTTTTTCCATTAGCTGATGTTAATGGGAATAAACATTGTGCTAAAATATTTACTGTATGTGTCGTTATGTAGGATGCCTAGCATTTTCACAACCACACCTTTTTCCAGGCTAGTGAATGTTCCAGTAAATAAGGATAGTAAGCGAATCTAATAATTTAAAGTTATTCTAGCTTGATGTTTTTGCTGTTGGGTTTAAACTGTTTGGTTTAATTATGCTTACTTTTTTGTTTTAATAATGCTTTTTATATATATTTTTTTAGATCTTTTAGATCTGTTTCCGAACTGTTTCCATAAGACTGCCAATGAGAGAATACATTTTCACATCATTCCTTTAAATACATTTACAATACCGAAGCTTCATATTTAGTGGGACTGTAAAATCTTATTTGATCATAATGTCTAAAAACTGTGAAATACTAAACATAGATATTTTGGTCAGTATAATTTACCATGGTGAAAAACAGCTGTACATCTCAATGTATGAATTTATTACCAATTTATTATTAAAATAGATCTATACAACATGGTGACAAAACCACTCTTCATAAAAAACAATTTCTTAGCTTGTCAATACATTTCATCATAAAGAAATGCATAAATAATTCTTAGTCTATCACACAATCAATGAATATTTGCCCTGGCAACAAGAAACTACCCTTACATCAGCCATCTGCTGAAGCTTTCGCCTGAAGAATGTTTCTTTTTTCAGTTAAATTTAGATACAGATGTTAAGGCTAAAACCATTTTTCCTGTGTTTCATGTCCAGATTTTTGGTGTACATGGTATGCTGTAATTGGTGAGGTTCCTGTAAACTTAGTCCACTACGATTATGATGTGGCAGAAGGAATGTTTGAATTGCACACTTCCATGCTGTAAGGGACATCTCTGGGTTCTATTTAAAAAAAAATCGTTTTGTTTAATTTGTAATAACAAAACACAACCAATTCATGTCAGCCGCCCCACTTGAAGCATCTCCGTGACCTTCAAGAAATCTCTGTGTGTCTGTGTGTTGTTTCTACAAACAAAGGCGATTGCTGACGGAACAAAATATTTAACTTTTTTTAATGATACCTTTTATATTCTTTTAGATCGTCACCTGAGATACAAAAGTATGTTCCGTATGATGATCTACGATGATAGATTTCTCATATTAATCTTTTAATACTATAATCCAGCAAGAATACCTCCTAACTGTTGTTTCTGAAGATGCCTTTCAATATGATCAAATAAGACTGTGGTGTTAATTATAGTTCGTTTTTTATAATGCCTTTTATATTCTTTCAGAAAGCTAATACGAAAATATTTTTATCACACTGTTCTTTTATATAGGTTTATACTAATGTAGCTTTATATGAAGTGGGTCTGTAAAATCTCATTTGATCATAATGTTTAAAATGCTGAAATACTGAACATAGATATTTTGGTCAGTGTAATTTACCTGATATAGACAAACAGAAAATCCATGTACATCACACATAATGGTCTATTCTAACATTTCCATATGCACCTGACTATTACAAACTGCACAGAGACCAGTGAAATTCATTAAAATACAAAAATATAGCACATATTTATAACACTCACACTGAGTCCTGTGCAGATATATCATCAATATTACAACCTCCAATAAGACTTTTAATAGTGCAATAATTAATAATTAATTTGCAACCATTTCGCAAACAATTCATTTATAAAATGGAAATCGGTAATGTAACATCATTTTAATTTGATGACAATGTAAGTGCAGATAGGACTGCACTATAAACTGTAAACCAACTGCTTGATCATTCTGAAAATAGTGTATATATTTTGGAAACAGCAAATGTATTCCTAATTTTTACCTCTCATTAGTTTGCTTTTATGAAGTCAAGAGTAGCCCGAGTCACAATCAATAATGCTCTGATTGGTCTATTTCCTAATCTGTATTTTTTTATTTTTGATAATAAATAATAGGCTAAAATAATTCTGAAGTCATAAATTATTTCTTGTATATCTGTTAAAACAATAAAAAGTACTAAAGTACTGTGTTTTTGAAGAAGTACCTCTTGTAATCAGTAATCCGTTAGCTGTTTTAAGAACACTGACCTTAGTTTGCAGAAATACAGAAAAACTAAAAGGAATGCTCTTTGTTTGTTATGAGTGTACAACTATATATTACGTGTGTGTGTGTGTGTGTGTGTGTGTGTGTAGTGTTTAAATGATGCGTAGCTGGTGTGTTTCAGACAGTCCACAGCTGGTTTTGTGGGTGTGGAAGAGTTTGGATAGAGCCTCCATATACAGCGTGTGATAGTGGTCCACCTGCTCTTCAGAAGGATTGCACACATAAGGCACAGATATGGGGCTGCCCACTGAGAGAGAATGAGAGAGAGATTGATTATGTAATATCCTACAGGTACAAAGGTCTACTTCTTACATCTTATATCAGTTATATGAGTACTAAAAACAGTCATTATTAGTTTTTACATGAGCATTTTGCAACCTGCTGATTGGCTGCCCTACAATGTGCATCATTCAAAAATCAGTCTGGGCTAAAACACTACTTATAACTTCAAACTGAATGGGCGGAGCTAAACTGCTGTAGGCTGCATATTTAGATACATGAGAAAGCCTTGTTTTTTGTGACGTCAAACAGCCTAGTTTCCATATATGTATTCCTGTATGGGTCGTTGGAAGTTTCATGTTTACTTACTACATCAATCTCTTATTTTAAAAAAAATAAAAATCTATATTTCCATGATATGGTCTCTTTAAATACATTATCTCCTGTATATGATTTGTGACTACATAGGTCACAGTCACCACTCCAACCTATGAAAGCAACGAGTGTCCAAAATTAACCTTCTAAACTTATGTTTTCAGAAAGTAAACAGAATTTCTTCATTGTTTGCTCTTCCTGTCCTTGTGCCAGTTTTCAGATGAACTAAGTCTAGTCATGGCCTGAGGTTTTTCAATGGAGAAAGTCCAAGGCTAAGCTTGATCCGACCCCAGAACAATGTTATATAAGTTACAGTAAACTGGTGAGGTGTTTTTTGTTGGACTTACCCACAGTGGTGACCGGCCTCCTGTAGGGTAGGAGAAGCCAGCGTCCCCCCGTGAAAATGCAGGGGGCGAAACCCATGACCTGCTTGAAGAGAGCCTGCAGCTTGCGGCCTATGCTGCCCTCGGACAGAACCACCTGAGGGAACAGCTCGTTCTCCCCGAAAGAATACACCGGAACCAGGTCAGCTCTGAGGACACAGCAGTGGCATGTGGCAAATGTAGTCAACCAAGGCAGAACAGCACAAGCACTGTGTTAACGTGAAGTGAACTGGAACAGTTCATGAAGGCTATGTTCGTATGACAGGGTTGAGGTGGCACCAAAAACTGTGTAAATAGAAAAATCTCAGCTTTTTAAAAATCAGATCTTGTTCACATTGCAGGGCAGATTTGTTTCTTATATTTCTTATATCACATTGGTTGCCACAGTAACAACACACACGTGCATAGCCTGACTAGGTAGGGACAAAACTTCACAAACTGCACGGTGATAACTATCTTAAAAGAATGATCATGCTATATTTCAATTGTTATCAACTACAGTATGAACAGAACCTGACATTATTGTAGGTTGACCTGGTCAACAGACTGCTAACAAGCTATAGGCTGTACAAATAATATTCAGAGACAGACTTTACTCTCAACTACAACATATAAAGTAAAAAAGGTTACCAAAATGTCTGTTAAAAGCTTGTACTTTACATGCTTAAGCAGTATTATGTGAATAAGAACTGCTATCTTTATTGGCGCACATTCTGAGTGACCCAAATCTACCAACACAGTCACATATCCAGAGATACGATTTGAATCAGATTCTAAACCACTTGCAAACGTGGCTTGAATCCGTCTGGAAAAAGACAAATTTCATGTGTCTTTTTTGCTGCTCAGACTGCAGAAAATTTGTTCTGCTTAAATCTGAGATACTAAAAAAAAATCAGATTTGAGCTGCCTGTCTAAACACACCTTAAAACACTTTCATATACAGTCCTAGATCATTTCATGTTCACATTACCACACATACACAATTCTTTGCCTTAAGGCAGGGGTGTCCAATCTTATCCTTAAGATTCGACACCCCTTGCTTTAATGTGATACCCATCTGATTTTTTCAGAGCTAAGCAGACATCATAGCAAGATGCATATCCGATTTGTGGCCATGCAAACGTAATAAGAATGTTCAGAATTTTTTTTCTACTACATATGCACCATCATACAGTGTTAATGTGGCAGCTGCATCTACCTTATTAGCACCCGTCTGCAAAAGCAATGCATGTGGCCTTTTTGGCATTCATCTCACTAAGAGATGTTCGGAGCAATTAGGACAATCTTCACAATTAGGGCTCCTAGTTAGTTCCTTTGATGCTGCTGTTCATGATGCAGGTGTGCCTCTCAAATGTCAAAGATCGGATCTGAGCAAAAATTGATCAACTGAGCAATGAGGCTAATTTGTAACATACCCTAAATGCATTAATCTCTCTTACTGTTTTTCTCTCCTTTTTTCTCTCACCCGTTCTCTAAGGCTAAACGAACAAAGCCTTTCCTGTGTTTCATGACCACTGTGTTCACTCCAGGAAAGGAAGCCAGTGACTCCTCTGCTCCTCCAATGATGATGACCACAGCGTTGCCCACACCAGTCCGGCTCAGCTTGTACTCTAGACTCTCCTTGCTGACTGGAAGCATGCCTGAGACCATGGGGGGGAGACATAGAAAGGCACAGAGAGAGAGGAAGAAAAAGGTGAACAACAGAAAGAATTGGGCATAGCTACGTACAACAGACAGGAAGAAAGGTGAAACTTTTAAATGTCATCTGATATACATTTCTGTATATAATCTGTTTGCCTGAGGTATAAATCTCTGACTTCACAATGAGTATGATTATTAAGGAAATGATTCAGTGAATCATCAGGCCTCAAATGCCAACATGATTCAGTTTGACTCAGTTGTTTTGGCACTATTCAGAATTATTATTCAAATTATATTGCATACATAAATGTGACTGGGACTAATTACAGTGTACTAGAATATAGATAATAAAAACAAGCTGTTTTTTTGGGGATCAGATAATAGCTAATCATATTTTGTCAAAAATATAGCACATAACATAAAATATTATCATAATTGATTATAACATTCCAAAATCAACACAGTAGAGGTGCACTTTTACACCACTATAACTGAAAGTCAAGGAGTTGCAAATAGATCTCAACCAGTCCTCTCTGTCTACTGACCTGCAATCAAGATGTAATCTCTGAAGATCGGGAGGCGAAAGAGGCCGGCCAGAACTGCTAGAGTGGAGCGCATTCCTGGGAAAGCCTCAGCAAAGCCCCCAGCAGCCGTGCTGAAGCAGGAGAATGCCCCCATGCTCATAATGCCATGCGGGTGACAGCCCAGTACGTAGTTCTTACTGGGACTAAGCTCTGCAGTCTTCACCAACTATTTAAAAAATACAGATAATATTTTTTAATTAAATCTAAACAACAAGAGGTTTTTTTGAACACAGAAATGGAACCTGTTACTGTGTTTGTCTACCTTCACTGGGAAGTAGTCCTTGAAGTGCTTCCACACTTTCCAGTTCCTCACAAACTCTGATCTTCTGCCACCTAGTGGACACCACCGCACTTAGTCACTAATGTGAAATGGTAACATGATTGTTGGGTGAGCTGAAAGTTCCTAAGAGCTGACTAAAGATGTTCAACATGTGTTTGTCAAAGCTTTACTGGCAAAACTACATAACTGCAATACCTAAAACAAACCAGTACATCTGTAACAGAAAGTGAAAATCCTGCGCCTTGATTGGAGGTGCATGTTGGAGGACCAATAACAAGTTTTTGTAGCACTTTGAACAATGAGATGCCTGACTGTCATATGGGCTAAAATTTAAAAGTGACTCAAGGCTCAATTACTTTTACTCTGTATAAACCATTTCTTATCAGTGGCCTTTTCGGTTAAACATCTCAACTGGCAACTTTCACATAAACTGTCCACGGATGAGCACTTAAGATCCAGGCCTGTTTGCTCAGGATGTGTTGCGCAAAAGTTGAAAAAAAAAACATTAGGACGCCTAATGAAGACATTACGAGGAGAGGAAGTTTAATGCGCAAGGCATTGCAAAAGCAACTGAGACTGTATTGTTGTGTCATAAGAAATGAGGAAATGACTCAGAGAGCGTGTGTGTGATGAGCAAATGTATGTGTAAACGTGGCTCTTACCTCTCTCAGGTTTGTGCCAGTCATAGAACTGCCAGGCGAAGTAGAGAGTTGGAATGGGCCACAGCGGAGTGAACAGCAGGTACAACATCAACAGCAGACACAACACACCTGAACACATATACATACATGGAAAATGAAGAAAAAATACTCTCATCACAGCTCAGTATTCAATATCAGTATATATCACAATGTACAGTGTAAAAATGATATCATGGCAAGTGGAATTAGCTTAAATCTATTCGGTATATCCATGACTTCTCATTAGGAGAGTGTTGTAAGCATATTAAAACAGTATTCTACCTATTTCTAGATGTTGTAGTTGTTTTAAGTACTTTTATCTACTGAAATAATCATTCCATTGGCAGATAATTTGCTGAAAAAAATCATTGTTCTGTCTCTGGTTGTTCTCCGGTGTTTGTAGTGAATAGTGAAGAGTTAACGAATGAACCATTCCTAAAACAATGTAAATTTAAAGGGTCCGTATCATGTAAAACCAAATTTCCCCTAGTCACTATGGATACCACGCTGCAAAAACAGCCCATTTTGAATCCATCTTTTCTGTAATTTCATGAAAAACCAACACATTTACAAACATCCACCTATTCCTCCTAAAGTACTTTAACCCCACCCATTTATGCTGAAGTTATAAGGAGTGTTTCAGCCTGGACTGCTTTTTGAATGAGGCACAATACAGGGCAGCCAATCAGCACAGACCTCATTCACATGCATTAGTCTTAAAGGCACAGTAAGAAAAACACAGGTGTTTAATTGTACAATATAAACAGAGGGTGAAAAATAGTCACATAAAAATTGATTACAACTGTTTTTGGTTCATAAAACCACACATACATAACACTTGGACCCAGGGAAATAATATAGTGCAAGAAAAAATGTAAAATAAGATGACCTCACTTGCCAAGACACAATCCATTTGCAATTTAAGCACTGAGAATGATATACGCTAACGTGAGTTAGTCATTACAGGCATTATCATATCTATGCTAGCTTTTTTCATGTCATCTATTATCAATGCCTGCATGTGTGGGGACGTGTGCACAATGTAGATCTCACCCATAAACAAGAATGACATGACCAGCTGTAAAACACTGATATCCTCAATAAACAGCTTCCACTGCGATTTCTCTTCTCCCCCCTTCATTGCAGCAACTGAGAAAAAGATACATACACATCCGAGACGAATAGTTTGTTTAATACTTTGCATTTAATGAATGTCCTGAAACAGAAAAAAACCTAAAAATGCTGTTAGGAGAAGAACATCATGCTGCTTTGGCTGGCAAATACATACACAAGGCTTAAGGGAGAGTTGATAGGTGCATTAAGCAGTGATGCTTTTTGGTATTAAATATATCATCGCTGCTTGAACAAAATCTCATATTTCCAAGAAATGTAACTTTACAGGAGAAGGAAAAAACTTTCTTAACTCTTAATGTATGTTAATGGAGAAATGATTCATTCCAAGTAATTTTGGACCGTTTCTTTTGGTCCACTCATGAAATTTTGACACAACGTAAAGTGCAGCTGGTGATATCAATTACGTCAAAAAATGAAAAACAAAAATGGAGATGAGGTTGGAGATCAGGTTTCGTCCTGACAGTGATGATGTAGTCAAACACATATAGGACTGAATGTTTGCAGGTGCCTGTCTGAGTAGTGACTGATTAATGAACTAATACTATAACAATTTTGAAAGGTTTGGCAACTTAACATGCTCATGCAATAAAGCCGTTTGAAGACAACTTAAATAGTGAGAGAGAGATTAAACACCAAGAAAACAACACAAGAATAACAATGTAACCCTGTGTTGGCTTTGAATCTTCTGTTTTAAAGAGGAATTCCGCCTTTCTGAATAACTCACTCATTGAGATGGTGTGAAAGTGGTTGAATATGAAACAACTTAACAACTTTTCACAACTGAGATGATAGGAATCAGACATCTGAAGTGTTTCATGCCTCTAAAAGCTACCCCACAGAAAGTTATTACATGAAATGATTATTAATATGTTGCCTGATGCTGAGATATTGTTTCATGATAACATGTTTTTGTAAGGAGAGGTACATGAAGGACACTGTAAGAAAAAACAGTACCTAAAGAAAAGTAATTCTAATTTACCATCATTAACATTACATATTGTAATGTTGTAAAGAAACCTGAGTTATTAGGCTTCTCTACAGTGAACCTCTTCACATCAAAAGACTCAGAATGACTTTGTTTACATCTCAGTGATCTATGCAGAAATGTTAAAAAATCAGTGAAATTCGCTTCTAAGCCTTTAACACTGATAGAAGAACATCAGTGGCTTCTTCCTCATCCTCCTCCTCATCAGTGACCTCTGCTCTAGTATGTTATCATATCAGAAAATGTGCAATCTGACCCCCTGACCTGCAGTGTACCTGACTGTGATATTAGGTAATATATCAGATATCAGCACTCAGAAAATGAGCTCACACAGTCACAGCCTGTTCAATAAAACCTAAAAGGGGAATTCCACCCTTTTTTCAAAATTTCTCCATAAGTCAACTGTTAAGATGTAGGGTCATTTAGAGTGGTCTGGTGTGAAATGCTCCATTCTAGAAACTTGCTAAGTCATAACTGTCCACAGTGGTGATGATAGGAACCAGACATCTGAAAAGTTTGTCTCTAAAAGCTACCTCAAAGACAGTTATTACATGAAATGGTCAGGATTTTTCCAGATTTATCACTATTTTACTATTCTCAACATTACATATAAACACTTATACAGGTGTAGGTTCACTGGTGGTTTGGGATAGTAAATAAAATGGCTGTTTATTTCAGTTTTCTGGCCCCCTGGTTCCTATCACCACCGCTGAAGAGAAATCTCCAAGTCTGTAAGTTTCTCTACAAATGAACCATTTCGCATCAAACCATTCTGACTTTGTTTACATCTCAACAACTGAACTATGCGCAGATTTTGAAAAATTGGTGACACTCCCCTTTAAGTTCTCCATTCATATCGAGGGGCTACCTCTTCAGAATCCGTTTAAACTCGAGCTCGACACACCAAATACATCATAAACACAGCAAAGTGCTCGCCCACCAGCACAAGTCAAACAAGCGAAGGATAACCCACTAACGCCGTGTTCAAATAAGACGTTTCCCTGAGAGTTGACCTGATCTTACTGACCACTGTGGCCAACTTCGCCGCTCAGTGAGAGAAAAAGTAAAGTTTTGTTCACCTGTGCCGTTTAAATCTTCGCTGCTCCTGCTGTTCATTCCGGCTTCTCGTCGTTCAGTCCAGTCCAGTCCTCGCTCTCTCTCTCCCGGTCGCACGTGGATTTGCACTTTGGTCGGTTCAGTCCGCGCGCGAGATAACGAAGGTCAGCGTGCACGAGACGTGGACTGTTTTTTTTTCAGTCAAAGCTCTGTAAACCGCGAAAGCGGATCATTCGGGCTGAAATCCTGAGGTAAACGCGGTTCAAACCCAACAGCGGGGAGGTCATGACGGACGGAGGGGCGGAAACTCTCCTTACCGTGTGAAGACGTCCATCGTTTGGTCGCAGGTGGTACCAGTGGCTGAGGGTCTGATCCGAAATGACGGTTTAACATCTTTCTCAGCTCACTGTGAGCGCTGGACCGACACTGGCGCGCGCCTCTCGGTGACACGAGAACTTCAAAGGATTTTAGGTGGGCGTGGCCAAAAGCGAACAGGGCGCCAAACTGATGGAATTCTGGAATTTAAAGACTTAAATCAGGAGAACGAAATTTAAATACGATTAAATAAACAATCTCTCTCTATTAATAATAATAATAATAATAATAATACACACAAATACATACAAAACACAGGAATGGGGCCCCTCAATGCACACTTTAAATTAATAATGCAACCGTATTCACTGAAAAAGTGAAATCCTCTTAAATCTAGTGGTTATGTTAAATATTTCATTTTATTTTCATTCTGAAATTGTTGTTGGAATATTATATGATTATTTAACTTCTAGTTCTACATTCACTTTTACTTCTACTTTTTACTTAAGGAATCTTATTAAGTAAAGTGATCTCACGGCAGATCATTTCACTTGTTCTAAGAAATAGTACTTGTATCCACTGATACAGTGAGATAATTTGGTACAGAGTAATGTAGAAGTAATGAGTAGTGAGATTACCCTTTCCACAGACTAATGAGTGAAGTAATCATTACATGTTTAGAGAAGTATTTAGTAACGTGTAAATGGAGTTACTTGTTTCCACTAATTAATCCAACACTGGAGCTGTCTGCACTAATGTTAACACCAGCATTAGGCCTGCTGGACCTCTGCAGCCTTGTTCTGTTGGAAAATGGAGTGAAATTGTGTGGAAGTGGAGGTAAACTCTTTGGTTTCCTCCCTCTTTTTGCATTTCTTTGCTACACTTATATCAATTCATTTTTTCTTGAATTATTTCCTTTTTCATACTAGTCTGTCTTTACTCATCATATAACACATGTTACAGTGCTGGACAGAATACTTCGAAGTAGTGATGGCTGATTACTGAATACACTGTCCTAAATGTATTCAGTAATGTATTGTGAATACATTTAAAATATGCATTGATAACACGGATGGGAAAAAACATTTTATCATCATTTTTATTTCACACTGTTTCTCGATGTTACTCGTTGGCAGTTTTCTTCACATAATTCTTCTGTTAATATGATTCATGAAGAATTTACATATTTAAAATTCTTAACATTATTTTGGCTCTCACCATCTGCTTCAGTCCACTGCTGCTCCCATAATCCCACTGCTGCTCCTATAATCTCTCTCTCTCTCTCTCTCTCTCTCTCTCTCTCTCTCTCTCTCACTCTCACTCTCATAATGCTGCCTGTCTCATGAACAAAATTTGAGGTGACGGTGGAGTTTCATCATTCCTCAAAAACAATATCACATCACACTCACTTTTGTGTGTGTGTATATATATATATATATATATATATATATATATATATATATATTTATTTATTCTTGTCTACACACACACACACAAAGAGAGAGCGAGGGCGAGAGTACGTGTGAGTCTCTCTGTCTCTCTCTTTCTCTCTCTCTCTCTCTCTCTCTCTCTCTCTCTCTGTGGTATGACTGACTGGTTTTACACACAACATTACCAAAGCAATTACAAGATGACAGAACATGCAATAGTACCACTAGTAGGCCTAATAAAATTGTATAACAACTATAACTCAGTTTATATAGGACCCTTTGTCATCCTTCTGTGTCCAAAGAAGAAGATCTGCACAAACGTGCTCACAAATACTACTACAAATATACATACAGGCAACAGACAAACACAACAAATAAACAGAAAGAACAACAGTCTAAAACCTCATAGAACTGCCACGGATGGTGCATTTGGGCAAATATATTGTGCAACTATGGCTGCAGTTAAAGGGTTTTTATTTCATGATATAAGGTCTTCAGTGCACCTTAGTTTGAACCTCTCTGCTCTTACATACTCTTCTCTCTCCTTCTCCCTCCTATACTCTCTCTCACTTATGACTGTAGTGTATACTGTACTGTATATATTTTTTTCCTAATTGTGCAGCATACATCATGAAAATATGGACATGAAGAACAATGAAGTGATGTCATTTGTCTTTAATACTATGTAGTAGTCTCTGTCACAGCTGTAGTACATTTATCATCATTGTGTTAGCCCATTAATCAACTCACTGCCTCTCTTAGAACATTGCATATGCACAAGTGCTCAATTGCATGTAAAAGCAATGTCAATGGAAATAAGGTGTCTACAAATGCTTGGACATATAATGTAGCTGCTGTTAGATGTATGTAGTAGAGGACAAATGTAGTGCTGTAGATTCATCATTTAGCTGCAAATTTCTGCCTCTTTGCTCTAACAGCAGCCTTAATTGGTACAGTCCCCAAACAGCGTGTGTATCACAGCGTATTCCAATTAAAGTGACAAAGTCTCACTGTTTTCCCCTTTTTCTCATTTTTCCAAAGAGGTCAAATTGACGTTTTGGGGCCATGAGCATAATTTTTAATTTCACATTTAATTGTGAATTGTGAGTAGCTCCAGTTCACGTATGGGGGGCTGGGATGTAGTCCTCAACAGAACCATCGCTTCTGTTTTTATCTTTTATCTAACATCTTTTATTCTTCTCCAGCTTTAGCTCCATATTTTTTCCTTCCTTTTTTTCTCTAACTCTACACAGATGTATAGAGAAGACTGGTAAAGTCTGAGAATCTGTATGCAGGTTCAAGTACTGAGAGAATTTAAATTTTTTGTCTGATGTTGTGCGTCATTCTGTGGTTGGCGTCGTGTCTGTGTTAGAAACTCAGGGTCTAAGCTGGTTTTCTCTATGAGAAAAATGAATAGCATTTTTAAAAAAATCACCTCTGTGTGTTGTAAACAAAAATGTTCCAAACCTGATACACTTTTGTCTTGTGTACATTCATTTGTCCCATTAGTGTCACTGGGTCTTTAGAATTATGAGCAGGGATGGATACTGACTGGGCCAGTGGGGCCAGTGCCCAGGGACCTCTGACTGCCATGGGCCTCAGACCACAAGGCCTCAAAGGGCCCAAATACTGGGGGGGCAATCCACTGCAGATATGAGCTATTAGATGAACGGATAGCCATTGAATATGTAAAATGATAAATAAATGAAATAAAATAAATTCTATCTGTTCTCAGGCCCCTTTAGGTTTTATATTATTATTGATTTTCTTGCTGTCGTTCAAAAGGGATATTTTACTCTGAGATGTATGAAATACATCTATGTCTGTATTACAACTCAGTTCAGCTTAAAGGAAAAAAGACATCTTGATGTAAGTCTTCAGGTACACAAATCTTATACAAAAATATAACCGTTACAATATAGACACAATAGAATATCGCATATTAATTATTAATAAACAAAAGGTGAACATTTTAATTGCTGAATTATTGTTTAATCTCACCTTTCAGGTATTTATTTATGTATTTATTAGTGACTGCACATTGCAAAGAAATGCACAACATTTTGAGATATTGAGATATCAGCACCATTCCTTTTGTCATCATTAAATGACAATTTTTATTTCGCAAAGGAATAGGGTGCAAAGGTTTGTGCACCAAATTTTGTCATGTTGATTCAAGTCCATTTAGCAACACCATACTAACCATATGAAAACAATAGCAACCACTTGGCAACACCCTTACAACCACCTGCGATACAATCACAACCACCTAGCAACACCTTAGTAACCACCTGGGATACCATTGCAACCACCTGGCAACATCCTAGCAACCACCTGGGATACAATTGCAACCTCCTACCAACACCCTAGCAATCCTCTGGGATACCATCGCAACCACCTTGCAGCACCCTAGCAAGCACCTGGGATACCTTCGCAACCACCTTGCAACACCCTAGCAATCACCTGGGATACCATCACAACCGTTTGGTAACACCCTAGCAACCACCTAGCAACTGCTTAAGCTGCACAGTCACTCTGCATTTCCTTCAGGTGATGCACTTTTCAAGTTTATTTAGTGCTACTATTAGAGTTCAGGGAGCCTCCTAAGATACTGGTGCCCAGGGGCCTCACAAGAAGATCATCCGTCCCTGATTATGAGGTTGTTTAGCTGTCAAAATACCAATAACGCTACATGCATGCTATAACCAAGCTAACACATTTAACAACACCAGCTGCTCAAACTGTGGTCTTCTATTGACCACTTAGCTACTATTGTGCTTGCTGGTTTGTGTAGGGTATTTTGGTGAGGTCATCAGTCTTATAATGTCAGTTTAATGTGCAGCAGCATGTAGCAGTAGTCATATTTGGCTCCTTAATGACCTTGTAATGCATAGAATCCAGTGACGTTTGGAGGAAATTTTCATATACGGCAAAACGCATTGGGTTTGGAACATTTTTTGTTTGTCACAGGGTATCTTTTAGCAGCAACTTTCAAAAAAGCCATTCAATTTCATCCATAAGCTCTGTTTGTTACGAAAATCATGGCAAGTAATGGGCCTAGTCAGTGTTGGTTTACACTAGATGGCCAAAAGTATCCAGATAGCCCTTCTAATTACTGAATTCAACTACTTCAACATGCATCCATTGCTAAGAGAGCAGGTGAATTGTGCGCACACAGGTTGTAAAATTAATATAGAAAATGCCCAATTCCAAAAACCAGCTAAAGGGGTAAAGCACTCCAGCACTGGACTGTGGAGCAGTGGAACTGCATTCTGTGGGGATTAATAAATTTGAGATGAGTTTGTGGTCCAGAACTAATCATTCAACATCAGTACCTAACTTTACTAATGCTCTTCATTTCGATTCAAGATGCTTTTATCTATGCAGTGCTTTTTTACAAGGGGTGTTGTCACAAAGCAGCTTTACAGAAAATCTGAGTCCAAGCCTTAAATGAGGAAGCCAAAGGCGACAGGGCAAGAAAAACTCCCTCAGAGCAAGAGAAAGCATCCTTGAGAGCAGCCAAGACCCGTCCTCCTCTGGTTGACCCTGGATAGCAAAACAATAACACAACAAGAGCAATATGAATACAGAATACAGAACAAAGTGTTAATAATTAATATGCAATACTGAATATGGAATAAGAAAAAATGAGCCCGTCATTGGATAGAAGTATTTATATTAACTAATGATAACTATTCTTAAAAGCCTGTCAGTGATAAATAATAAATAAAGCTAAGAAAAACCAGTGACAACTGTTATGATGACACATTAGTATGAATATGTAAGGAACTCAGTATTGTGTGAGGCAGGTGAAACAATGCCTATGATTGAATCATAGAACCTGAGTTTAATGCCTCTAAAAGCTCCTTCACAGAAAGCTATTACATGAAATGATTGCAAATATGTTGTCTCATGCCTGAGACATTGATTTACAATAATTGCAAATGGATTTTTTTTAGTCCATTCATGGTGGAGAGGCACATGCAGGGTGTTGTAAGGCAAAATAGTCCTAAAAGTGATTTTTCCAGATTTACCTCTATTTTACCATCATCAAGAATACATATAAAATGGCTATATCTCTGTTATAGACAATGTGACCCCTGGTTCCCATCACCACCACTGTACAGAAATTATTCACAATTATCCATTTTATATCAAACCACTCTGAAAGGATTTGTTATGTCTCAACAATAGAATTATACAGACATTTGTAGAAACTGGTATAATTCCCATTTATATCCGTGCAGGGAGGTGAGTGGGACAAACAGGTGAGGCTTTCTGCACGACAGTAGAGCGAAAGACCATGCAGGAGAGGCTCCATGGTGGTCGAACCTGTCCGGAGGGCAGGTAGGCAGGGGCATCCGATCAAGGCACCCAATCTTGTGGCTGAATGCTATCAAATCCTCACAGCAATGTGGCAATGTTACAGCAGCAAAAGTGGGGACAAACTCACTATTAAAACCTGATTTCAGAAGAAGTGTTGCATGAGCAGGTGTCTCATAAAGCCAGCACTCCTGATATGGGCATGATGCTGACTAAAGAATGATGACAGGGCTTCAGAGGTCTGTTGTCTTGGCCAGAGAATGCCTAATAACAATGATAATAATAATAATAATAATAATAATAATAATAATAATAATAATAATGAGGAGTTTAGGTACTATGTTCTGTTTGTGTTACACAAAATAAAGACAGACAGGCTGTCTGACTCGCGCGCGCGTATGTGTAGTGCATCTTTTGGGGGTCTGCTGGGTTCTCAGGCGCGCGCGCCCCCCCGGTTCTGACGGTAGTGCCCCGCGCTCACAGACCTGCTTACGTCCGCGCACACAAACCGAGTAAATAAGGCGCGCGAGGGTGCATGTGTGTGTGTGAGCGGACGGCGTGTCGGAGGCGCGAGAGCGGCGAGCAAAACACCCCGAAAACACCACGCGCGCGCCATCTCCGCGGAGCATGGCGGACTGAAAAATGTCGACCGTTACAAAAACAGCAGCAGCAGCAGCAGCGCGAGCGCAACGCGGCGACGACGTCACACCGGCGGCGCGGCGGCGAGGCGCGCGCGACACTACTGACTGAAAACGGTCGCGAGCTCTGTTTTTTTTTTTCACAAACAGCGGGAAAAAGAGAGATAAAGAAGAAAAAAGAGGGGGAAAGGCGAAAAACGACAACAACCACACGAACATCGATGACATTGCTGTTTTGTTTTCGTCTCCTCGGTGAAACGGTGAAACGGCGGGCACGTGACGAGACGCCTCTCCGGTTCACACGCCTGTTTTCTGATGTTTTCGTTTTTTTTCTGTTTTTTTCCCGCCCTACAACGTCGCAGTGAGCTGAGGGGACGGATAAACGGATAACGGAGCCGTTTTCCCCGCCTCGCCGGTTCCTGTCGAGGGCGAAGCGGAGGATGTTGATGTTTACGTTCATCTGAGACTCGGTTCGTTTTCATTTTCTTATTATTTTTGACCTCCTGTGGAGACTCCATGTTTTCCTCCGTGCCGCCGGCTGCTGCTGTCGTCTGATTCCGCTCTGCATTGAAACGTCAAAACAGACCGGGTAAGGTGCTGCACCTCACCTCCTCCCTCAAACACTCGGACTTAAGGAGGTCTCAGGTGAAATTAGGCCTCCGGTGTCGAGCTCTGACTGAAACATGACGGTTGTAAACATGCTGCGGGTGGAGACGCAGCGGAGGCTGATTTTCTAACCAAATTCACACCAGAAAGGCCACAGCGTCATTTTCATCTGTTGTATTTAGGTTATCTGCGGGCTCAGGATGGAGATGAGCAGCTCAGAGGCAGAGACGTTAGTCTGCGTGGGGCAGGAGTGAGTAACGCGCCGTCCGTTTTCGTCGTGACCGCTCGTGTTGACGGGGCTGAAGTTGGCTTCCTACTCGCCCGCGTTCTTATTCCAGTTTTCCCGTTCCACCTTAAATGGTGCAGCGGTTACATTCAGGTGGCCCAGACGCAAGAATGTTACTGCCGCACCATTTAAGGTGGAACGTTAAACTTCTGTGGTTGTGGTTTTTTGTGCTTGTGTCAGCTGACTCGTCTCTTTTTTCCCGCCACAGAAACCACACCGTGAGCCCGAGAGGGGAAACTGCAACGATCATAATTATAAGGCTTAGAATAATAATAATGATAATAATAATAATATGTATAATATGTCTGTGGGTGTGTGTGTGGGTGTAGGATGGGTGTGTGTGTGTGGCGATAGTCTGAATGCTGATTGGTTGGCGGAAAACCCTAAAAAAGTGTCCCTTAACCTCTTGTCGGTTCTCGGTGCTTTCGCAGCCCCCGCAACCCCAACCCCCCCCCACTCCATATTCTCCTCACGTACATGTCGTCTCCGTTAAACGGCGGCTCACGTGCGACAAGCTACGAGCACTACTATTACTACTACTGCTGCCGATGCTGTTGCTCGAGACCTGTCTCTACGGTGGGGAGGGGTTGGGGGGGCGTGGCTGACCGGTAACCGGCGCGCGTCTGGTTTAATAAACGCCGTTTATAGCGCGCTGCACCGGGCAGAGAGACGGTGTTTTTATAGTGGGCGTCTGATATAACCAAAGAGAGAGAGAGAGAGAGAGAGAGAGAGAGAGAGACACAGGAAGCGGGGGGATAGAGGGAGAAAAGAGGGAGAAAGAGAGAGATGGACAGATGCAGAGAGGTGGGGGGTGATAGAGAGAGGGAAAGAGAGAAGGAAACAGGATGAGGGAGATATAAAGAGACAGGTAAAGAGACAATGTAGAGAATGATAGAGGGAACATGAGAGAGGGGGAGTGAGGGGGTGAGTAGTACAGGGGAGAGAGTGAAAGAGAAGGACCGAGGGTGAGAAAGATGTATAGAGAAAGAGAGAGTGAGGGAGACAGGTAAAGAGAGAGCAGGTGAAAGAGAAGAGATGGGGTAAAGAAGAGAGAATGAGAGAGAGAAGTAGAGAGGGAGTGTGAGAGAGAGAATGTGCAGGTGCAGACGTGGGAAAACGCGACCCCACCTTGTCTGGAGCGTTCAGACGACATTAGTGGAGACGGATAATCAATGCAGCACCTGATCATAACAGTAATGGAGTATTGGAATGAGAATCACTTCATTGGACAAGTGGACACTTGCATGAGTTTTGGTGAAATGTAGTGTTTAGGCATTTCTGTATTTAGGTATGGTGGACAGAGTATTCAGATACTTCTGTATTTAGGCACTGAGGCATCGTGGGATGCTGTAGTTGGATATTTCCATATGTAGTTCCTGTGTAATGCAGCATTTAGGTGTTTCTGTGTGTAGATACAGTAGTATGCTGTATTTAGTTTATTAGGCATAGTAGGCTGCTGTATTTGGGTATTTCTGTTTAGTGAGATGCTGTATTTAGGTATTTAGTAGTATTGTAGTAGAAGACAGTATTTGGGTATAGTAGGATACTATACTTAGGTATTTAGGTAGTTTAGAATGCTATATTTAGGTATTGTATTTAGGTAGAGTAGAATGCTGTATGTAGGTAGTTAGGTATAGAAGGATGCTGTATTTAGGAAGTACTGTATTTAGGTATAGGAGGATGCTGTATTTAGGTATTTAGGTATAGTAGGATGCTGTATTTAGGTATAGGAGGATGCTGTATGTAAGTATTTAGGTATAGAAGGATGCTGTATTTAAATATAGGAGGCTGCGTTATTTAGATATTGAGGTTTAGAAGGATGCTGTATTTAGGTATTGCTGAATTTAGGTATAGTAGGATGCTGTATTTAGGTATTGTTGTATTTAAGTATAGCAGGATGCTGTATTTAGGTATTGTTGTATTTAAGTATAATAGGATGCTGTATTTAGGTATTGTTGTATTTAAGTGTAGCAGGATGCTGTATTTAGGTATAGTAGGATGCTGCATTTAGATATTTAGGTATAAAAGGATGCTGTATTTAGGTATTACTGTATTTAGGTATAGGAGAATGCTGTATTTAGGAATTACTGTATTCAGGTATAGGAGGATGCTGTATTTAGGTATTTAGGTATAGTAGGATGCTGTATTTAGATATAGGAGGCTGCTGTATTTAGGTACTGATGTTTAGTAGGAGGCTGTATTTAGATATTGATGTTTAGTAAGATGCTGTATTTAGGTGTTACTGTATTTAGGTACAGCAGGATGCTGTATTTAGGTATTGTTGTATTTAAGTACAGCAGGATGCTGTATTTAGGTATTGTTGTATTTAAGTATAGCAGGATGCTGTATTTAGGTATTGTTGTATTTAAGTATAATAGGATGCTGTATTTAGGTATTGTTGTATTTAAGTGTAGCAGGATGCTGTATTTAGGTATAGTAGGATGCTGCATTTAGATATTTAGGTATAAAAGGATGCTGTATTTAGGTATTACTGTATTTAGGTATAGGAGAATGCTGTATTTAGGAATTACTGTATTCAGGTATAGGAGGATGCTGTATTTAGGTATTTAGGTATAGTAGGATGCTGTATTTAGATATAGGAGGCTGCTGTATTTAGGTACTGATGTTTAGTAGGAGGCTGTATTTAGATATTGATGTTTAGTAAGATGCTGTATTTAGGTGTTACTGTATTTAGGTACAGCAGGATGCTGTATTTAGGTATTGTTGTATTTAAGTACAGCAGGATGCTGTATTTAGGTATTGTTGTATTTAAGTATAGTAGGATGCTGCATTTAGGTATTGCTGAATTTAGGTATAGAAGGATGCTGCATTTAGGTATTGCTGTATTTAGGTATAGAAGGATGCTGCATTTAGGTATTTAGGTATAAAAGGATGCTGTATTTAGGTATTACTGTATTTAGTAGAAGGATGCTGTATTTAGGTATAGGAGGCTGCTGTATTTAGGTATTACTGTATTTAGGTATGCTGTATTTAGATATTGCTGTATTTAGGTATGCTGTACTTAGGTATTACTGTATTTAGGTATAGTAGGGTGCTGCATTTAGGTATAAAAAGATGCTGTATTTAGGTATTACTGTATTTAGGTATAGAAGGATGCTGTATTTAGGTATAGGAGGCTGCTGTATTTAGGTATAGTAGGATGGTGTATTTAGGTGTTGCTGTATTTAGGTATAGGGGGATGGTGTATTTAGGTATTGCTGTTTTTAGGAATTTAGGTACACTAGGAAGCTGTATTTAAGTATTTTTGTATCCAGGTCTTTAGGTGTAGAAGAATGCAGTATTTATGTGTTATTGCCTTATTGGTCAGCAAATAAATAGAGAAGGGAATTAAACATGGTGAAGTGGATGTGTGTGTGTGTGTGTGTGTGTGTGTGTGTGTGTGTGTGTGTGTGTGTGTGTGTGTTTTTACTGCATGTAGTCCTCATTAACTGGGGGTCTGTTTCGTGCTGAATTGTAGTGCTGCTTTGCCGTACCTGCAGTATCTTTCTTATTATCATTCATCCTTCTCTCTCTCTCTCTCTCTCTCTCTCTCTCTCTCTCTCTCTCTCTCTCGCACAAGCAGCTCATTCATGACGGCCATGCAGTGCATTGAGTTTATTTAGCATTCACTGGAGGCAGAAGAGTAAAAGACGAAGAGCAGAAGAATGAAGGAAAAATTGGGAAGAGAAGGGAATGAGAGCATAACAGAGGAAAAGAAGGAGCAGACGTTCGTCCTTATAAGGCCTCGACGGCATTCAGGTAGACAGACAGAGCGAAAGGTCGAACAGTGAGCGAGAGCGAGACTGATTGGGAGAGACCCAGACAGAGAGAAAAAGGGAGGAGACGAGAGTGTATATGTGTGTGTCAGAGTGACATGGAGAAGTAGGTGAGAGACAGAGCGTGAGAGAGAGAGAGAGAAAGAGAGAGAGACGCTGATTATGCTTTGACAAACACTCATCTTTTAAAGCTCATTTTTCACGCCCGGCTTTAGAGCTGTCTGTCAGTCCATCATCGTCTGTCTGTGTGTCACTCTGGATGATCCAAGCTCAAGCTCCTCACTGCGGATTTTCCTGGAAAAACCCAAATTGAAATTTTCCGGCATGTATGCATCGGAGCTGTCTGCTTCAGACGCTGATCGCCACAGTGTGAGAGAATGAGAGGGAAGAGGGACAGGCAGAGATGGAGGGTGCTCTGTGGAATAAGAGATGAATAAAAAGTGAGAGACAGAGGTAGAGAAAGAGAGACAGCAGCATATGAGGGAATTATGCTAGTTTCTGAAATGCTAGTATGACAGTGCTAATCTGAGAACTCTTCTACATTTTCTGCAGTTTTTCTGACAGTAGGTTAGAAGTCTAATCCCCACTGCATATCTGCATTTATACTATGGTTACTGCATAGTGTTTGTCAGTTGTGATCGTAAAAAGTATGTGTGAATGAAAGACGTTATATTTCTGCCAGCAGCGCTAATACTGTGTTAGCACCTGGACAGGCCTTCATGCATTGCTGCATTTGAGATGCAGTTTAAAGGAATAGTTTGACAGAACATAGAACACAGTTGCACAGTTTCCCTTAGACTTAATTGTGGTCGATCAGCCAAGATATGTTTAGTGTCTATTTGCTTCTTTAGTTTTGCGGTGGAGCTATGAGGTTAAAGCAGCTAACAAGAAATGGACACCTACTGACAATGCCTGGTAGCC